GACTTCCAGTGTGTAAAATAATTTATGAAATTCTAGCTGATCTACTGCAGTCTTTTGTCTCCAGATGTTTCAGAGAGTAGTAATAGATTTCCGTTTTTGAGGGAAGCCAAGTCAGTAGTGCTGTTGCATATGTCAAAAAAGGTATTTTGCAGTTTGCAAAACTTGGCGTTGCTTCAAATTCAATCTCCGAAATCCTAGCAACAGATGCAGGAAGAACCTACAGAGAAAAATTTCCCCAGTTCATCTGTTATTAATGACCTGAATACTGTTGGTAATTTTAGAAATAATAATCATGATCCAAGTATTTAAATGCTCAATAGAAGATAGATCTAATAGGAAAATACAAATGAATTAATACCCAAAACAATTCTTTGTGCTATACCTGTGCTTAATATTTAACAGACATTAGCTATTGAGTTAAACATGTTGGTCTGTTAGTTTACATGACTGTTTCGAATGTTTTTTTTAGACATATCTTCATAAAGATGTGTTTCCATGCCAAAATCCCAGCAAACCATTCTTCAAAAGTGAGTTTCGAGACGTCTGCAAAAATTTATATTTTAGTTACGATATTTTAAAATAAATTGCCTACAACGATGGAACCTTGTCAACCATCTAAGCATGTATGTGTTTATATATAAGTATAACAGCCACTTTGACAAAGTATTATTTGAAACAAAAATGTAACGGTTCCAGGAGAAATATTAATGCATTCTATAAATGTGGTGGATTTTGCAGTAGCAAAAAAGTTATTGCTATTGATCACAAATCAATAATTTAAAAACACTCGAGACTCGACAAAATAATTCAAAACTTTTTGGCACATCTAAAATTATAAATATATATATATATGTTGAAGCCATGTTTAGATAATGGCAATAATAGGTATCCAATTTATGTGAAAAAGGTTATTAGTACCAGCCTGAAATCAAGCAAAATGGATTATCATGGCAAACGAAAAACACCTCTTATGTTGTAATATGCAGCTGGTGACTTCGTATACAATGACAGAATGAGTCTGGGAAAAAATTATCAAGATCAGTAGAACTCCATCATAAAACACTAATTAATTGAAGTTAAAATATGTGAGTTTGATTTATGTTTTTCATACAGACGTCACAATTTCAATCACCCATCAGTCAATTTATATTCTTGCTTACTGCTTTGATCACACAGCATAAATCCTCACACTGCAACTTTTTTTATGATCCGAAAATACACATATCTCTTATCAAAATTTACATTCCTTGACAAATCATTACTGTATTGGGTACCTATAAGAACATTTAAAACTTACTCTTATTTATGCTGAACAATCGTAGCACAAAGCGGCTCTCTACTAGACTACATCTACTCATGGGAGCTTTAAAGTGAATTTAAAATGTTACTGTCAATGTGCTTTCGAGTGCTGAACCGGTCCTAGGGTCTTCCCACTCAATTGATTGTTCCTCTATTTTGTTTTGTAATCTGCATTCTATCAGTTCTATAGTCAAGTATATCGTGTAATATTCCATGTGCACAACTAACTTGAATATTTATAAGTCACTCACTTAATCTTGAAGCGAGACAGCGCCGTCAGAACACAGAAAAACGCAGGAAGTCGCACGATGATTTTCGAAGCAATAATAATTTGTCAGCGCCAAGTCAAACGTGTCGGGAATTCAACATCGGGAGGAATTTCCGGAGTTACACGAGGTTGGTTCTATCAATATAAGTTCATAAACTATGTATTTCAGTTCACAAAGCTATTAATTACCAACACAGCCAGGGGCGTAGCCATGTGAATGTGAAAAATAATTGATGACTAATAGGCGCGGCTTGCAACGCGCCGAATAACCACAGGAAACTCTCCGGATGCCAATTTCTTGTACCTACACATTAAAGTGTATATTTCCCGTTGCTCTCGCCTTCTAGTACAATTTCCCGTACATACACAATAAAATGCCAATTTCCCCCATCTTAGAGCAATTTCCCGTCATTCCCACTTTGTGTGAAATTCCCCGCTATTAAGTGAAATTTCCCCTACATACATTCTAAAATGCATATTTTCCCTATCTTGGAGCAATTTCCCCTCTTTCCCGCATTTCGTATCATTCTCCCGCTTATTAGTAAATTTTCCCGTCATTCCCGTTTCCCGCATTTTAGGGCCCTAAATGTATAGGCCCTAATATGTATTTTAGAGTATGTGTGGGCTAAATTTTCACTCAAGGACGAAAGCAACGGCAAGTTTATACAGTGCTCCCAAGTATGTTCATCAAGATGGCGCACAACCTGAACATAGTATGTGTGCCAGGTGAAAGCTCAGGTTGTGCGCCATTTTGTTGCAAATACTTCCGAAGTGCCGTTTATTCTTAAGTGTGCGTGTACGTGGTAATCGTACTATAATACATATGGTATGGGAAAGATTCCCTTTATCTTCGAGCGATTTTCCGTCATTCCCGCTTTTTGTAACATTTTCTCGCTTTTTATTAACTTTCCCGTCATCCCCGTGCATTTCCCGTCGTTCCCGCAGTTCCCGCAAACTGCGGGAACGACGGGAATTTGTCAATTTGAAATTGCGGGAACTACGGGAAGTTTCACAAAAGACGGGAATGACGGGAATTTGCTTTAGGGTATGGGAAATATGTATTTTAGAGTATGTGTGGGGTAAATATGCATTGAATAGCAAAAGCAACGGCAAGTTTATACAGCGCTCCCGAAGTATGTGCAACAAGATGCAACCTGAACATGTGCGTCATCTTGTTGCACATACTTCCGGAGTGCCGTTTATACTTGAGTGTGCATGTACGGGGTAATTGTACTAACATACATATTATCCGAATCTTAGAGCGATTTCCCGTCACTCCCACTCTTTTGAAATTTTTCGCTTTTTAGTGAAATTTCCGTATCCACACAACCCAAGCGTAGATATCCCGTTGCTTCCATTTTCTAGTGCAATTTCTTCTAAACATACGCTGAAATGAGTATTTCCCGTACTTTAACGCGATTTGCCGTCGTTCTCGCATTTTAGATAAATTTTCACGTACATACACCCCCAAGCGTATATTAATCATTGCTTTCGCTTTCTAGAACAATTTCCCCTAAAGATACCCCAAAATGAATATTTCCCGTACCTTAAAGCGATTCCCGTCATTCCCGCTTTTTGTGAAATTTCCCGCTTTTTAGTGATAATTCCCGTATTCCCGTCATTCCCGCATTTTAGTTTTTGCAATTTCCCGTCGTTCCCGCAGTTCCCGCATTTTAGTGCATTTCCCGTAGTTCCCGTTTCCCGCATTTTAGGGTTGCCCCCGAATAAGGCAATTTATTCAGTCCGCAATTTACATCTAGATTATTGGAGACAACATATAGCCTGCTATGAGTTATTAACAGCATCTATAATTTGTTTATCCCCAAATTATTTTTGAAGTTGGGTACAGCAGATATCATTATCAGCAACTCGAGCTGGGCAACAAAAAAGTTTGGCACGATTCGCTTTCAAATATTATGGGCCCTCAAAAACTTCCAATGCGACGTAAGCAGGTAGCAAACCACGCCTTCGCTCAGCAGTCCATATCGGGTATGAGAATAGGTAATCAGTTAGGATAGGATTTACATATTTATCCCGGGGCAGAGGAAAGCCGATAAGACGGCTTAACCATATGGCGAACCACAGCCTCTCGTCGGGACACCAGTCTATGTCGGGTATGGGATTAGTTAGGTATTTGTTTTCGGAAGCATGGACTTGATGGTGGAGGAATTCGTAACCGACCAGCGGTTACGTGAACCACCCTACAACGGCGTGGAGTCCAGCAATTCTCTCGCACATAACTATCCCGCATGGGATTTGAACCTGCGAACCCACGCAAAGTAATTAGAGATGCGGTGGCAAGCATATTCCTAACGCTTAGCACGATGAGCCACACCGCCGCGCCAGTTATCATTCGTTCAGATGCATAGACTTGGAAAATAATCGAAATCGACCGCACAGTGATCATCCACAATGGCCATAGCTTTAGAACTATAACTACCATTGCTGATTGCCTATCAAGGTTGAAATTAGCGGGAATAAATTTGCGAAAAGATATTTGTAGACTGGCAGTAGTAGGGTGATTGAGTTTGTCGCAGCCCATGCATGGGCGCGGCGGGCTAAGCGTTAGGAATACGCTCGCCACCAAACCTCTAATTACTCTGCGTGGGTTCGAATCCCATGCAGGGATGATTATGTGCGAGAGGATTGCTAGACTCCTCGCCGTCGTTGGGTGGTTCACGTATTCCTCCACCACCAAGTCCATGCTTCCGAAAACAAACAATATAACTAATCCCATACACGACTTGGAATGGTTACCGGACGAGAGGCCGTCTTATCGACTTTCCTCTTCCCCCTGGATAAATATGTAAATCTCATCCTATAACTGTTCAGATCCATTCTATACCCTACCTGGGTGATAGAGTCGTGGTTAACTTTAGTTAGACTTCCCTCGCGATGGACTGATTATGCATAAAATCCATCTCGGACTTTCAACTACGCTATCACTTCACTAACTGACCCCAAGTCAACGGCAACCGGTCCCTCTCACACAACAAACTAAAGTACAATATTATCAGACACATCTAGAAAGTCTTGTGTCGCATATTAACCCTCGATGACGTCTATTACCCTTCATAGCATCCGCTCCATTCATTAGCAAACATATAAAAGGTAAACGAAGGGTTATGAAATATGGAGTTCGAATAATGATTTTGCGATTGATTTAAAAGTTTGCTTAAAGCGAGGTTGCCGACTTTTATTCGCTGGTACTCAAGATAGAATTTTCAAATCTCCAGAATCGATATTTCAATCCTTATCAATTCATACATCTCCTACAAGTGACCGGGTTAACTATTTCACATCAGATTGGACGCGAAACCAGAGCTGTAATTTATTCAGCACGTGCCTACTCTCTCCAAGCCAAAGAATTGGCAGTTTAAATCAGGTGTTTGGACCAGAGGCCAAAAATTTCACTCACCTAGACTGGCGGTTGTGACCTAAAAAGTTACATTTTATGAACAATATTCACAATGATACAACAGAAAAAATTGAAACATTAAGCCTCACAACAAAACTATATTTAATCCTAACCAAATTCCTTTGGTTATTTTTTAGCTAAAATATCAAAATTTGGCTTTACTTTGGTTGTAGCAGCATCAGGCGGGTCAGATTGAATTACACAATGGACCGGATTTGGCTCGGGAGTCATAGTTTGTCCATGTCAGGTTATATTGATTGTTATCAAGTCGGTGTTTGAGTCAGAATTTGGTCAAATGGATCAGGCAGGCTTAGAGTGAAATCTGTAGGACAACACTTACAAAAGCTACAAGTAGCCACCCATGCACAAGCAGTAATACACAGACATATAAGAAAGACTTGTATATAAATTTGCCTCTAATAATCAGAAATGTGCAAATTGGTGACAAACAAAGAAAATATCGTCAGAGAAAAAAAAAATAATAGTGCAATCACAGCATTTGAAATTCAGTCATGGTTGAGCAGGTTATAAACAGCGCTAGTTGGCATTTTGGGGGTACAAGGGCTCAGGGGTGGGCAACTTCTCTGGTCGGCGGGCCGGGTGTGGGAAAATGAAGTCCTCGGTGGGCCGGATTATAAAATGAATAGTATTCAATATCTTAATCACATATTTATCCGCTAATGCAATAAAGAAAGTTATGAATCGGGTTTAAAGTAAAGTTTAAACTGTACAAAAAATAGAGACCAAAAACACATAATGAATTTATCATAATGTACTAATAGTGTAATAATGTAATGTACAGTCAGCGGGCCGGTCAAAGTCTCGTTGCGGGCCGGGGCCGTATGTTGCCCACCCCTGGGTTAGAGCTTCAGTTCTGAATTTTTAGTGTCAGTTTGAAAATCTTGGGATTATACCTTGACCCATCAGCATGTTTGGATTATCAAGTGGGTTATCACACCATGCCACTTCACCCAGGATATAGTGAATTGGTCAAGCAATCCTGCGCTGGAAAGAATCCATCAACAGTAGCTCCATATAAGTCACTGCTGTCTAGAGCCTTGCTCGGGGTGAAAAGAGGCCATGAACGGTGTATAGACTATTGTGGGATGTTGGTAAAACATGGGCGCTCCAGAAGCCGAATTTTTTATGGCATTTCAGCACAATTCCTTCAAACAAGGCACTTGACTGCACGCTCCAGAAGTGTGTGTACCAATATGGAGGTAACTAATTTTGTTCGCTTACTTTACATCAAGTTGTGTAAACGGGACTGAAACCTATGGACAGGGAGTATATTCACTTGGCTAACACAGACAGTATCCGAACTGGTAATAGAACTAAAATAAGGAAAATCGGAATAAATATGGACGAACCCTAACCTGGTATGCATACTACAGGACCACCAAAAAAGAATTTAAAGGAATAGAATATTTGAAATTATGATTTAGGATTAATTCTCCTGTCCCAGATTAACCCTTTTTGATACAAAATGATAATTCAAGTTGAGCTTGTACCTTCCAAGTATCAGTCACGAGTACTCCCGTAGTCTGTGTACCAGGTTAGGGTTAGGCCATAATTTTATTCAGTTTTCCTCATTCTAGTTCTATTACGAGTTCGGGGACTGTCTGTGTTAGCCAAGTGAATATACCCCCTACCCATAGGTTTCAGTCCCTTTACACAACTTGATGTAATATAGGCAAACAAAATTAGTTACCTCCATATTGGTACACATACTTCTAGAGCGCCAAATCAAGTGCCTTGTTTGAAGGAATTGTGCTGAAATGCCATGAAAAACTTGGCAAGTGACAAATTTACAGTGATAGAAGGAAAACTACTTATACGAGTCATTTTCCTTTCAGTTCATAAGAATTTAATGCAAAACAAGTTCAGATCACAATGATTGCTTGCTCGAACCCTTGCTCAGAGCAAACAAATACATAGACATGGAACATTCACTTCAATTTGATTTGTGTTTTGAACAAATTTTCAAATTGCTCTGGCAATGCTCATCTATTTAGATTGAACTTTCCATATTTGTCCAGTGGGAGAGGAAAGTTGGCAAGCCGGCCTAATTATATATAGACATGTCCAGTCACATTTGTTGAGGGGGAGAGGAAAGCTGGCCTAATTATATATAGACATGTCCAGTCCCATTTGTCGAGTGGGGGGGGGAGGGAGCTTGCAAGCCGGCCTGATTACATATAGGCCATGGTCGAACACCACCTCATTGCCATGGACTTGAACTTAACCAATCCATCCCACCAATGGGAATATCTGGCAACAGGTTTTCATCTTTTCGTTCTTTTAGGGTTTTTTGTCCAACAAAACCTCCTGAAGGAATCTTCCTCCATCAATTTATAAATGCAATCCTGAGCCGGTATAAATGATTTTTGATCCAGGTGCCGGAGGTTCGAATCCAGCAAAGTCTGGGTCTTGGCATCGAGGTTTACCTGGAATAGAATATTGGACGTCAGTTATTTTCTAGTAGCCCTCCGAACAAGGCTTTGTACAAGCAATTATTCTATATTATGAGAGTGTATTTCTACACATTCACTCCAGTAACTAAAACTAATCAGAATTTTCAACACTCCCGTATTATGTGTACCAGGTTAGGGTTAAGCCTTATTCTATTCCAATTTTCCTTATTTTATTACTTTTACAAGTTCGTGAACTGTCTATGTTAGCCAGGTGAATATATCCCCTGCCCATAGGTTTCAGTCCCTTGTAAGCATAGACATATCTTCCTACCTCTCGAGGAGCTCCACTTCCTAAGAATTGTCGAAAAATTATATCGGCAAGATTTGATCGGTCAAGTGTGGCAGTCACGGTTCGGTACTTCTCACAAATGATCCAAAAGTCAAGATTTTCATCGCTGTGTTCATTGGACAGGAACAGACGGAATTCTTCACAAAGATCTTGAAAATATAACAGAAATATTAGAAACAACTTAATCCAATAGGTTGCCAGGCCTAATTCTGCCTCTACCAACCATCGTAATTTATATCACAGGTTCAAATACCATGACAAACATTTTATGACCTGTAGTCCCCTTCCTCCAACAAAGCAAAAACACCCAGTAAAATAACCTTATCAAGCAATCAAACTAAGATGAACATGAACTACTCTTGAAAAGGAGAAAGTAGAATCCGTTTTGCGCCTAGTGTTGTGCCCTGTTCCAACTGCTGTGTGGCCCTGTTTAGAACCACTGTCCTACACCATAACCACAGTCAGTTGGTGAGAGCACATTCTAAAAAATTCAACCGACCTTTATTTTTAAGAACATCACGAAGAGACATCGTTTGGTTGTTGTTGTTTTCTAAATCTTCGCTGTAAAAGAAATTAAATAATTAATCAATTTAAAACTTTAGAATTTGAGGAACAATACGTTCACAACTGTTATATTGTGCGCATTGGAATACAGCCTCTATGATCGTCTGTACAGACAGATATTCGAAACATTGACTATTTCAGTTACTTCTTATTTCTAACTTTATTCAGGGATGATGATAATGATCAGATTGATTTCTTTTTGTACTCTGATAGTGTGTCTGTGCAGACAGATATTCGAAACATTGACTAAACTATTTCTTTTACTTTTTACGAATTGTATGCATTACTATAAATGAGACTAGCGGCAACCACCCACCACATTTTGTTGCAAATAACTTCGCTTGTTCTTTTGCAAGGCGACGGTTTACTGCAAACTTCTAGACTTTCAACCGACTTTTTCTCATCCTTTGTAAATTTTCGATGTAACTTCCGAATACTTGACCTAACAAATAAGTTCGGAATAAGCTGGGGAATGAAAAAGGGAGAATGAGATAACATGGCAGCGTACATCATAAACATTGTACGTTATATAAGTGAGCGAGATCAGTGGAGCAACCAGCGGGGGGGTTACGGGGGTCGTGTTTTTTTTCGTTTTTTTTTTATTATTGTTCTACGTTCGAACAACGTCGTTCTACGGTCATAACAATCCGGTGAATACTACTTTTTTCCAGTGCTTTATCACCTCGACGTAATTTAACACCGCCCGACTTCAATCATACCTTTTTGCTGTTAGTTACGTAATAATCGCTATCCCCGCGTATATGTTTGTATTCGAAAATGAGATATGTTACCTCAAAAAAGTAGAAATCGCGCGCTGTCGATGCGAATTGAAAACGACAATAGCATAATGCTATCTCTCTCTCTCTTGTGACGAATACTCTCGTGCTTCATCATCTTGACGCAATGTAACGCCGCCCGTCTTCATGTTACAATAATGCAGTAGAAACTCTGAAAATCTGGATACGAAAATTATTTTCGGAAAAATATTGCTTTGATTAACCTAAGATTTTCTACATATGAAAGGCCGAAAACCGAAAACGCCGTACTTATCCTATCGTCCCCGTCCACTTTCTGATTTAAAAACATTTCACAATTATTTCATTTTTTATCGCAATCGAAAGCAGCCATGTGTGGCACGACAATAACTAACAGTCGTCGTGAAAGGTTTTCAATAAACTCCGACTTGAAGTGCTTATAAGACGTGGAGGACGTTTTTGATTGAAAATTTTTTACATTTGTTATCGTATATTTCAATTTAGTCAAGATATGTTGTGCGCCTCGGCAATAAACTTAAAAGCAAATCCTGCCCTAATTAATTGTTTTCATCCTCAGTTTCGATAGTTATCGAACTTAACGGGAAATTTTTTAATTTCTTGCAATCTATAAAATAGCTTCTAAATATTATTTGGTTTCTATCGGCGATTTTATCGTTATCCCGACGTCGTTGATAACAATATCGTTCATTTTAATTTGGAGGTATTGGTTTATAATCAAAAAATTATAACACATAACATGAAAAATTTAAATCAACGCTGACTCAGAAAGTAAAACACGTTTTTCCAACTTTATTCTCCATTATTGGCGGACGGAAATTTGGGAATCGGGTTTAACTAATTTGAATATGATGACGATGGTAAACAAAAGTACACAAACATACCATACCGTTCTTAGTCGTTATTTCTCTGTCCTTTCTTCTTTCTATGTGCATATTAAGCTCATAAAACGTGTTTTATTTTTGAACTCTGCGCTGATTTGAATATTTCATGTCGGCTGTTATGTATTTTTGTTTGTAAATGAATTTTGAATGTAAATGAATGAATAGATATTAAATACTATTTAAGAGTTATTTTATTCGCGCTAAATTACAAGAAATGAAAAAATTTCCTGTTATGTTCGGTCACTATCGAAACTGAGGATGAAAACAACTAATTAAGACACAATTTGCCGAGGACGCCTAAACCATCTCGACTAAGTTAAAATACACGATAAGAAAATATTTTCAATCAAAAACGTCCTCGAAGTCTTATAAGTTTTTCAAGTCGGCGTTTATCGAAATTCTTTCATGTCAGCTGTAATATATTGCCGAACCACACATGGACGACCACGCTAGGATATGTGCGCCATATTCGTGATTATTATAAACACGAAAAAACAGTATTTGAAGTTTGCGATATTTGAATTTAAATTCGATTTGGACATCCCTGCATTAAATTAGTCAGTTTTTAGTTGTGTTTCCAAAAATTAGTTGTAAATCAAATCTTTTAATTGTCATTATGTCTTCCGGTGAGCTTCAGTTTAGTTTAGAATTTTTCTGGGGTTAGGGTCGGGAAAAGGTCCATTCGCAAGAAGTGCATTTTGTTTTTAGTCTTGACGAATTCACCCAACGAGCAAGGCGCGGCACGAGGGAAACACTGGAATTTATTCAAGCCGTGTTTCACTATCCACGAGGCGCAAAGCGAGGGAAACGGTGAAAATAATTAACAGCTTTTCGTTAGCAATTCGCTGGAATGTAATGAACGGCGTTTTGCTACCCAAGAGGTGCAAGACATAGCGAAGCGCCGTTAATGAACGAGTGCAAGGTAAGCGAAAGACTGGGATTTAATCGATGGCGTTTTCCTTTTAACCACGAGCATTTATCGTGTTTCAGCAGGGCGACACCTAGTGGCGTTGCGACATACATCGTGGTTGCACTGTGTAAATTCCGAAGGGACCCCCCCCCCGTTGAAAACAGCCTGGTTGCGCCACTAGGCGAGATGACCAAGTGGTTGAAAAGCGTTAGAATTAAGCATCCCAAAATAGGAGCACGTCCACAAGTATCCAATGTCATATGCGCTGGAAGAGTAAGTGTGGAGCTGTGGGGTCAAAGATCAACTCGTTTTCTGACTATTTATTCGCTGAACATTCAAAATAAATTTCGAAGAAATCAATATTCAAATTACACTATATTTTACTACTATATTTTTAATCGTTCGACAGTATTATAAAAATTTGTATCGCTAGTGATACAGTCTTTATTTTCAGTGGAAAAATTTTAACTTTGATAATGTCAAATATCAATAGCAGCTTGTTATTAAATAATACATTCAATATACTTACAATCTTCTCTGCCTTTTCAGATTTCCTTTAACTGGAGATGTAGCTTTCGCAACTTCATTATTCATACAATTGGTTTTCTCAGCTTTTGTCCTTCTCGAATATTCATATCCTTTAAGTTTTTCAGTCTCATTCAGCATGAATTCGCTTCTACTTTTATTCCGAGAATTTTTTGTGAAAATTCCAAAATTAAATCGTTGTTTATATCGCCGTGTTTTACTCGATCTGAGTTTATTTCGAGTCAAAGTTTGTGATAACTCAGGTGTTTTCTCCTCATTGCTTGAGAGAGAAAAGTTACTTTCATCTAAATTAGTAGTCTGGGCTTTAATATGCTTCATTGAACTCCTTGTGATGTAACGATGTGATGATGTCATCAGTAAATCATCATAACTGATTGCACGGTTCTTTGTCGTCAAGCAATCAGCCCATTTTATTTTAGTTTCATTCTTTTCAGTAAAATTCTGTTCTGTGGATTCATTTTCAGCCAGCGATGGGAGGGGGAATACCCTGACAGGCATTTGGTCATGTTTAGACATCCGATACGGGTTTGTTAGTGGCTGCAGAGGGTCTAGTTTCACTCTATGTACTTTATCTCGATACAATGACGCTCTACAAGGTCTACGATTCAGGTCGTTTTCCTGAAATAAAAAAAAGTTGAATTCATGTTTCATATTTTAGGAATTTGAACTATGTCACAGTTAAAATAATTGACAATCACAAACGAAAGTACTAGGCTAAATGGGCAATCTCCCATTTTCTTAGAGTTTCTCAGTATTTAAATTTCACATACAGACATGTTACGTATCAATCGTAATCAGTATGGAAGCTTCATATGCAGAGTGACTACGCTATGACAGTACGGCACACTATACAGATAGAGTCCGATTTTACCAATGATCAGACACCCCTCGATTGGGAGACATCTGGACATTGTTGTCCCTCAATATCGGTAAAAATACAGTATAACGAAGTTGCGCAAAATACTACAAAAAAGCAGAATCTAATAAAGTCATCATTGAACTCCTCGGAGAATAAAAAAAATCCGACTTAGCGGAAGAAATAAAATTTTACCGTGGCATTCGAGAGTTTTTAGCAAAAAACGGCAATTTTGGTCACGTGACGACCGCGATTAATTCAGATTATTATTGAGACAAGCATGGCGTGATATGACGCATCTGACGTGGTGCTCGACGCCCCTCGTTTGTGAGACACATGGAGTGTTTGTTTTATTAAACCAAATGGTGGGAAATTCTTGGAATTAGGATAGTGTGCCGTACTGTATAATAGTATCTTCAGATCTTAATAAAGCAATATAATTGATATTCGATCAGTCTGTCAGTCAATTCTTTAATTCAGAAAATTTTCAATCCACCCACCGACGCAGATACAAAATTTTGAAATTAGCCTATAGCTCAGCTTTATGATTAAGTCCAAAGACTCATCATATAGCTGTATAGTGGAAAATGGGTCTCATGCAGGGTCTCTTACCTAACATACTTCTAGTTGGCGTAGCATGACAATTTTTTCACGTATCAATCCTCACCCCCACCTGACTACACCATCCAAAAATTACGTCATTACGACGTCACAGTGACGCAATAGACCCCTTCAAACTATACGAACTGCCATCCAAGACGCGCAAACGAGCACCCGAAATCGAACAGTTATTTCTCTCGTTTTCTCGTCGCAGCGATTCCAATAGGAGAGAGACCGATAATGTCAGTCAGTTCTTTATCGTCAGCGCCAATGCCATTTCGGTCGATCGTGCGTATATTTGGCAAGCTCTATGACGTGATTGTGATGTCGTACCGTAAAACCGGCTAACTTCGGATGATTTCACTATATTTTGAACAATATCTCCGCCGCATGTTGTTCAACTGAAGCCAAATTTGGAATATAATACATTGTGGCTATTCTCGTCTTGATAAAGTCGGTTCCATGTCCATCAAAGCCTTTTTTCATTGAAATTATTGTCTTTATTCGTCTATTCTAAAATTATCTAACTTCGGATGGCCACTTTTCTCTTTGCGTCAACTCGTCGTGAGAGAGAAATGTCTGCGTAAGCAATGACGCGTGACAACGTCGCTGAATAGACCTTACGCCGCCACGACCTGTCTTGCGTGTTGAATACTGACGTTTGTACGTGACGTTACTACGTGACGTTACTCTTGCCGCTTCGCGAAGCTTAACTATTTATTCTTGTGTCCTTTATTATAACTCGTATATATTTCACTAACTACTCCTAATTTATTGCAAAATGCTAGTTCGTTCTTTTATGATCGTTTATTTTCAATGCAAGAAAAGGATTAACAAAAAAAAAACGGAAGAATTGAAAGTACCTAACACTGGTGTAGGTTGAAATTGAAATGCAATATGGAACAAGTAAAGAATGAACAAAAATTAGACAATTAAAAATAAACGGATGAATCGAATGAAACACTGGCAAAAGTAAAAATTGAAATCAAAAAGCAATATGGAACAAGTAAGGTATGAACAAAAATTCGACAGTTAAAAATAAACAGATGAATTGAAGGAAACGCTGGCAAAATCAAGAATTGTAATCATTTCCACATGGGTTAGACGGGTCTTTGCAACAGTTCTTGTGGAACCAATGTGTTTCGCTGCAGCTTTCGCAACCGACCCATTCATCCTCAATTTCCGTACTTTCATTTGGATCATTCCATAATCCACAAGCAGAGCAGGTTTCGTCTTGATTTAATTTTTGGATTGCGTAATCAGATGGGGGTTAGGATTAACATATCAAAATATTGTTATGCTACGCCCACAAGCAGACTAGAAGTACGTTAGGTACGAAACTACACGAGATCCTCGAAAAATGATAAAATTCAATTTAAACCAACCTTTCCAGCAACCAAGCCGCCATGCAATCTAGACGACAATCTTCTAGCAGGCAATGAACGAACTGGCAGCACTGCATGTCGCCTTTCAGTTGAAACATCCATCAACTCCACATATTCCCCTCCACAGGCATCCGTGGTACTCATTCCAGCAGAGAGATTTTTAAGTCAAAACTCCAAATTTAAAGAAATAATCGGCTGCAAAACTAAGAAAAGAGAACTCTGTGACAGGTGAAATCGCAAAAACGCTGATGCAGTTTTCAAACAACCGCCCTTTCTCAGCGTCCAACAAAATTCGATGGATCGATTAAAGGCTATTGGCGGGAATAGAAATTGCGAACGACATTATTTATATTGATTTTACAATCCAATTCATTTCATGTGTTTTTTTTTTTTCAAGTTATTTGCAAAAAAATGAATTATCAATTATCAAAAACTAACAAATCCTTTTAATCTAGGAAAAGCTAAATTGTACGCGCAACTAGTTCTCTCGCTAATGGTTTGCTACTGACTATGCAACATACAGTATTCATTACATCGCAAAGAAATTCAAAGCCCGGTGGTTCGCAAATACTAAATTCTAATTACAAGACACTACCGGACGTAAAGCAGTATGCATAGTCAAATCAAGTTTATTTTTTCCCCCAGTAAATAATATTTATACGAAATTGACAAAAAATAAAATTAAACACACATTTTACTGGGGAAGGAATGCCGTGGAAAACCAAGAATGGTTATCGAGCAGCGACACCCAAGGTTCAATATCTACTTAAATTTCTAATGATGCTTTACCAATCCGAGTCCCTTTGCTTGCGACAGTCAACAAAATATCAATCGAACTTATAGTTAAACGAGTGACAAGGTACGTTTTTTTCTAAATTTGTACAATCATATATGCCCAATCGCGATAATAGGAATCGTACATTGAATGTCATATGCTGCGCACCCGACAATTATCGGCTCCTAAATTCATAGAACAAATAAAAAACATTAAGCAATGTCTGGCATTATTACTCGCGAACTCGTCTCGCCGGCTGGTTCAACGGCCTTGCATCTAACATAAAATGTACGACATAAACTGATTTCATTTAACGATACCTGGCAATTTTGATAGTGTTTCACATCAAGTTTCCAGTTTGCGCAATTTTCACAACGAGTCCGGTTTCCATACTTATCGCCTTTAATGCACGACCTCATCTCAGGCGTAGTTTAGCGACTCATTTTATAAACTGTATTATTGGCCACTGTATTGGTAACTGTATTATTCTGAGTCATTTTAATCCTTTCAAATGCGCATCAATATCGCGTCGGAGAATATTTTAATGGATTTTACGCTTCTTCCTTGTCTGTAGCGATAATGACATCTGCTGTACGAACAACTCAAGTACAATAATTATGCATCGCTGTCTAGCCATTCCTATAACTTAAGATTATACCATGGATCTCGCTCAGTAACGCAAGAAATTAATTCAGTGATCAGTAACAGCTGTTTTTCGTTTACTAACGCTCATTTACAATGAGCTTCCCGCTGTTGTCACACGCGCCTCGAAATAACAAATACTCATTCTTTTATGCTCAGTCATCTTATCGGCTTTCCTCCACCAGCTATTAAGTTTTTCATTCCACCAATATTCATTCTATTTAATTTAAAGAGTCTTGCTGCACACTTACAAAAATATATTTCTGTAATGTTTCGTCTGACCGAGGTCACACTCCTTCAGAAAAGTATTGCATGCAGGTAGGTAGTTAGTTTCACGTAACCCAACTATTAATCAATAATTATGTTACGCGAATTGGCTAACGAAATTCTTTACAATAAAATGCAACATAAGCAGATTTTGATACATAAATAGTAACTTAATACTCTATGTTAAGCTGACAAGCCCTGAATAAACCCTTAAACCTCAACTTATCGAGGATATTATTAAACTCATAAATCGATACTATCTTGATATTGCCCACCTTCCTCTGTTTATCTCACTACCGATTATCATTTTAGTAGCGAAACGATAACCTAACTTAGGATAATATAAACAGATCAGATAATTAGCTAGGGGATATGATAACACCCATGAATACTTGCGAAACAACCAGTTAAATATTTATATTACTGGTATTGGTATTATATAATTTGGAACTTTTTTTCCGCCCGTTGCGCATAAAAACTCCGTTTCCGTTAGATGTTTAATATTCAATGGATTATTAGCCACTGCTACGCACAACTCGAAAGCTGGCTTTTATTCGACAGTTGATAAATACGTATTCACCCATAAATAAGTAATAGGCTACTGTAGTACATCACTTGCATTCATTCAGTAAATATTTTCTGTGAATCTCAAACATAACAGTGATTATGGATCTGACTCTGATGACCGTGCGGTTGTATCGCTCTCCCCAATCGATGCCGAATAATTTTGTACATTTCTGAAAATTTAGTTATTGTAATAATGCTTGTTTTGGGGTTGACGAATCAATCTCTCTCTAGTATTAAATAATCAAACAATATTTGCCAAACAACACTAAATGAAAAGCGATATTTCCTTCCCAAAAGAACATTAACATCGAAACGAATACGTTTGCCGCTTTATTCCAGTCAACACTTCAGTCAATTGGCGCTGTAGCCTACCTCTTAGAATATAGGTAAGTCTCTATCTAACATATGTTCCCACTTGTAATATATATAATATAAAAGAGATAATGACAATCCGATAATCCCCGATATGGATCGCGCAGTGGGAAATGCGATATAATTGACGTTTTCCGTTACTAATTGCTCTCCATTCAGTAATTAAGCAACACAATGACACGCCTTTAACCCCACAATAATCATATTTGTCCGCTGGTCGTCCAATTTTTTCTTACGGTCCAGAGATTGCAAACTTCGGATTTATACTATAGACTTGTGCACTGGTTTCCAACATTTTCAGTGCAATGGACGATGATTGAATTCGAAGTTCAATCCCTTTGAAGTTCAATCCCTTCAAAACACAGTGGTTTCTGTCAGGGCAATGACTTTATCAAAACTATTCATAGCTGTTTTACCGATCTTATTAATATGAATTACAAATAGGTCTACATAACATGTTGCATAACTAACCATTTGATTCAATAGTACCATTAATCAGTCTTTCGAAAGGGAAAAATAAATTACTGACTTATTTAGTATCTCAGTTCTTTTGAACTTTTTAACACTGCAACTAACATAAAACATTAGTGGAATAATAGCCAGAGAATTATTTAATATATACCTAAATTCCAAAGCCGCACTAAAGCCTAAAAAACGGCGATAGGATCAGGAAATCATCCACTATTTTTTTCACAATAACACCTCGAAAGTGAACGCGTTCGATACACCTTGTTGGTTGGCGAATGCTAAGGAAATGAACAAAGAAGTCGATGCTTCGTGAAACATACAATTCATCGCGTCTACAATGCGAAAGCCAATATTTATGTTCCATGTTATTTTTATTTCTTCATTCGCGGATCACGAGTTTGTATCAATCCATCTGTTTTCAACGTCTTTTTTTATGTCTCGCAACTTGTTCCGATCATCGCCTTCTGAAATCTATGAATATTTCACAGCTGCTGATATTGACACGCGTTGTGTACTCACTTGTTTTTAAGCAGTCTTAATCCCAAAGTATTTCCTAATCATCCACTTTCACAAGTCAGTCAGTAGTTTATTTTTCATCAAAATTAAATTACGTTTGATGCAAACAAAAACAAGGAAAAAACATGAAAATGGATTTCACGGTGAAAGGAGACGCCTAAAAAGCAAAAAAAGTCTAACTTTGATACAGGTTGCATAAAAAGAAGTCAAACAAACAAATGTAATTAATCAAAAGATTCCAAAAACCAAATCTTTACAAAAAAGAGACAAAAACACAATACAAGGTGTAGGCTTGCTGTCCTGAGTCGGTGGTGTTTGGTGTTGACGAGCAAAATTGCTCGCAACTAATGGCCGATCGATGGACCTAGATTTGAGCAATCGAAGATGGAGGAATCGTGTTGCTATATAAGTTGATGACACACTTGAAGCAGTTTCAGTTCCAAATTTTTATTTACCCTAGGTGACCTGGTACATACCAAGCAGTCGCCGTTTCAACAAAAGAAAGTCGACTTCAAGCAACACAGTTTTTTATATAACAAAACCTTTCATAGGTTTCTACTACATGAAGATATTTCACCCTTTCATACTTTTGTTCGCGATTTTGTTAAAAATAACCTATGGCTATTTCGCTGTATCCGCCATATTTATAATGGCCAATCAGCAATCATAAGTATAAGTATAAGTATAAGTTTATTTCGACTCCATAATCAGCAAAACAATAAAATGAATGGTAAAAATAAATAAATAAAAACTGATTATGAAATCAGGAGAGCGATCAAAACCTTAGATAAGGTTTAAAACGTACAGAATGTATATAAGATGGAAGGTTTTGCCAAGAAGATGTGGTACGTGTTCACTCACCTAAAATATTTGAAATATTTCACACACGCTCACACGCACCCACACACACAACCATATAGAAGTTATTAAGTAAAGGGAACATGAAAAATTACATACTGGTAGTTAATAAAAAATAAATATATAAAAAATCACTTGCCACACCATATTAATAAATTTATCATGATTGCCACTGCCAAATTGATTAATTTTATAAATGGGAGTGAACAGTAAAGATAAACTTTTATAAAAAAAATATATTGTCAAGCTGATTATAGATGGAGTCAAATGCCAAAATGCCCAACCAAAGTTGCCAGAATTGGGTGCATGAAGAGGTGGGCTAGACCACTTCATTGCCCAAACTAGAGCCTATTATTATTATTGCCAAATTATAGTTCAGATTGTAATAAGTATTTAAATCTATCAGTAACTTTATAAGTATGAGTAATTATAATTAAGGTAGAAAGACAGGGTATAGGAATATGTTGGTTGCTAAGGTTATAAGTTTTTTTTTTTTTCATTCTTAGATATTGACTTCTGCAAGGATAAAGGAATTAGTATTGTTATTTCACAGGATCATTTCTTCATTTAATTATTGTGGCGTAATAGATGTCAATTCATGTTTATCGTGGATGAGACATCAGCCTGCGAATTTTGTTGTTGTAGACACCATTTATATTCAATAAACTAGCCATTGTATTGATCATCACAGAACGACCTGAAAAACAGAAAATAAATCTGCGAGTAGGATATTCAAGGGTTACATATTTGGAAACAGCACTACCCTACACTTTTGTTTAAAATTATTTATTATTTCGAGTAGATATTGATTATTAGTTATCTATCTATAAAACGCTAGTTCAAAGACCAGAGTTGAAATATGGTTAGATAAGTAGATAAGTAGATAATCATGTTGGTAGAGAGATATTTCGAGCCGTTCAGACAGATATTCGAGCATCGTTGTAAACATTGCCTGGTTTAGTGGTTTTGTGGGTTATTTATAAGTTTTCAGTTGTGTTTTCATGCAAGATTTCTATGTCTAGTGACCTTATGTAATTGTCATTATGTTTCCCGATGGGCTTTGGAATGGTTGCAATATTCAAAAATTGGTTCAGCAAACATTTTGAGCGACTAGTACAAAATTAACTATCAGCACCTGTAAGCAGTACATGGTCAAATATTTTTGAATAAACTGATGGTTTAACGACTTTAACCTGTTTGTAATCGTCAAAATTTCGAAAATGAAGTGGAGCGGTAATTTTTCTAGGGTCAGAGGTCGGAGAACATACATTTCGGTCGAGCCCGAAACAGGGAAATTCTAAAAAGCGGAAAAAATCAAGGGAATCAATCACTGACGTCATCATTTTGCACGAGGCGAACGAGAATTTCGGCTTCTCGTGGTGAGTTTGTTTCTGTATTTTAATATGTTGTTATAGGCTAGCCTGTACTGATATTGTCTGGCGCGAATTTATGAGAAAATGTTCAACGTTGGCTCGGAGCGCTGAACCACAATAATGAAATTCAATCGGAAGGCCGTACCGGTACCGGTACTGTAGGTTTCAGTCTCGCCATTTCAGCATTTACGGTACCGTACCAGTTTACGGTACAGATTTCAGGATTTAGGCTACCGGTCCTCTGTCAGACTGTGTACTGTATCATGGATTTACAGGATTTGAGTAGGCTAGTACGGTGCCGGTAACTTCAATCAGAAATGATGGAAATGTTTCAGAAATTCTGAAATTTTTATATAACGCAAGTTACGGTACCCTATCAACCTATTGCTATTATTGCACTTTCAGAAAACGCTGAATACGAGTTGTTATCGGATTGCGACGACATAAGTGATAAAAACTGACCGATTTCGCTGACCGCCAGATAGCCTAAATGTGAATGCAGAACTGCCATGCTACGATGCGCAATTTTTAAGTTTGATGATGTCATTTCACCGTAGGTGCATTGTCATTTATTCTACACGGTAAACCTCGAATTAACTTTCTACGACCAGGGGTTAAAGTTATACAAACCACCAAAGTACGACACTCGGAAGACTTATTTGCGACCAAGGATCAGTGTGCGACTGCGGATTTCAAGCCTTGAACATCGCTTTTGCTGCGTTGAGACTAGAACATACGCAGCCATGCGTGAAAAAATTGGGCTTCTAATTCTGTAATTGCATTTCTGATCGTCATATATTTTAAGAACACGATTATTTTGAACACAACTTGTCAAATTATAAACAAAGCACCGCATCACAGAATTCAAACATACAAAAACACGGTGATCACAAATTGGTCGACAAAGATATTATCGACATATTGGGAATGCGCACCCCCTATTCCCCATCCTTTAAATGTTGAAACGCGAAACTTTAAAGATGGTTAAAAGAAACACAATCTTACCCACCTGCCAAGTTTCATCTTTGTCTCTCTTATATTTGTATAGATTTTCAAGCTTTTTTGAAGGGACAATGGGTAGTTGGCGACATGAAAAAATGGTCCGTTTTTTCTCTTTAGGCGGGTTTTCGGTCATAAGTTTTTTGTTTGTGGCCGCTTTTTAGTGTAATTTCGCAGAGCTACGAGGGATAAGTGGACGAAAATGCGTGAGGAATATCGTCGCAGTTCGTTAATTTTTTCATTATTCTATTAATCGATGAAGTTGATGGCCGCAAATAGAATGTGGCCGCAAAGTGGGTAAGCTACCCTAGGGCCCACAAAAATGTTTGAGATAAATAAAAGTAATAACCTTTTAGCGGTAGTAACACTCTTTAATCATTAAAAATTTAAGGGCAAATGATTATGTATTCAAAGAGAAAAGCGTTTGAAAAAAAATGTTGACATAAGTGGCGATAATAGGATAATCGTAGTTCCTAGTATTGCCATACCCACATTTCCGCTATATTTGCGAGGTGTCACTATAGAAAATTCATTTCGCGACTCGCTGCTGTTGGCATTTTTTTCCTCAGATTGGTAGCTGATGTTCCGAGACAATATAGAGATACTGTTACCTAAGGTATTATAGACTTCGAATGGATTGCAATAAAAAGTGGCGGTAATAGGGTAACTTACGTTAGAAAAGTAACAATTTGTTGCCGATTTAATTCAGTATTCCAGTACTTTCAGACTTTGGGGAGCCTGTGCCCCAGTCTGGATTTCTTTTTGAACGAGAAATTGGGCATGCAATCAGAAATTCCCGCGTGCAAATCAGAATTCCCGGCGTGCAATTATAGCTCACGGTGTGCAAAACAACTGCACCCGCGTGCAAGTGATTTTGACTTTAGATACTGTTCAATACATCTGCGACCTTATACCGGTACTGTTCAGTAAATCCGTGTAAAATTATTGGATAAAAAAGAGCACAATGAACATCCTTTGTCATTAATCCTGTAATCTGTGAATTTTGGGAGTGTTTTTTACGTAGAATTATTGTATGAAAAAATAGGTTGAATCAGTACAAAATGGACGTTTGCTATACTTTGTCACTAATTTTGAGAGTGTTTGTTCAACTTTAGATACCGGTACTGTTCAGTACATCCGTGTAAAATTATTGTATGAAAAATACGCTGAATCAGAGCAGTAACTGACCAGCGCTGGCTAGTCCGGCGATCTTTTTGTCCATAACCATTCTCACAGAATTCCTATTATTCAACACAATGCGCCATACCGCAAAGCAATTTTAAAATACGGTCTTTTTTGCTTGGCTTTTACCATAGCTCGTACCAAAAGCCTATTGATTTTGGATGAATTATGTCGTATAATTAGCAAGTTATTAAGTAATTAGTGATGAAGAGATCTGGATTTTTGCAAATCGGGAGAACGATTTTTACGAATCGAGAGATTTTTGAGACGCGCTGAATGTGTGTGTGCGATGCGCAAATTTTCACACAAGTGAGTCAGAGCGAAAGGTACACACCGCTAGATCGTATCTCGAGATTAATCTTAAAGCATTGTCCATATCCCTCTTGTAACTTCGACGTCGTCGCGATGCGCAAGTTTCCTCCGAGAAATTTTCCGCGCTATTGAGTCAGAGCGAAGGATACACGCCGCGAGATCGTATCTCGTTACTTATAATTACTCTTTAATTAAGCATTGTCCATATCCCTCTATCAGGTTCGAGGTTACAGAATTCCTCACCAAAATATCGCTAGGCTGTGTTTGGATAGCCGCCGCAACCCGGGTTAGCGCCTTTGTATTTGACACAATATATAGGATTGGTAAATAGGCTATTGGCTGGAAACTAATCGAAACAATCCAGTTCGGATTTGCAGAATTCTTCATAAAAGTATTTCCTCGAGTATTATTTTGACGACGACATGGGGAGTTGGCTATTGTTTCCTAAATTTTTGATATTGGCTGAAAATCAAAACCTAAAATCCGTAATCGAAACAATCCAGTTCGGGTTTGCAAAATTTTTCGAATCGAAATTGCAGTTTCTGTTTTGGGGGATCCCCTAACTTTCGATCGATAAGTCTTCGGTCTCTGACCGATATTCTCGTTGAAATATTAGATATCGTTCTGCCATATGTTATCTCACATTTTCTGTTTTGAGTGTGATGAATCTGGTCCCCCTTTTTAATATTTATCGTTCAGCCTTTTCAACTTTTTATCAATTGCTGTTAGACTCATCCAATCGTGTTACTTTCCGATAACAAGCATTTCTCTTTACCCTAAAATGGCATTTTTAGACTATTTTGTTCGGCTCGGCGTAAGGAATACCGCACCTACGGGATAAATATGTGAATTCTGTCCTGCTACTCTCTCGAAAACTCAAAAATTATTTTTCTGTGCAGTGGAAAGATAAACTACTAGTTACTGATTCTTTTAGTTCCTAGTCAAAATTTTTAGTATTTACCAAATTCATTTTTGCACATTAGATAGGAAATACAATTAATTTCGATGTTTTGATACTTTTGATTAATTCCCAGTTTCAACCTCTATAGTGGGCACAGTTCTCCGATTCCAAAATTCCCTGTCATTTGTTCAATAAAACAAACACTCTACTTGTCTCTGAAATGGGGGCATTATATACGTTGGATCGTGCCATGCCTGTCTCTATATTTATTAATCTATTTATTATTTATGTTCATGGACCTCCACATCACCAAAACTAAATTTTTTTGCTAAAAACTTGTGAATGATATGGTATTTGTTTTTTAACAACGATAAATCGATTTATTTTATTGAGAAATAAAATGGTGATGTTTTTGGATTGCACGGTGCAGTTTATTAGCACCATGCCGGTTTGCAGATTGTTGCCGATATGATGGCCCAGACTGTCTTGTAAAGGAGAGATTTGCACTCATTGATATAAATGATGTCTTTTAATATGGAGACAATTATTGGAATCGCTGAACTGTGCCAAACTGGTCTAGCTTTATCTAGAAATGTTTGATACATGCTTTGTGATGTGATGTTTAGTACAAAATTGCATAAAAATGTCTTGATTTTGTACTTTGTATATCATAGCATTTTTGTCTTGTTGGTTAATTTCAGGTTCACTTTTCTAGGTTGCCTAAACTCTTTGTTTATTTCACACTTACAGGTGCAGTAACAGTATTTCCATCATAAATTAGAAATAGTGATACAGTCAATACAAAATGGATGCTGTGAAATCCTTCAATGATGAGGTGAAACTCTATTTTATTTATTTGGGGTTCATGCTGACCAGCTGAGATTATTTACAAAAAATTGTCTTCATCTTGTATTCATGCAAAGTATTAGGACATCGGAACGTAGTATTTGTACCAGGGTTAGGCCCCGATTTTACCCAAGTGACTCCCATTTGTACCTGAAATTATGGCCTGGTACACATACTATGTTTCGTTCAGCATCTTGGTTCACATTCTTCGGGAGTAATGTAGTTTTTACCATCACTCAAACACAACAGTTTCTTATTAATCAATAGTTCACTTGATGTAGTTTCAATGACCAACATCATTGCTTATTTATTTTATTTACTGAGTATATACTGTATTTAATTCATACTATTTGTTGCATTTTAGCTTTCAAGCATCTACGAGACAAAACCCCCAGTGTCTCGAGCAAAGATGACAATCCTGACTAAGAAAGCAATAAAAGGAATCAAGTTCTACAAACACATCGTACAAAGTATGGAGAAATTCATACAAAAGGTATTTTGATATTTTTAACCCCGGATCCCAGTCCCACAGTTCGGGCCGGGTCGGGCTTCTCTATTGCTGACTTTTTCTTAAAGTAAATATAGGTTTATAAAAAATATACTAAACATAGGTATGGATACTAAACTAAGGAATACGTGTTATAAAATAAATGGCAATTCAAAGAACTCCTAAATAAAATATGAAATTTCAGGTTAGCTCCGGGCTCGTTTCTGCAAATCCAGTGAATTAGTCGGGGTGGGTAGGGTTTAATCAATACCCCCGGGCCTGGGTCAGGCTGGGCTGGAATTTTTGGGCCCGATTTTACCCCTACTTTCTACTTCCTTTGACTGCTTGCACAATGATGACATAGAGATATGGACAGATGATCATTCATGATTATAATAGCAGACTCTAAGTCAGGCCTGCACAACATACGGCCCGCGGGCCATATGCCGCCCGCTAGATACTTCTGTGCGGCCCGCGGGTGATTTGGAAACAAATCTTTGTTATTGCTTTTTTTGTTACATTGTTATTTATGCAAGCGCGCCGCTACTCCGATCATATTAGAAATCGTGAGATTTATGTTTTGCACTAGTTTCAATAAATATCGAACTTGGTATAAAATTGGTGTGCCCTTCGCGACCCTTAAAATTCGTCGCTCGACGTCTCGCCCCCCAGTTTGGGAAACCCTGATTTAGATATCTCGGTATTCAAACTGAATCACGCTCAAAACAATATCGGTATACAATCTCGCACCCATTAGTGCATATTAGCAACCTATTAATAACCCCACTATTTTTTACTAGCAGTTTATGAAACTGAAGTTTCTTTTTCAAATTTAGAACTTGAAAAACAATTTTTTCATTCATGAATGCTGCAGAAATTCTCGTACAAAAGATATTGCTATTTACCTTGAAACTTCAAAAAGTTGGAGCAAATTTTGTAGAAAAATGTAATTTAACAGTCGAAAAAGTACAACAGAGGAATTTCTATCGCTACTAAATGGATTGTTTGTCCAGCCTGCAATGGAAATATCTAAAAATGTTAGATATGACTGAATATGTGGGACGATTTTACAAAACTGAACCTTAGTATAATATTTTCCTGCAGTCAGTTTATACTGCAACACGCAATACCTAATTCTAATAAAATAAAAATATTGAAAATGAAGGGTGGGTTTTCAAGGTAGATGAACCACTAAATACTCAAGAAAATAAGATTCTTCATATTTTTAAGCTTTCCAGTAATGAAAGTGTTCCATCAAATTTAACTGTTTCACAATATTATTTTGATTTGTTCATCTTGTGAAATATGTATGTGGCAAAGTTTGCGGCCCGCCGGGCCTTCAGATTTATCCTTGCGGCCCTCGTGGTAATTTGAGTTGTGCAGGCCTGCTCTAAGTGCATGACTTAACATAGGTGGATCCTTCTTCCTTTGCCTATTCTGGAACCTTAATAATAATACCTTTTTACTAACTTATTAATTCTATTTTAATATGATGATTCCCAAACTTTTAGAACAATTCTCATTTTTACAGTGTCGACCGGAATACAAAGTTCCCGGACTCTATGTGATAGACTCGGTCGTTCGGCAATCAAGACATCAGTTTGGTCAGGAGAAAGACGTCTTCATGCCGAGACTGTGCAAAAATATTCTCGTCACCTTCAAACATTTGTATAAATGTCCACAAGAGGAGAAGGTAGGACTGGTGTTAAGTAAGATGTTAAACTACTGGCTTTGACCTGGAAAGAAAAGTTGGATTTGAAACTTAAACGGATTTTCAATATGGATCAAATAATTGAAACAATTCAAACTCAATTATATTCAATATTTAAAATTTTGTGTTTTAAGGATAATTTAGAATAAGGGTGTGCAAACTGCAAGCCGAATGCGGCCCACAAGGAAAAATTTTTTTGGCTTTTGTAGAAGTGCCAATTCTAGAAATTGAAAGTAATTGTGCAAGTCATTGAAATCCCTTTCTGCTGCAATGTCTATGTCTATGATGTTACAACGCCCTAACAGCTAGCTTGTGCGAATCGAACAACGCATTTCATAAGATCAAAAACCAAAATTTTTATGCCTGTGACTGCTACAAAACCTATGTTGAATAAAAGTGCGGCCCAAGGTTTTACTCAGTTATTTGTATCTGGCCCTCCTATATTAAAGGTTGCACACCCCTGATTTAGAATATTTAAAAACATTATTCTGAGAAATTGAGGTCTCTCAGTATGGCCAAATAGATGTACGTAATCAATCAAATCTATAAAGGTAACCATTGTTCTGTAAGCCCACGCACACCTATTTACTCGCAAATAACATTAGACCTGCCTCTTGGCGAAGTTATGGAGCGCTCACTGTTAATAATAGCTAATGAGACCATAAACGAGAATATCGGTCGGAGACCTAAGACTTATCGATCGAAAGTTAGGAGATCCCCCAAAACAGAAGCTGCGGTTTCGATTCATGCGCTTTTACTCCATAGTGACGCCCAGTGGCGCAACCAGCGGGGGGTTACAGGTGTCGTGTCCCCCCGTTTGAAATTCGTTTTTTTTTTATTATTGTTCTACGTTCAAACAGTGTCGTTCTACGGTCATAACAATCCGGTGAAAACTACTTTTTTCCAGTGCTTTATCACCCCGACGTAATTTAACACCGTCCGACTTCAATCATACCTGACGTAATAAACGCTATCCCCGCGTATATGTTTGTATTCGTAAATGAGATATGTTACCTCAAAAAAGTAGAAATCGCGCGCTGTCGATGCGAATTGAAAGCGACAAGCGACAATAGCATAATGCTATCTCTCTCTCTCTCTTATGACGAATACTCTCGTGCTTCATCATCTTGACGCAATGTAACGCTGCCCGTCTTCATGTTATAATAATGCAGTAGAAACTCTGAAAATATGGATACGAAAATTATTTTCGGAAAAATATTGCTTCGATTAACCTAAGATTTTCTACATATGAAAGGCCGAAAACCGAAAACGCCGTACGCATCCTATCGTCCCCGTCCACTTTTCTGATTTAAAAACATTTCACAATTATTTCATTTTTTATCGCAATCGAAAGCAGCCATGTGTAGCACGGCAATAACTAACAGTCGTCATGAAAGGTTTTCAATAAACTCCGACTTGAAGTGCTTATAAGACGTCGAGGGCGTTTTTGGTTGAAAATTTTTTACATTTGTTATCGTATATTTCAATATAGTCAAGATATGTTGTGCACCTCGGCAATAAACTTAAAAGCAAATCCTGTCCTAATAAATTGTTTTCATCCTCAGTTTCGATAGTTATCGAACTTAACGGAAATTTTTTAATTTCTTGCAGTCTAAAATAGCTTCCAAATAATATTTGGTTTCTATCGAAGGTTTTATCGTTATCCCGACGTCGTTGATAACAATATTGTTCATTTTAAGTTGGAGGTATTGGTTTATAATCAAAAAATTATAACACATAACATGAAAAATTTAAATCAACGCAGACTCAAAAAGTAAAACACGTTTTTCCATCTTTATTCTCCATTATTGGCGGACGGAAATTTGGGAATCGGGTTTACCTAATTTGATTATGATGACGATGGTAAACAAAAGTACACAAACATACCATACCGTTCTTAGTCGTTATTTCTCTGTCCTTTCTTCTTTCTATGTGCATATTCATTTTTGAACTCTGTGCTGATTTGAATATTTCATTTCGGCTGTTATGTATTTTTGTTTGTAAATAATATCTATCCGCGATAGATATTAAATACTATTTAAGAGCTATTTTATACGCGCTAAATTACAAGAAAAGAAAAAATTTCCTGTTATGTTCGGTCACTATTGAAACTGAGGATGAAAACAACTAATTAAGACACAATTTGCCGAGGACGCCTAAACCATCTCGACTAAGTTAAAATACACGATAAATACACGAAAATATTTTCAATCAAAAAAGTCCTCGAAGTCTTATAAGTTCTTCAAGTCAGCGTTTATCGAAATTCTTTCATGTCAGCTCAGCTGTAATATATTGTTTCACTATCCACGAGGAAAATAATTAACAGCTTTTCGTTAGCAAGTCGCTGGAATGTAATGAACGGCGTTTTGCTACCCACGAGGTGCAAGACATAGCGAAGCGCCGTTAATGAACGAGTGAAAGGCTGGGATTTAGTCGATGGCGTTTCCCTTTTGACCACGAGCAATTTATCGTGTTTCAGCGGGGCGACACCTAGTGGCATTGCGACTTACGTCGTGGTTGCACTGTGTAAATTCCGGTCGGACCCCCCTGTTGAAAACGGCCTGGTTGCGCCACTGGTGACACCGTGTGTCCTATCACTGATTTAACTCGCTAAATATACGACTTAATTTATCCAATATCAATAGGCTCCTGATCCTAGATATGATGAATGCAATTACAAAATTGGAAGCAGATTCACCCTCGCTTTCGTGAGATATTGCGTGTATCTGACAAACAAACAGACAAATACCTATCTATCAACATACTTACCGATCGATAAGTAATAAGATAACTTATTAAGATCTTAATAACTTACTTAAGATCGATAAGTAATAATTATAATGTAGAATTACACTTAGCGCAGTGGTTCCGACAATTGATTGACTTTGGGGCTAAAATTAGAAACGCGAGGATGTTTGTGGGCTGGAAGAGGCGAGCGCTCACAACGGGCCGGTACTGGTGCGTATAATGAAATTAGGATACCAACGTTGTTACCAAAATAAACACTGCTTGTGATACAGCTTGTCTTGAGACTTGAAAGAGTTCATCTTATTAAGAATATTATACAAATTGCATTAGCTATTGATCTTCGTTTTCATTATTTTTACAGCAACGGATTATCAGAGTCCTGAACCTCTGGCAGAAGAACAATGTTTTTCCTCCTGAGATCGTCCAGCAGTTGTTGGTCATGGGTGGGGCCCCCGTACCCGATGGGCCGGCTTCATCTCAGCCCCCTGCCCCGTTATCATTGCCCCAACTTGCAGACGTATCCTCCATTGCAATCGGAGAGGTTTGTCGGTATTTTTTATTTGTTTATTTTTTTACTCCTGTGCATTTTTTCCACCTTGAACAATACTCTGTTTAAACAGCTACTGATATATCAGGATCTGCAATATTTAGATAGGGCCAGAATCTTCGTTGCTTCAGAAGTGCATGTACCAATATGAAGATAACTGATTTTGTACGCCTACTTGACATCAAGTTGTGTAAAGGGACTGAAACCTATGGGTATATTCCCAGACAGTGTCCGAACACATATTAGAACTAAAATAATGAAAATCGGAATAAAATTATGGCCTAACCCTAACCTGGTACACATACCACAGGAAAAACCATACCATATTTTGTTTTGGCCCTCACAGATGTATTACATGAAGTAAAAATACTGAAACAATATCTGATTTTAAAACAACAAACCTGGTTAATATATATTGAGAACCAACTTTATAACAAAATTGAAATTGTAAAGGGACTTTATGGACACCCTGTACGAGGTGTTCGTATGTTCAGGATATATGGATATGTTTTTTGGTCGAACTTATTAAATATATATTGACTTCCAACATGTACTTTGTTGAACTTGATTCGGCACTTTTTCAGTAGATAATGATTTTCTGTTGCGTAAAATATTCAATCCAGGGCTGATGTGAACATTTAAAATGTCTTACCATATTAATTTAATTGTGTTCATCGTAACTCGCGGTTTCGTTGACTTTCAGTAAAGTAAAAGCACACGCAACCCCTGTCTGACACCATTCACATAATTCTTTCCAACTTTCAGTCAACAGACACAGGTTCCCTCACAAACATGCTGGCTCAACTCCTGGCGAATCCTGACAATCCACAGATTCAACAACTGACAGGAATGCTCTCAAACTCACAGCAGGCTCAACTACAAGCCCTGGTCAATCAAGTCAAAGGACAGCAGGTATGTTGAGATTAGAGCTTTTGCACTCTGAACAGGTTCCTGTACAATAATATCTCACAACAGTAGTTCCCAACTGAGGGCCCATGGACCCTCAAGGGGGCCAAAGAACAGTTGGTGGGTGCCACAATGCTAGACTCAAAACTGATTTTACTAGAAAACTCTTCCGTTCTTCCAATTTCTATTGCTTGATAAGATTATTCCAAAATAACTCTATAAATGCCAGTAGATTTGATAAACGAGGCCATAAATGCTGAAATCCGCCGGAAATGGAGCTTAAAAGGTTAGGAACCACTGTCTTTTATTTTCAATGTTTTAATCTGACCCTTATTTTGCTAGAGTTTTCATTCTATTTTCATGGTTTGGGTTATGCCACCGCTTGGTATACTTCGGACTAGTCCGCAATCTTTACAAAAATTGGCTTCGGATTTACAGGCTGTCATATGTTAGGATGGACATCTGCTGTTTAAAATCAAGAAACTTTCTTCATTAGATCTTGACCTAATTCATCCTTGAATTTCATGAACCATGTTTAGCTTTTAATTAACTCATAACTTTTTAATCCGCGCCCCTTTGTCTCATCTTGTGCCCGCCTCAAAAATAACTAGCTCACAATAAAGCTACAAATGAAAAATAGTCGGGCGAAAGTACGTTTTATTCAAATAACATGACATGATTCAAACATGCTTTTCTTTTGATTAAAAAAAACTTATTAAATCTTTTCGTTATATTTTTAAAGTTCTAAAAACTTATCCTTTCAATTTTTTCCAGGATGATACGAAAGGGGAAGCCCCTCAACCAGTCTCATCCTCCCATACTGAACCCCCAACAATGACACAGCGGCCCCCTCAACCCTCACATCAAGCATCTGTGTTTGAACCTCGCCAGGACAACAGGCAGCCACCATTTCTACATTCACAGGTGTGAAAACCTATAATATGGAAAATTGCAAACTCCTCTTTTTGCAGAAAGCTATAAATAAGTTTGCTCTAAGCAAGGTTGAAGTCGACCACTGACAATCTAAAAACTATTTTTTTCTACAACTTTGCACCCATCTTATTCAACTTGATTACTCCCCTTTTTTCTGCATTTTATTTTCGTTCATTCAAATTTTTTAATTCTCATTTGTTGAAGTTTTATTCAATTTTTTTACTCCCTATGTTTGTTAAATTTTATGGCGCTCCAGATATGTGTGTGCCAATATGGGGGCAATATGGTAACTAATTTTTTTCGACTATTTTACATCAAGTTTTGTAAAGGGACTGAAACCTATGGGCAGGGGGTATATTAACTTGGCTAACACAGACAGTCCCCGAACTCGTAACAAAACTAAAATAAGAAAAATCGGACTTAAATTATGGCCTAACCCTAACTTGGTACATATACTATGGGTGTACCAATTTTACAACTTATTTGTTTAATCTTCTATTTCAGGCCCAGGAAAGCAACGTTCCATCTCGGCCTTCATTTAACCGAGCCATTCTGGATTATGACTACAGCGACGATGAGTCTCCGAAATCACAAGAACAGAACAAACATAGGCCTGGGATGTGAGTTGTTATTCATTAGATCTTAGTAAAGGTGATGTGTACAGGAGAAAAGTCTACATATGAGTTGTTTTTCCATATGCCGCTCAGAACAAGGTGCTGTACAGCAAGCCACTGTTATGAAAGAAACTGGTATATCTTGTGTTTAACTTTCACTTTCGTAACACTGTAAATATAGTTCATTTTCACACTTACATAGCCCACCAGTCTAGATGGGTGAATTATTTGGCCCCAGGTTCAAAAACCTTGCGCACCCTAGGTTTATCACTGTAGCTAAGTCCAACGTTAATCCTTCTATAAACATTCCACAGAGATATGGATCTACTTGCCAAGTTGCCCACTGTGGATCAGCTCCATCAAATAACAGGAGAACAGGTTCCTAATGGCAACGATTCGTTTCCAAGACAACACCAGGAAGACAGGTTACCACGGCAACACGAGGATGACGACAGGAGACGTAGATTGGAGCAGGAACAGGAAGTTTTCAATAAACAGATACAACAGTGAGTTATTATTCTTGCGCTAAAAAGAAGGCATAAGAGGAGTTAATGAATAGCTGCTTTGTTTTTAGCAAGACATTCGGCCTCGAACATGGCCGTAGGCAAGCAGAACGAGTTACATGATAAGCTGATAAGCCTTTCTGGTTCAACTTATCCTGCTTAATTCATTTCCTTCTAGGTGAGACAGTGTGCATAGGGATTTTATAATGTGCGATTCCTATGCTTTAAATATCTAACCACCAGACCAGAAAATTGGGTCTTGAATGAGTAGTTTTGCCATTTTGACTTTGAGGGGGTAATTCGGACGTCTTAACAATTTTTTTGGAAATTCCCATCCTTCACAATGTCACGAAAAGTGATACGTGTATTGTTCGCATCTAGTCAATGGGCATTGTTACCTCAGAGCTAAGTCAAATAAAAGTTTTCTAATAAAGTAAATAACACAAACGTCCTCTCATTCACCCAATTTCGAGGACGCCTACTATACACATTTGATTCTGCAATAGAAAGAAATTTGCGTATTTGTGGAGCAGAAAAAAGGGTACTCCCGCAGTGTGTGTACCAGGATAGGGTTAGTCCATAATTCTATTACGATTTTCCTCATTTTAGTTCCATTTTCAAACCAGCCTATTTCACAACTTCCTGATTGTTGCACACAGGTTATCTTCAGAATTTGGGGAAGGTGAAAGGTCATCTCAAGATGACAGAAGTTCAAGGTCAACCAGTAGAAGACAAAGGTCAAAGTCACCTAAGAAGAGATCAAGGTCAGTTCAAAGTCATTTGGTTCAAATATTTTTGTTTGCTTAAAGCAAAGTCCCAATCCCTCTAACAAAACTGGAAAGAATACTGATGAAAGAGTTGTGAGCGAGCGATTGAGACAATATTAGAAGTGTAGCAAATTTCCAGTAGGAAGAGGTCGCTAGAGGGTTACAACTTTCTAGTTTTTCTAGTTCTACACATAGTTTCTCAAACTGCGATTTGTTTAATTTTTTGAACGGTTTTGTATTTATTCTTTTTAATATGGTTTGTTGGATTTTTTATATTGAACATATTAAATAACTGATTAAAATCTGTTAAAAACCAAATCAGGGTCACCAATATTGAAGGTTTTGGAAGGTACAACAAACTATGAAAATTTTTTTTAAATTATTTAATGGGAAATCTGCAGGTCCCGCGATCATCACCGGCACAGAAGACGAAGCCGTTCCAGGTCTCGAGACAGAAGTAGAAGGTCCCGACGGTCACGCTCTCGGGATCGTCACAGATCACATCACAGGAGATCATCAGACCGTGACAGAAGATCGGCAGACCGTGACCGAGAGCATAGAGACAGAGGATTGCCGCCAATACGGGATGGATTCATAAGCCGTGAGTTTAACCAGACTTTTTTGAAATATAGATGATTTTGGAACATTTTTTTTATTTTTTCAAAGCAAGGCCTCATAGTTACAAGCACTTGAAATCAAGGAGTCACAAACTGCTGTTTACTGGTGTGAATTAAAGCAATACTTAACATAAACAGTTCAGTTGTCACCACAAATAACAGAATATAAAGTGAAACATAATGTTGCCACTGCTGCATCAAAGTACTGAATTACCCCTGGAACCGGCATGGCAGTATTTATACCCAGAAATCATGCTTCAGTAGTTTTACCCACAATGCCATACCATCATGCTGTGCTGTCATTGGTCAGTTAAAGAGTGGAAAATAGGATTAAAGTACAGTTATCCCAGGATGACAATCACCTGGACAAAGTGTAAATGAGAACACACAAGTTAACAACGGCCACTGTAGTACTGTGGAGAGATAAAATAATGGTGATTAGGCTCCGAACTGACAAAATTCAACTGCAGAATTGGGAAAAATACTTAAATACTCTGGAAGGCTTGTCTGGAAATCTCACTGTAGGAAATTTCGCCGCATGAAAATCGCCACAAGAGCGTTTTGCTGTAAAACAAGCATCCGTGTTAAAAACAGTTAGGTTTATAGGGTTAGGGTTAGGGTTAGGGTATGCTCTCAAATAACAAATCCTTTTTAAATAAAAAGGTATTTCAAAAACCTAACTGTTTTTATTACAAATACTTGTTTTACAGCAAAAGCTTTTGTGGCGATTTTTTGCATATGGTGAGATTTTCTGTGGCAAATTTTCCTAGAACCTTCTGGATGATCCAAAACGGTGTTCATTCCAAATGTATTTGCTTCATTTCTGGCATCCCCTTTTCATCTGACAATTTTTCTAAACTTCTTTTTTTTTCCTTCAGTTTGTTCAAAAACTCTTTGGATTGGGAATTTGTCGTCAAAGGTTTCACAGCAGGAACTCAGAACAGAAGTTGAAAACCATGGGAAGATTGAATCCATAAATGTGAGTGGCTTTGTATGCAATACTTATTCACGCATTTCACACCAAACCACTTCGCTATTGAAACTGAGTATCTAGATGCTAATATTTTGCAATGGGTACTTCCGTAGTATGTGTGCCAGGTGAAGGTTAAACCATAATTTTATTCCGATTTTCCTTATTTTAGTTCTATTACGAGTTCAGGGACTGTCTGTGTTAGCCAAGTAAATATACCCCCTGCCCATAGGTTTCAGTCCCTTTACACAACTTGATGTAAAGTAGGCGAACAAAATTAGTTACCGCCATCACCTGTCCTTGATTTGGGTCTCTAGGAATATTGCTACTAATTATTAAGGTTCATCTGTTTTCAAATTTTCAATCGGGAACTCCTTTCTAATAACTCCTAGTGAAAAACTGTCAAAACTACCAAAAACTTTCTGAAACATGCAGAAAACATGTTAAAAACCTCGATAAAATGTCAACAGAAGTGAAAACTAACTGCCAAAAAACGCTAAAAACCTTGCTAAAACATGAAAAACCGTGTAAAAACGGTGCTTACTATTCTGCACACATAGTTTTTCTCTCTTTTCCAGATGATACCACCTCGAGGATGCGCGTATATATGTATGGAGAAACGGGAGGAGGCCGCAGCAGCCCTGCAGAAGCTGAGACACATTAAGATACATGGAAAGGTATAATGCTGGGGGTTAGTTGATCGTTCAAGCATTTTATAAATGCAGGGTAGTCGCTAGAAAAACAGAAAATTTGTCGAACAGCTTTCATTTAAAAGTTTTTTGAAAGCATATGTTATATTAGGTGTACCAGAGTATTGTGTACTGAACTGCAAGTCCTTCCTCCCTGTTCACTTTCTATTGCGGATCCGTATGTGTCCGTTGCCACAAGGATGGTTGGTCGAGATAGTATTATAAAGATAAATAGAAATCGCATAATCTCTTTCCACAAAATAAACTTACCATTACGTGGAAAGAGAATATGTTATTCATATGTTATATTACATAAATCAAATAGAAACTTGAAAGTAATAAAAACGTATCAAAAAGAAATAAGCATGCATTTTATTAATGATCTCATCTGACCTTCAATTTCTCTAGTGACCAACCACCCTGTATATTCAATATTTGGAAATATTATTTTGAAAAGTAATCGCAATAGTTAATATTCGGATGTTTCAGACTTTTTTATTCACCTTTGCAAAATTTTTGGTAAGTAGGGTTTGGGGCAGGGTGTCCTCCTAAGGTCCGAGGAATCAAAAGAGAGATTGAAAAATTAAATAACCACCATTCAAGGGACTCTACCCTTTTAACTACTCAAAATTCAAAAAGCAAAGTTGTGAGAATATTCCATCGACATTTTTCAGTCTTTGAAAGTTGATTGGGCTCCTGGTAAAGAAGTGAAAGAAGAATTCAAGGAATTTTGGTCAAAGGAGTACGGCGTGAATTATATCCCGTTATCTAGAGTTGTGGATCACTTGGTGGCGCTAAGACATCAAGGATTTATTGACATTGATTCCGTTCCGGAAGAAAAAAGAGGTGAGAAATTTTCTTCAGTTCATTACGTCTATTTTATTACTCTCTACTGAAAACAAATTCTACAATGAGACCCGAACTCGTAATAGAACTAAAATCGGAATAAAATTATGGCCTAACTCTAACCTGGTACACACACTATGGGAGTACCCACCTACTGGAAAATATATTCCAGCTCCCCTAACAGTGCAGACTGATCTTTTACCAGCTGATAGTTGTCCCGGTGATCTTCTTATTTCTCTACTTTAACTCATTCATAAAATAGTCTCCGATATCTTAACACTTTTAATTGTAGAAATTGTTTTGAACAAACATTTTTCCTAGTCGAGCTTTCCCAAGCTGCTGAAAATGAGGTAAAGGAATCAGAAGTTGCTCCAACTGCTGCTATGGCAACAGGTGTACCAATGGCACCAATGCCTGGCGTTTCAATGGTGCCTGGTGGCATGGTCCCGGTGCCAGGGACACAAGGCGGCATGGTGACGGGACCTGGTGGTATGCCAATAATGATGAGACCAGCGTTTCCGTTCCCTGGAATGGGACAGTTTGGTGAGTAGTTGATGATTTTAAACTGCGTTAATTTATGTCTTTTCTGCTGAACAAGCATTCGCTGATATCTATTATTGTCTACCTCAGTGGTTCTCAACTTGTGGTACGGGGGTGCTTTTCAAGTAGTACGCAAGTAGCTTTGAATCATTACTACAATTATATTTTGAGTTGGCTAAAATATGGCGGCAATACTTTTTCTTTATCTTCATGCCTGCATAATTGCAAGGCAGCAGACGGTACATCCCATATAATTGTATCAAAGCCTTCTATATCATTGACAGCCCCACAGCAGAGGATGCCAGGATTCCAGATTGCACCGGGAGGCATGGCACCACGTCCTACAATGAGGCTTCCCACTCAAGCCACGGCTGTTGAGGCACCGAGCCCTCAGAAACATGAAGTGCCCACTAGTGGCAGTAGAACACCAACGATGGACGAGAGGCAAGCTGACGGAGCTCAGAAAGCAGCAGGTAAGTCATATTTTAATGTAATATCTGAATTGAATCTAGAATAACGAATCCTATTCTATTTCTATAGCTATTCAATGGAAATTCTCTCACTACTTAGCTGGGTTGAAATTTCAATAAAGCAAAATTTTAAATGTATTACTCTTTGTATTTTATTGGAATTATTCTTGGCATTGGATTTTATTTAATACCAAACAGGCATTTCTCAAGACAATGTAATTTAAGAATTTTGACGCAATTTTTTTGCCTTGAATAGTTCAAAATTTCGGTGATTTCCAAATACTGATATGCTAAATTAAAACTCGCATTTTACGCCTTAATAGTAATCGGTATATATGAAACAGCTTCTAATCATTGTTAATGTGAGAGAACCGAGTCTAATAAAAGACACCTGCTGAGAATTAATTTGATGCAGAGGCAACTGCGGCCGTAGTGGTTACCGCGCTTTGTGTTCCTGTACTAGTTAATGTAATAGGTAGTAACATCTAAGGACTAATTCATTTTCTATTACAAAATGATTTCTTGGTATTATCATTATATACCTCCCAAACTTGGCCCCACTCAAACGTTTCGCATGCTACTTGTGGCGCCTTCTTTTATTCCAATCATCTGTTGCGTAATGAACATTCACAGCGGCAGAAACCATCATTATGTTACCTTGGTACGGTGTTGTGTTAGGCATTATTACTTAGAATGCATGCTGTGGTGTTATAACTAGAATGCTTTTCCTGAAAGAACATAGATTCGTTTACATTCACCGACGTAGCAGCCAGCAGTATGTCTACTCTAATGACTAATCCATTGTGCCATGCCACATTTATTGATAAATTGTGTACCAGTACCACAAAGTTTTTTTGCAACTTTACTTCATTTCCATCTCAGCGGTCGGCACATCATTTTAAGTGAATCCCATAGGGATAATAAAGTTTTAGAAGATTGCTAGACTCCTTGCCTCATAAGGTGGGACACGTAACCACAAATATGTTATGACTTTCTCCACCATTGAGACCATGCACTTAAAACAAATAACTGGCAAACCCATACCCGACATTGACTGGTAACCAGACAGCCGTGGTTCGCCATATAATGAAGTCATCTTATCTACTTTCCTTTTCCCCTTGCATAAATATGAAATTCCATTTACAGCAGTAGCAGCCAGCATCATGTCTACAGTCCAACCTCAGCTACAGGCCCAGCAAATATCAATGGCCCAACCTCGCTTCCATGGACCGGTGCAGGTGAGAATGTTATCTATTGTTTATTACTGAATTACTGAAGTATTACTGAAGACACACATTATAATCTCTGGCTCCATAGACGTTTCCTCGACCTTTGACCCCGACAAACACTCCTTTACTTTGCTATTGCAAAATTTCCAACTCTTATTTTAATAGTGTTTTGGAGAGTTAGCGCTTACAAACGGGCTCACATGTTCACTATCATTTTTATTCAAAACAATCTAACCACATGCCGCTTACAAATGCTGGTAGCTGATTTTAGCCCATTCTAACCAAGAGATTGCGGTTCCTATTTTTGATTATTGCAATCGGCCGCACGAATATCTGAGAAGTCTTATTTTGGTCAGATGAAACGTCACAGACATACATTTGTGTTAGTGTGTCAGCAAGACTCTTGAATCACTTAAATAGGTATCTTCACTCTTGCTACAGCATCCTTGCATTATACACATACGGATCCACAAGCACAAAGGCATTGAGGAAGGATTGGGTCTTGCGTAACCTCTACTGATAATTTATGTAACTGTAATTCTTTCATTGTCGAATCTTTCATATTTCAGATTCGTATGATGCCGGGCGTTCACCCCCACTCCCCCCAAGTAATGCAACAACGAATTGGAATGAATGTCATGCCAATAAGGATGGGAATGCCGATGCAGTTCAGACCTGGGTTTGCAAGGTAAGTTCCTGTTTGTAACAGTTCATTTATCTTGAGAGGTTTTTATCAGGTTCTGCCTGTCACACATGACTTTGTTACGGTTATTACTAGGCTTGCACATTATTGAACAAAATCAATTCCGGAATTGCGACAAAATCGCTCACATAATAAACCTATAATTTTAATATTTTAAGTTACATTGCACTTGCCGATTTCTCCAGTCATAAAAGTATGGAATTAAGATGACACATGTTCAATCTGCAAGCATCGTGGTACATCCAAATTACTTGAATAATCTGATACTGGGCGAACAAAATGAAACTAATTCTGAGATTCTGTTGTTAAAGTTCATTTATCGGGGTTTTTATCAGGTTTCGGCTATTACGCTTGATTTTGGTACAGACCTTGATTTGAGTGAAAGGGCCACGTAGAAAAACAATGTCGAATTTTATTGAAGGCAAATTGAAATGCTAGGATTAGTAGACTCCTATATTCACTCTATTTTACAACATGCTGGTGGTCCACCTGGCATGTTGTACAAAGGCAGTATTATTCAATTGCTATGAAAACTAATTTTAAGCTCTTTAACTTTCCCTTTCCAGGGTTCCTATGATGCCACATCCATTCCAACCTCAGCCGGGGATGCAAATGCAAAGGATGGGGCAGGTATGTGTGTTTGGTTGCTGGTGTGCTAAGCGTTGGGAATACGCTTGATTACCCTGCATGGGTTCGCAGGTTTGAATCCATGCAGGAATAGTTATGTGTGAGAGGATTGCTGGACTTCTCGTCGCCGTAGGATGGTTCACGTAACCGCTGGTCGGATACGGCTTCCTTAACTATCAAGTCAAGGCTTCCGAAAACAAATAAATGGCTAACTAATTCCATACCCGACATGGACTGGTAACTGGACGAGAGACCGTGGTTCGCCATAATTATGGTTAAGCCGCCTTATCGTCTTCTCCCCTGGGATAAATATGTAAATCCTATCCCACTGGGGATGTGCCGGGGTCAGGGATGGGGAGCGGGTTAGGAATGGATGAAACACCTACATCTTTCCTGGTTAGATGGGTCCTGTTGGGTTATGTTGAAAGCACAAGAAATAAAGTGGGTCCTGGATGTGGGTATATTACATTACCCCTGGTTCACAAAAATCGACTTTGATATACAAAATATGTCCTGGTGGAGATGGACGACCTTACTTTCAATCTTTTATTTATTATTGTTGCGTCTGAACATAGTTGAAACATGTCTTGGTATGTAGAAGTCTTACCCCAGTTAGACGAAGCACTAAAACTATCAGTGTTGTGTGCAACTTGGGTTACATGGGATTATCATCGTTGAATACAGCATTCTCAAAATTATTCAACCCTGAATTAGGAGCTCAAAATCAACTTTATTTTTCAGATGATGCCATCTATGCCTCAAGGTGCAATGCATCTACAAGGCCCCATGGGTTTAGGGCCACCGTTTCCAGGGCAACAGCAACCCCCGGAACGGCCCCCACTGGAGGACGACGGAGTGATTGTTGAGGAAGAAGTCGTGCTGGAGGATCCAGATAAAGATGAGAAGCTTGGAGATAAAACCATTGAACTGAATGGTGGGAAGAGACCTCCCCAACCCGCAATAGAAGTTAGGCTCCCTCCAGTGGACCATCGACGTCCTTCGGTCGAAGACAGAATTCGTATGGATGAGCGACCACCAATAGAGATACACGACCGTCCCCCAGGGTTCCGCATGGATGAACGCCCTCCACCTGGATACAGAATGGATGATCGGGGCCCTCCAGGTTTTCGCAGATCCCCCCCGGGGAGGTTTGGATTTGATGGACGTCACCCTCCAGTGGATGGACCACTCGGCGGACCAAGATATCCTGACAGAGAAAGGTCTGTATCATTCTGTTTATATCTTCACTCTAAACAAGGCTCTGGACAACTGCCATGTAAATTATAGATCTTTTCTCCCAACTGGCGACAGTTCAATATTGCGTATCGTCAGCCTAAATCTGGCTAACTTTTTGGGGGTAGTGGCATTTTCGTTAACCGTCGGTCGGCCTATCTTTTTGACTGTCAAGTTCATTATTGATTTTATAGCAATCTTTTTGGTCTTGCTATATGCCAACAAGTAGGCCTAAAGCAAGTGTCGGCAACCTACGGCCAGACTTGCAGGCCAGATCCGGCCCTCGGCGCTTTACTGCATTATAGTAACAAAACAGCTGTTTTGACGATTATATTTTTTATACGTAAAAGAATTTATTGTGAGACATGTGTAGACTGAATTATATTATAATCTAACAAGTATAAAATTCACAATTACTCATTTAATGAGCCCAAACCTAAAATTTAATCAAAATTAGACAAATGGCAACAAAACGCAGAAAAGTTGATGCTAAGTGCAAAGGGTTCATTGGCGCCGGATATATTCAAATGGAATTTTTTGAAGTGCAATGCAATGAGGAAATAAATCTATATTCTATTCGAGAGATGTATTGTTGCTTGATTTTTATCATAAGAAGTATCATCCGTTCGGTTTTCAACTTCCTGAAAAGTATGTGCGGCTCGCCAATAACTTGCAACCCGAAAGTTTAGCCCGCTAGCGACAAAAGGTTGCCGACCCCTGGCCTAAAGATTAAAACCAAAAGGTCAACTATTCTATCTCTGCCTGGTTTTACTTTGAAATGCTGAAAAAATTACTCATGTTCACTAGGCTTGCCATAATTGACAAAAATCAATTCTGTAAACGATATTCCGATCACCATCCTTCATTTGACATTAAATCATTTCGCGGCCTAAATGTTATACCATTAATGCTCATAATTTAAATGCCGTACTGCACTCACGAAAAAATTTACTTATTTTTCTAACTAAAGTCGACGATCCTATCGGCCGAGATTCACACAAGTTTGGTCGAGTGCCTGTGGTATTCGAGTCGACGATAAAATCAAAAAAAGGTTGCCGCGTTTGGTAAAGACAGTTGGCCGAAATTTTGCGAGGCATTGTGAAAAACATATTGAGCAAGGCCAGGTCCGGACATATAACGATAACCAGTGTAACAGAAAGATTTCGTAATAGAAAATGGATCACGCACAGAATAAACACACTGGCTCATACTTGATTATATTTGATAGTAGTTAAATTGAGAATATTGAACTGTTATTAAAGACAAAAACATGATCGTGAAATTCTTAAATCTCGTTCCCTTGGTGAAATATAATTTCCAATTAAATACTGTACAAAGATAGCTATACATTTAGGCTACAATTCAGCTTTTTTTAATTTTAATCATGCATTGTGGTGGGGAATTTCCAATATTGAAATACGTGTAACTATAAAAATAGAATTGGATTCTAGATTCGATTTAAGTATTCTACAACGGTGGTTCCCAACCGCCCGTCCGCAGGATTTTTACCGGTCCGCGGGAAATCTCGTTGTTTTGTTGTTTCTATGTCGTCTCAATCGCTTTACCGATGCCAAAAAGACGAAGTTGCGTTGGTTCATTACGCAATTTCTTTTTCTTCGTCATATTGCTGTTTGATAAGCGCGACATTAATTATCACTGCGTCATATTGGCAAGAGAGAGAAAAACGGCTACGAATACCGAAACTCTAACTTCTTCTACTTATTTCATTTTTTACAATCAATGAAATTGACTGCTTTGAAAAGAGCTCGCTTCATCACGAAAGCGCTGACCAATAATCACGACTTTACGTAAATCGTAACTTCCTTCCGTAACTCGAAATAATTACGTAATTCTGTGAATCCGTAAATTACGTACAAGCCTAATGTTCACTAAACTCGATTCAGCAGGTAAACAAACTACAACATCCGAGGCAAACACTACGTAATAGAAAGTAAACGACATGGCGCGTTTGGCAACTCGCCATGGCGCACTAGTAGCCAACCCTTTGGGAACCGCTGCATTATACCTATTTTCTTCATCAATTTTACCCTTCCATTTTTTGGTGTTCTGAAAGGCGAGATAAAAAGCGTAAGTGTTCCGTGGCCAGAATGTTTGGGAAACGCTCCTTTAAACCAGTGTTCTCCAACCTTTGGTATATCTTTTCCGATTTTCATTTTTTTTGTATATCCCCTGTATACCGTCTAAAACCACAAAAAATCTTGCAAATACAGTAAAGAATCGTCTAGAACCACTTTATGTATAGTATCAAAATTCTTTTTAATTCCAGATTCCCAGACCGAGATGGGAGAGATGACAGACGCAGAGATGATATGAGGTATTTCCCCTACTCCATTGTAATTAAGACCAGAGGTTTTTTTGCTCTGTGCATTTCCATTTCATGTTGTTGCTTTCCTAACCGTGTTCACATGAATTGTTCCAATCCGTGAATAATACAAAAATTGGGTGATCATCACATCTAAAAGTCATTCCTTAATTTTAGACGCCGAGACAGATCGAGGAGTCGGGAGAGAGATCGGCGAGACAGAGGAGGGATGAGGGACAGAAGGTCTGTGGTAATTTAATAATTTAATCAGATTTTCTAACCGGGACCATGTTTCCCCGAAAAAAAGACAGGGTCTTATTTCATTTTTCTTTTGAAAAATAACACTAGAGCTTATTTTGGGAGGTATGTCTTATGTATCCAGAACAAAATTACAAAGTAGAGAATTACAAGATTTTCAAATATACAAAATATGGAAACCAATATTCATTAACTTCTAAATAACACATTTGTATTTAAAAATGAATGACTGCTGAACATAGATTTTTAATTATTTAAAATGAGTAGGAAAGATTTCTTGCTACCGACTAGGTGCCTATTCACTGGGCCTTTTTTAGGGGAGGGCTTAATCATTTTTAAAACTCGAGCTATGTCTTGTTTAGGGGAAAACACGGTGCTGTAGTTGCGAGTGAAGGTTTGACATACAAGGTTTTCATATTTTAGACAGCTATGCCTTAGTTTGTTTTCATTATTAAACACGTAAAAACAAAACTAGGTATTTTTAGTAAGTGCAGTGGGCTGTCTTTGGCAGTGGGTCACAAGGGCTATATTTGGAAGTGGGCCACAAGGGCTATATTTGGAAGTGGGCCACAAGGGCTATACTTGGAAGTGGGCCACAAGGGCTATATTTGGAAGTGGGCCACAAGGGCTATATTTGGAAGTGGGCCACAAGGGCTGTCTTTTGAAGTGGGCCAAAGGTGCTATATTTGAAAGTGGGCCACAAGGGCTGTCTTTGGAAGTGGGCCAAAAGTGCTATATTTGGAAGTGGGTCACAAGGGCTGTCTTTTGAAGTGGGCCAAAAGTGCTATACTTGGAAGTGGGCCACAAGGGCTGTCTTTGGAAGTGGGCCAAAAGTGCTATCATTGGAAGTGGGCCACAAGGGCTGTCGTTGGAAGTAGGGCCAAAAGTGCTATCATTGGAAGTGGGCCACAAGGGCTATCATTGGAAGTGAGCCACAGATCATGAAAGCTTGAGATGGTCTGAGTTACGTTTTTGCACATTTTAATACTATCATAAGGGATTTAAACAGACTTGGAATGGCGGTTAGGGTCATAGACTGGGAACAAGACTTGAAAGTGATCCTACCATCTGTTACCGATCTGACGGTCCCAACTAACCAATATGTTTATTCCGTCAATTTTTTTTTTAGATTCGAGAGAGATGATAGAGACAGGTTCAGAGATGGAGGTGGCCGGGGGAGAGATAGGATGGGGGGCCGTGGAAGATTTGCAGGTGAGTTACTCTCTGCTGACATCTATGTCACAGTTTTTTTGAAAACTTGAATAAAAGACTCCTGTGACTTTTTACAGTCTGTATCATACATTAGTGTTCCTAATCTGCATTAAGATGTTACTGTAAATAAATTTAAATAACAATTCGTAAAACTACACAAGTACGAAGTAATATTTATTTATCTCTCTGAAAGTAGTATACCCAGTGGTGGGATTCAATTTTTTGTCACTCGGTTCCATCACAAAAGTAATATTTTTCATGCAGTTCTGTTACAAAAAGTCACTGACAGTAACCAGTAATGCTAACCGGTTCGCTGATCTCATAAAATTCTGCGAGACGGTTCTATAGAACCGATGCGAACCGGCTTAATCCCACCTCTGAGTATACCTAATTGTTCATGGGGAAATTATAGTTTAATTGTTTTTATCTCAAATTCTAGGTCGGGATGATTTTGGTCGAGGGGGTCGTGGGGGGTTCGGAGGTTTCGGACATCGAGATCAATTTGAAGAAGAAGTTGATGAAGAGGATATGGAATATAAGAAAAAAAGAGACGAGGTCAGGATCTATCTTTATTGGGTGCCCCCGTAGTATGTGTACCAAGATGACGCACAACCTGAACATAGTATGTGTACCAGGTTAGGATTGTCAGGTTGTGCGACATCCTGATGCACATACTACGGGAGCACCCTTTATTGTATTTATGGTAACTAGCATTTTCCCAGATGGCTGAGCATGACCTGGGATGTCAAATACAGCCCATTGGGTTAAGACATGGGAAAAGTACGGCCCGCGGTCCAAATCTGGCCCGTTGGGTAATTCAATCTGGCTCGTCTCATGCTGCCACCACCAAACTAAAACCAAACTTTGATGTTTGAGCTGAAAAATAACCAACGGAATTTGTTTAGGATTAAATATAGTTTTGTCACGAAGCATATTGTTTTCCACTTTTGCTTTTGTGACATTTTAAATGAATTATATCCATGAAATGTAACTTTTTACGTCACACTTACATGGCCCGTCAGTCTTGGTGGGCTCATGCACCCCCCATTGCACTGATATTGATAACATATCCTTGGTCGGAGTAAATATCAACCATCTATCCACCTCTCAGGTTCTTCGTCAACGCCGTGAACAGGAGGATGAATATGTTGTAGAGGAAATAGATTTTTCTGCGTTTGGACTTCCAACAGGCTTCGGGCCGCCACCATCGGCCGAACCTGAACCGGAGAAAGAAGACAGGGGAGACAGGAGGAGGGACAAAGGTGGGGAATCCCCAACTTTGGTTTTAATAAACATTTAAATTAAATCAGCTTTTGATTTTTTTGTTTATTGCATCACCGACACTGGTATACGGATCTTTATGAAACGATAGTTGACTTTTTTTAAATGGACTTTTGTATTAAATAAAAGTTTCGGGATTCTAATTTATTAATCAATGACTAGCGTATTCTCGCGTTTGATTATACTTGCACTTGCCTCGCGACGAAGACTTGTCATTGCACCGTTTTTTACATTATTCGACTTTACTACCTAGTTAGCATTTTATAATAATTATTGATGTCGACTTATTGACGATATTCCGATCACCATCCTTCATTTGACATTAAATCATTTCGCGGCCTAAATGTTATACCATTATTTGCGCATAATCTAAATGTATTGTCGAATTGGCAAGAGAGAGAAAAGTGTATATCCCCAACTTTGGTTTTAACAAACATTTAAATTAAATCGACCTTTGATTTTTTTTTTTATTGCATTTCCCACTTCGGACAATACTCTATAGCAGTGGTTCAAAACATGCTAGCTAACAATAGCTACAAATAAGAGATAGAAAGCCGAAAGTAGGTTTTATGAACGTGCCCCCTTTTTAAAATTTGTCTAGTCTCGCGCCCCACCCCAAAAATACCCAGCTAACTATAAGCTACAAATAACAGATAGTAAGGCGAAAGTATGTTTTATGAACACGTTGAAAATATCCAAAATAAGCCTGGCAAGATTAAATCTAACAAATATTTCTAATTAGCTCCACGCCTCTCAAAAACTTGTCGACGCCTCTTTTTTTAGTTTTAGAACCAATGCTTTATAGGTTTGCGAGCACTGAGCTATCATGTTCAGGAGTGCCTGAATCTTTTCAGCTCCGCATTGCCAACTCAATTTATTACATCCTGGGTGAGTGGGTGGTCATGAGGTTGAAACATCCTCATATAAAATTAGTACGGTGAGCCCACTGGGACAGTTTGCAGTGTTCTAGAGTTTCCCAAACTTTTTGGGCCGCGAACCCCTGTTTGTGAATTTTGTTTTTGACGGACCCCATCCTATGTCGTATCAATTTCTAACCAACGAGGAAGGATAACGTTTACTTTGTCAAAATAAAACTAATGAAAGTCTGATTAAATACATATTATTATAATACTGGTAGACCAATGGCAATTTGATAATATTATGATCTATTTGCTACCCGATATCCAGACTGCCGGTACTAATTGAACACATGGACCTAATTTAAATGTGTATATAACTAGAGTGTCACACAATTAACTAAATTTTGTTTCATGATCCTACCTTGCAGCAACGGTTAACAGGCTCAGGCCGCAGGGGTTCGCTGACCCCAGTTCGGAAACCCTGTTATAGAGAACGGCCATTTTTGCCTCAGCTGTCAGATACTTTGAGCGGTGAAATATTTTGAGTAAGATAAGATAATCTAACGAAGTAAAAATGACTGTTATCTTATAGATCGTGATGATGACCGCCATCGCCGTGACGATCGTGATCGGCGTGAGGACAGGAGTCGTCGTGACGACAGAGACCGGCGGGACAGAGATAGAAGAAAAGATGATCGGGTAAGAGTTTGCACACTAAAGTTGTGGGGCATCATGTGTATGGTTGTAATCCCAAGGAACACTTCATATGACATCTGGGAACTCTTATATAACATTTGTGTACCACTGTCTCTTCTGTTGCTCATTGGCAAACTATGGCCATTCATGGGCGCTCCATGTGTGTGTACCAATATGGTAACGAATTTTGTTCGCCTACTTTTCATCAAGCTGTGTAAATGGACGTCCCTGAACTTGCAATAGAACTAAAATAAAGAAAATCTGAATAAAATTATGGCCTAGCCTGGTAGACACACTACGGGAGTACCCCTTTATGGGAACAGTTTTATGTGATCTGGGAACACCCATTTGTCTATGTGCACATTAGCAGACCACAGTTGGGCATGTGCCATCATGTGGGGGATAAATATCACATGTGCAATATCAAACTGAAATCATCTGCAGGGCTTTCCTATGTGGAAAACTCCTATTGCCCGGATTTCATACATTGAGCAAATGAATAGGATCCATTGTAGTGGTTTCCTTGACAGCACTTCCTTTAAAGCAGGGATGTGCAACCTTTAGTACAGGAGGGCAATATACAAATAACTGGGTGAAATCCACTGGTTCATTACGGGTTCCTCCACCATGAAGTCTATTTCCGAAAAATAAGAGGACTACGCCCAAATATATGGACACGTCTGTTCGCAGTACAGTACGGTATACCGTACCGTCAGATCACAGTCTACAAATATATTCACACCAAGCGAAGCAGTACAGTAGGACACAAAATGGCGTCAGATGTCCGCAGAACTTTCAGTGACGTCATAGCAAACAAAAACAAATCTCACAGAGCTAACAGAAATATTTGAAATAAATAAAAGTAATAGCCTTCTGGAGAAAAATTTCATCATTAATCACTACAAATTTCAAAGCAATTGGTCCAGTGATCAAAGAGAAAAGCGGTTTCACATACCCGACATTGACTGGTAACTCGGCGAAGGGCCATGGTTCGCTAAATATGTAATTCCTTTCTAATTCCTGCATCAGTGGCCGCTTCCAAGTTTCTACCAGTACTCTAACTTCCCAACAAAAGCTTTTGCTTTGTGGTTCTGGTTGTCGGCAAAGCCCTCACCATGAAGTTAGGGGCTGGAATTCCTTTCAAGCTGGAAAATAATCAACCAACACTGATCAATACAAAAAAAGAATTATTTGTAATTAATTCAACTTGTTTCAGGATCGTCGTGAAAGACGCAGAAGTAGAGACAGAGATCGAGATGAGGGCAGTAGAGAGAAACGATCAGACGAAGATCGAACGAGAAAATCAACGGATGAACCGACTGAAAGTAAACGCAGAAAACTTGAAGGTTTGTTCACTTATCTCATGAATATGATGTATTTGTTCTTAAATCAACATAGTCTAGTCCTGACATGGGCAAACTTCATCTTGTGGGCTAAATCTGGCCCGTTGGGTAATTCAATCTGGCCCACCTGATGCTGCTACAACCAAACTGAAACCAAATTTTGATGTTTTAGCTAAAAGAATGAATTAAGTTATCCCTTGTTTTAAAAAGTTTCAGAGTTATAGTAGGTGGGGCCATCATCGAATATGAGGTTGAATTACATTGAAATTCTAGTAATCTCGCTTTGCTTATATTAAAATTTCATTGTTATAGATGAAACGGAACAAACCCCGACACCTGCCGAGAAAGATGGGCATGCTCCTTTAGCTCCATCTGGTGACCAGTCCCCATCAAAAATCTCCGCTTCGGAAGATCGTTTACCCGCGGATAAGCGCGGGGAAGCCCCTGAGCTCACTGGTGAATCTGATGCAGCTCATGAGCAAAATGATGATTTACAAGCTCATGATGATTCTCATGAGAAAAACGACCAATCGCAACCTGCTCATGGTGAAAGTGATTTATCTCATGAGCCCACAGGACAGTTCACAGAAGCTCATGAGCCTTTAGATGAATTTGGTGCAAGTAATGAGCAAAAAGTTGTTCAGGATTCCCATGAGCCAAATTATGATCATCAAATTCACGATGAAACATCCCATGAGAATGAACAATTTCACGAAAATGAGAAGGAGGAAAAACATGATGAACTTGACCATCATGAATCCAATGACAATTCTCAGGAAAATAACAGTAAATATGCTCATGAGCAAGTCACAGATGAGCAGGATGAGCTGCATTGCAAAATCACGAATCCAGATCATACAGAGGGGGTAGAAGAACAAAAAATGAGTAAGACACCACTTAGTGGAATACAAGATGATACTCCTCAACCAGAAGAAGTCGCTATGGAGGAGTAATCCCTGCCACCATGACTTTACTTTCATTTTCTCTTCAGTGAATATATTGACTAATTTATGTAAAACCATCAATCCAATCAGGGCTGCCACCCTTCATGGTTATGATTTATTCCCTTATCTTTAGTTGGAATAGTTTTTTACGATTCTGCTGTGTCATCAGCTTTTCTCCTCGCAAATTTTGGAGTACTCTGTACGACTCCCAAGTCCCCAACCATGTCCTTTCAATCTGGAACAGAAGGATGGCTTTTTATTCTTATACTCCACCTGGACGAGAGGGACCAGGCAGTTCATCATCGAGCCGTCTACATTCAAAACAAAAATAAGCACAAGTCGTATTCGATCATGCAATCCAAAAACGTCAGTCTTTTCGACTCTCCCTCTCTATTTCAACTCTCCCCCAGACCTTCACTTGGTTCCCGCACAGAGAAGTCAAGACGACACGACGAGATGCCGGTAGTTTGGATGATCGAGCCATGTACACTCGCCCTAAACTGTATTCACTCATGCAATACAAAAACTTTGGTCTTTTCGTCTCTCAATTTTTCCAAATTCACCCCGAAGTTGATATAGTGTCAGCACCGACAAAATGAAGAAAGTCTCAACATCCGCAAAAAGAAATGTATTGTCTCTGATATACCATGAGCTGCATTGAAGCTTGCACCATAAAAGGTTGTTCTCCTTCCTACCTTGAGATCGGAAACAAATGGGAATAATAAGATCAAAGTATTCAAGCATCAAATTTTAAAACCTCAACTCACTTTCCTCTCTTCCTCACCCCAAGTTGGGAAACATGAAGGAAATATAAAGCTCTAATATCAGAGAACGTTTAGTTCAAAATCTTCGCATGGAGCAGATTCACAAGCGCACCCTAGTTTATGGTACAACATTCCAACCACCGTCAGGACTACAAACTATTCGAGTTTTCGAACTTATTTGCGAAGTTATGAATTAGAGACAGTCATGCATTGTTAATCATTCCTGGACACGATGGCAGATGACGCTACAAAGCCTTGTATGAATTCATTAGAATTTTCGGACATTTGTGCAAAATCTGGGAATGTTATTATGCGACTCTAATGCAATCTTTCAGTTCAATTTTTTATTTGTTTTTATTCCCATTCTGGCAGAAATGTTTCACGGTTTTAGAATGTCGAAACTTTTTTTTTTTCTAGGTGCTTTTGCTATGAACAAGTCTCCAGACAAGCAATCAATATTTTTCAAATTGCATGTTTATTTCATTTTTCTTAAAAAATGCTATAAGGAATGATACTACTCTTTTTTAGAAATTTACTAGATTTTTAAGAGCCACCCATGGATGCCTTGAATCCCACCCCACTATTGTTTTTCAAATTGTAGATTGTTGGAAATTTTGATTACCAACGTTGTGTAACTTTGCAATGGCTGTATTCATATTACTTCAAAAACGGCTTTTTTTTCTCTCTCCCACCTACCTGCTTGTCTGGAGCCATCTTTATAAGTAGACCTAGAAAATCTTGTAGGATAATTTCTGCATCAGTATTGTGAAATATTTTTGCCAGACCCAAATCACTGTGCCCCTCTGCCGCTATTTTTGCTGCCTTAGAATAAATTTTTATGCAGATTTTTAATCTCTGTCTATTTGAGGCAGTTTGAAAAAATCTTGAGAGGCATTTGGGGGGCGGTAACGACTTTCTGTGAAGCCATAATGGGAACTGTAACAACTTTCTATGAAGGCATAATGGAAAATATTACATAGATGCATAATTGAGCCAACACTGGGAATAGCAACCTGACGAGAGGCTGTAATTCGCCATATTATCAGCTTTCCTCTCTCCATAGATAACCCATGAAAACCTACTTTTTGATTTCAACAATCTGAGAGGAAGTCTCTTCATTTTTATATCATTATTTGCATGCTACTAGGCCTTATACATGATTGCTTTCCACCGTTGGGGGTTGATTATCCTGGTTTATTTGTTCATAAACGTTTTTGCAGAATTTATATTGTGACGTCAAAATTTTGTTGTCTGCTAGGATCAAGCGCTTATGACGTGGACAATTTCTTCACAACGGGAAGGCAATCATGTCATCTGCTAGATGTTTATATTACACATGCTTGCTCGGCAAATGGCTGGAGCGAAGATGGAGTCCTGGCTAATGTCCGGGTGAAAACATCGGGATAAAGGCCCAACAAATAGTTGGTGAAGATCTGGACATGGAACTTTGGACGACCGGACAATTAAACTCTTAAATCTTAATCGGAGACTTGAGGGGTAGTCTGTACATATTTTTGATTTTTCTTGTGCTAATCCTATGGGCTATACTAGTAGTCTTTGAAACTAACTAGCTAGTTATTCCCACATCCAATGGGGACTGATAGCAAGCAATGTATGAGGGCATATACTCTTAGACTTGCTATCGACACTCCTTGGATGAATATGGACGGTCTGACCTAGTTCGTCTTCATGTTTTCTTGGCCCAATAATGGACGATTTATCAGGGCAAGCTTGAAATTGGGGAATTATGCTTTCGTCGATCGTCCATATTGTTAAGGAACGAATGAGAAATAAATACCTTGAATCAAGGTGAGGTGATTGCTCCGGGCGAGCGTATATTTCCAAAAATGATAATTTGAAGCCTCTCGGGCTTGGATAAATATGCCGCAATGGAATCGTGTTTCCCTGCCGAGGCGCATTTTGCGTGAATCACCATGGCAACCATGTAGTAATACCGGCGGGAATTTTCTCTATTGCCGCTCGCAGAAGATGCGAATAAAAGGTGCCATCCCGCTATTGACCACCACTAATTTTACTCTCTGGTTAAGATAAATCAGCTTAAGCAGAAAGGCTGGGCGAACATGCTAACCTGATCAGTCTGGTTCTATCCCTGACCTGTGCAGACTACGGCCCGCAGGCCGAATCCGACCCGTTGAGTATTTTAAAATGACCCGCCTGATGCTGTCACAGCCAAATCCAAATTTGGTGTTTTAGCTGAAAAAGAGCTCAAAGAATTGTTGAGGTTGCGATTGAATTTAGTTTAGCACACGGCTTATTGTTGTCCACTTTTGTAACGCTGTAAATATTTCTCATGAAATGTAACTTTTCACGCCACAACTACATGGCCCGCCAGTCTAGGTGGGCAAAAGTTTCGGCCCCAGGTCCAAAAACCTTGCCCACCTCTGTTCTATCCTGATATTGTCCCATCAGTAATATCCTAATTTGTTTATTTTGATGGAGATGGGCTGGTAACCTTACTATTTTAGTAGTATTCTGTTATTTTCCCAAAGCCTTTTTATATTTATTCTGTTCGTCTTCGGCGCGTTATTCTCGCATTTTCAACCATGGACGGATTGGATAAAGAAAACTGACCAAATAACAATTTGTAATAATCACTCAATGACTTGCATCGACCCTCCAAGTTTCGAATATAATTAAGCCAAGAAAAATTTGAAATTCAAGATATATTTGTGCGGATTGCTGCCCCTGAGCTGAGAATATTCTGGTCTCTTACCTAATTTCTTTGGCGATAGGACGTTTACAGTAAAACCACCGTTTCGTGATATTGTGTTTTTTGCAGTCTGTGTCATGCATATGTTTGAATCAGCTAATGCCGTTGGTAATTTTGGTGTCGTATGTACAGATTATACTTGGATATTGTTGCTGTTATATCGTGCGTAGGTGTGGCCGTATTTGAATTTTTAATTTGTTACGAATTATGTGTGGCCGTGCTTGTAATATATTTTGTCCATAGATGATCCGTGCTTCATTGTAAATATTCATAGCTTAACAAAAATGTAAATAAATTCAAGCAATCGGTTGAGTTTGTGTATCGTCCCTCCTAGTTGGGATTTAGGGCGAACTGTTTTAGTTTTTTGCCTTAGAAGTTAGCACAGCGTTTCTCAAACTGCGTGAGAGGCAAGTGTGCCGCGAAGCATTTTGGAATTTTATAAAATGAGCTATTCGTATTGTACATAGGCATGCATGCAACGGGTAAGCTTGGGTGCGCACTATCCATTTTTGCAGCCGCGATCGACTTCACTGAAATTTTTAAAATAACTCGCGACTGACGAATGAGTATGCTACTGAATATGCAGAACTGCACACACGCGTACAAAAAATTCGACTGATGCCAATTAGCCCAGCTCTGTTGGCGCATTTTTAATGAAATCGCAGCAAAAAAAAATTTGATTATTTAATTGTACCCGGACTAAATGTTCATCATTTACTCAGGATTTATTCGAATCTTACAATTCAGGTCTAAGGCCTGCGTAATTACTTATCGATTTTAATCGGTAAGTATGTTGATAGGTATTTGTCTGTTTGTCTGTCTGTTAGATGCACGCGATATCTCACGAAAGCGAGAATGAATCTGCTCCTAATTTTGCATGTGCATTCATCATATGTCAGACCAGAAGCCTATTGATTTTGGATGAATTATGTCGTATAATTAGCGAGTTATTTATTAATTAGTGATAGGACACAAAGTGTCACTATGGAGTAAAAGCGCTGTTTTGAGGATCCCCCAACTTTCGATCGATAACCCAGATAGCACAACTACGTTGGGCCAACGTTATAATCCGCCGGCAACCGTTGTACGCGGTTTTACAACCATTTACCATGGTAAGGCCATGATTGGCCTTCAACGAAACACTCCATTATGCGAAGAAATGCGCGCGCGATTCGAATATAGCACATGAGGTCGCCATTCATTTTGGCGGTACTCGTAATCGATAGCCTGTTACGAGGTTTTTGCCGTGGATGGGACAGTGACATTGAACTTTTTATGCTTTCATAGTAGAATGGCGAAAGTAGAGATAGCCTAGTTGTAACCGTGTAAGTTGACATTGAACTTTTTATGCTTTCATAGTAGAATGGCGAAAGTAGAGATAGCCTAGTTGTAACCGTGTAAGTTAATCTCATGGTACCGGTACCCTAAGTGCGTTGTCAGATCACGGTTCATAAGGGTGATAGGGTACCATACGGGTAAAAGTTACATATTTATCCCTGGACACCGGTAACGGCAGAACGAGATGAGGTACGGTACCGTGCTTGGTCTTTTGTCATTTTTTTGTTAAACTTTTTTAGGTTGCCATCTCTCATTTACCAGTATTCGTTATCGAGTACCGGTACCTATGGTAGATACCGGTAAAAATTACATATTTATCCTGGACACCATAGGTACCGGTAACGACAGAACGAGATGAGGTACCGTACAGTACGTTACCGTACTTGGTCTTTTGGCACATTTTTTTGTTAAACTTTCTGAGGTTGCCATCTCTTATTTACCAGTATTCGTTATCGAGTACCGAAACCGGTATTGGTCCTTCATCCCTGGATATAGCCTAATTTTTTATATTTACTTTATTTGTATAAGTGCAAACATTTCCGCAGCCCAAATCCAACCCGTTGAACGACTTAATCCAGTAATCTGAATAGTTGTACATTTGTGAACCTTCTGTCTGATGAATTTCAACAAATCTAAATACAGATCTCAATTGGCTGAAATCTAAAATATGTTTTAACAATTGCCACAATCAAACTGAAACTAAAATTTGATGTTTTTGGGTAAAAAATAGCTCAAGGATTATTGTTTTCCCTTTTTGTTTTTGTAACACTTTAAATTTTTTTTCAATTTTTGTCCGAGGTCCGAGAACTTTGTCCAACCCTGCTCTATTTCATATTTTCAGCTTTGTTGAGAAATAAATTACTGATTTTTGAATAATATCTATTTTGTTTTAAAATTCAATAGAATTATATTGGGTAATCATATATATTAATATGATTTATTTTCAGTATGTATGCTATGTAATCTTACCCAACCAACCTTAATTAAGTGTTATTATATTTTAAAGTGAATTGGAAAGTAGACCGCTAGCAAAAAAGATTCGGGCGATTGGGGGGAAGCCCATCTTTGTACAATGACTGCCGAATGTGCATGCAACTGTGCAATGCCCAGCGACTCTAAAAGCATGAAGTATTGTACGACACATCCTTTACAAATATTTGGACATATTTTGTGTAATATCCATTTTTTTTCCGGTTCTAAATAATTATTACCGATTAGATATTCTGTCAAGTGTCAATATTACCATTGTAAGTTTAATGATATATACCATTTTTATAATAGGCCCTATGACAATGGACTGGAAAATTCACCTGTTTCAATGCGGACAATGCCCAAAACAGGTGCTTTTGTTTCATAGTTTGATAGTAGCTCCTTGCATACCTGTGCCATAAAATATTGCACAATAGCTAGATATATCGGTTGAATAATTATCTAGTACAACATCATGTGGTTAATACTGTATTTTCCGGCGAATAAGTCACTTTTCTAGACCCAAATTTTTAGCCTGATTTTCGGGGGGGGGGGTCGTCTTATTAGGCGAGTATGATCATTTTCATTTTTTTGTTGCCCTATTATTGAACCCGGACAATAAAATACCTTCGGCGATAGCATCCCCCACGTCCTCATCAGGTTAGTTTAATTAAATCGACATTCACGTGCTGTGAATCTGAAATTTCAATGCTGTGATTATCATATATGGACAGAATATTACGCTATAAAAAAAAGTCATAGGCTATTTTAACCAATGCGCAAACGCGGCAACCGCTCGAAAGGCATTGCATGGTAATTTGAGATTCCCGACGTTGATGCGATTTTACTACCCCGACTCATCGGCCGGTTATATGCAAAAACCCATTTTTTCAGGCTTAAAAACAGGCCTCGTCTTATTCGCCGGGTAGACTTATTCGCCGGAAAATACGGTAACTAATATTAATGAAAAATTTATATTCTGGTAATTAGTATAGGCCATTCGTTCACGTTTATCATCTGAAAGACAATCATGTACTATATATTGTGTAACACTAACTTGATTTTCAGAGATCAAGCCATGCTCCAATCCAGTCCATGGAAAAATTGTTGGGACAGGCGGTAGAAACTCTTATGCTACAAGCTACGGCATCTGCAACTTTCCACTGATTATAGTGTGGACTCGGACATAAAGGAATTGATGAAATTCATTGTCAATTCATTGTCTGATTACATTTTGATCCAGAAAACATTCAAGGATGAAAAAATCGCTCGTGAGTTGAATACTTTTATAGGCTGATTACATACACTTTATGGCAGTGGTTCCCAAACTTTTTTTTCCGCGACCCCAATTTTTGTAAAATCACAGACTACAGATACTTGTGACCCCACAACGAGAAAACATTAAAAATCAATTTATTCTATTCAATCATTCTGATGAAAATCGACTGTAAGTTTGCGGGGCATTAGTGCAACGTGGTTGTACTTGTACTTAACTGTTTAGTTCAGTGGTTCCCAACCTTTTTACCGGCCAGTGGGCAAGCAAAATTAATTTAAGAGTTCGCTGACCGGTAACACATGCCATCGTATGAAGACCACGATGTAAAAATATTGCAGATTACTCCATAATTAATTGGAAAGCTAAACAGAACATGAAAGTAAAATAGGTGAAAATACCCTTGCTGGGTCTCATCTTATTGAGTGCCTTTTATTTTTTGTCGTTTTGTTTTTGACTGCATGAAGCGCTTCGAATTTATGTATGAAATACAATATGCCCAATATTTTCGCTTCGTGTTCAAGGAAGATTATTTAAATGTCTAAATACGATCTGATTGCAATATTAAAATTGTTCACTTTTATACGAATGGGATGTGGACAAAACACATATGTGTATATTTTAGAGTAGATACTCGCGATAATTTAACATAGAGCTTTTACAACGGATGGAAACCTTTTCATTAGATGTATTCTTATAATTGTGCTTATTTACTCATTCCAGATAAGATATTTGTCAAGTCTTGGAGGTTGCTCCGAGAAAGACTGGATTGGAGAATCATGAGCTCAGTTATAACAAATTTACTCTCCCGCTCGGGAGTGAGTGGGACGCCCTTAGTTTCTGCTATTAAAGGTATGTAATATGTTTATCATATTGCACCACCATCTTTCTCTGCTCTACCCTCTTCTATTTTATAAGTACAAGATTATTTTGACTCCAAATCAGCTTAAGATAATTCATACGGGAAATGAACAAAAATTGATTAAATAGAATCTGACAATCTGGAGTGAAAACAAAACCTTAATTAAGATTGAAGCGTAAAGAATATAAGGTTTTGCCAAAAAGATGCCTATCGTGTTCATGAATTAAATTAAGTTACTCACACACAACAACAACAGAGATATAATAAAATAAAAACAGGCGAGAAAATTTAGATAAGTTTGGTAGTAAACAAAATGTACTTGCCAGTTGCCACACCATTCATTTTTATCATTATGATTGTCAAATTGAATAATGATTTTGTAAACAACTGTGAACAGTAAAGAAATTGAATGTAGATTTTGTATACAAAAGTGAACAGTATAGAAAAATATTTATTAAGGAGATATCGCCAAGCTGATTATGGTTAGAGTCAAGTGCCAAATTGCCAATCCAATGTTGCCAGAGTTTGGTGCATAATGGCGAACAGTGGTTTTCGAACTTATTTGTATCATCGCTCCCGTACAGTACTTTTTACATTATCACCTCCCCATAGCACAACAGCAAATGATGAAGTTACAAATAAATTTATTGTAAATCAAATAAACAAATAGACTAATCATGGTGCATGATGTTTCTAATAATATAGATGAATTTCAACAAGGAATATTTGAAGACATTTTAGTCAGATAAAATCTCAAATCATCATTATTCCCTCCAACAAATATTCCCCTCAAAACATTGTCTACGCCCCCCTTGCGGAATCAAGAATTTCTGTATTTCTCAATTATTATTGTCTTGTCAATGTAAGCTTCACTCACACATTTGCGACTGCAGAAACTTGGCTTAAGATTCCTACTCTGAAAATTTGTTGGGATGCAGTCATTCAGACTAGGCTTTGAACTCTGGTGCTGTAATTTGCTAATACTGCAATTTAACACAGAATTTTAATATTTTTCAGCTCTGGATGATCTGGCAACGAACTCCGATTAATTTTATTACATGTATACATATTTGTAAAATAAAGACATTTTGTTATCTTTTGTTTTTTATTATATAAATAATGTTAGATTGGTGGGAAATTTCTATGAAGTATAGATCCATACCCTGTCTGTACAACACATCGCCTAACTTGGCCCGACCATGTGCCACGATTGTATTACAACGTGTCACCTACGTAGGCCCGGCCATATCTCTTGATTGTGTTACAACGTATCGCCAACGTTGGACCGGCCATATTTCACGATTGTGTTACAACGTATCGCCTACGTTGGCCCGACCATTTGCCACGGTTGCATTACAGCGAAAGGACCGACGTTGGCCCAGCGGCCAAATCTTCGCTGGAACATGGTTGTTCGCCATTATTGGGCCGGTGGTTCGAACAACGTTCGGCCATGGTTGTTCCGACGTAGTTGTGCTATCTGGGAAGTCTTCGGTCTCTGACCGATATTCTCGTTTTAAGTCGTTGAAAGTTCCCTATAAAATCTGGCGAAGTTTTCATTTTTTATTATTTTTTTATGGGTTTTAATTAACTGAACAGCGAAAAATAAATATGCTCAAACCATGAATGTTACATGACAGCTCAACCTAAATTACAATTTCCTCGTATTATGAAATCACAGAGAGAGTTCAATTGCTGCCAAAACAAGTTAACTGACTGCAGAGTAGCTGACGCTGCATTTTTGCATGTTTGTTGATATAGGAGGGAGTTACAGTAAGCAGTTTATAAAGTTATGTTAGTTCGCTTCTAAACGCTGCCTTACAACGATACAAGTGCACACTTTTGTTCGTTTTAATGTTTTGCTCTAGGGCACAAGGCCGGGCACCAATAAAAAATTTGAAAGGGGACAGTCATGAAATTTTTTTTCAAAAGTTTAGAAACCACTGGGCTAGTCCATTTACAAACCTTGACCGCGGCAAAACTTTGTTGCTACGTTATAATATGCTCTATCAGGCTGTATGTGATTGTGTATATCGTATTTTGCGACTGTACAGTACGCGATCGGCTACTCAGTCAGTCAGTTTTCAGTAATTTATTTTTTCATCATTCCAAAGCACACAATGTGCGGGTCGGTGGTGTGGCTTGACACCGCACCTCTGTTAAACTGCGCGGGTTTGCAGGTTCGAATTAATTACTACGGTCCGGGGGACCTGGTTTCAAAACCTTGCACTCCCTCTATGAGTACAATACGTGAAAGAGCAACTCGAAGTTCGCCGTCAACATCTTTTATACAAGATCGTTAATCGTTTTGTGATCAGTAATAAAGAGGAAAAGCTTCGTGCGCACATATAAGTAGTGCAAAACTGAAGCAATATTTCAATAGCTGCATTGGAAATGTTCTTATATTTTTCTTTTATTGAAATCCAAAACACATCAAGTGGAATTTCGCTGAATTTCAGTCTTAGCGTTCTGTCATTTCTTACTTCAAAGAAATCTTCTCGAATACGCAGGGGTAATTCTTTCCTCTAGCTCAAGTTTTATTTATATTCGATTATATACTACACGACTTCACGGAATTGAATTGGACTACTACTTGAAATCGACTACTACACGACTACAGGAATTTGAATTGGTGTCGCTCAAGCTAACGTAAAAGCAGGTTAACTTTACGTTAGTAGAGTAGAGTAGTAGACTAACGTAAAATTAACAAAGGATAAAAAAAAAATTGTAAAAAGAAGAGAAAAGTTGCAAGTCATGTGCGGCACACCTGGTATCGTCTCGCGGAGCACTGCTCTAGTAAACACGTTGACAAGGAAGTTGTTGTTGAACTCTTCTCACTCTTGTTGGATGATATTTGTGGTATGGAGGATAACAATTTTCGGAATTGGTGGATGAGTGATCAATCTTTTGTTTCTCTACTTTCTAGATCAATTTATTCGGAAAGTTGGCTTCATTCAGACACGGTGTTGTTTTCTGGCTCTGGTCTGATGACAGAAGTGTAACTTGGGTTTGTTTGACTATCGACTTTATTTTTCGGGGTCTCTTCTGATTCATGGCTTGAGGCTTGTTTAGGACAGTGGCTTTTAACCAGGATGTAGGCTACCCAGTTTACAGAGATGTACCTCCGTACCGCTTATTTATATTTGGCGTCCGCATTTAGTCTTACTTAATCCATCGAGCACTGACTAAACTTTATCTCATTGGACACGCCCTTTAAACTAATCAAACGTCTTGTCGGAGGTAAAATATGTATATTTACATTTCCTACGAATATGATTCCCCTGTTGTCTCACAGAAAGTAGTCTGTTTTGGAGTTAATGATATCGATGGTGTCCAACCAAAATTCGGGAACTTTTTTTTATTTTCCTTATTTTCACGGATTAGACTACGATCTGATTTGGATCAATATTCATAATTTGAAAATGTCATATCCGAATCGTAACGGTGCTTCAAGTAATCGGGAACGCGTCCTATATTGAGTGGTAGTTTAGTAACCTATCAAGGTAAATAATAGCTCATTTCTAAGCTATCAATTATGGTAGTTGAGATTCCAAACCATAAACTATCATAAAAAGGCTCCGCAAATGAGGCAATTAGACGACAGTTCAGTGTTTCCTCGACGTACGCTTCAATAATATCATTGGCATGCTTGACCCGTATAAAGCTTCGCTAAAAAAAGTGGGATTTCACGATCGGGACGTTGGTAAGGCGGTGGGTCGGGGATATGAGGTGGATGGGTCGCGGATATGAAGAATGGGGCGGTGGGCCGAAGATAGGGAGGCTGAGGGAGGTCAGGCGGTGGGTTGAAGATAGAAAGAGTACCCTCCACACCTGTTGTAATTTCGCGCAGGAGGTGTGTGAAAGACTGCGTTAAATTTTATTTTTTTGGTGGGCAAGCACGTGTTTTTCTCATTTGAAATTTGCTGCTTTAATTCTATATATGTGCGTTCTAAACTCCATTAGAGATTTATATCTTTCATGGGCTCAGATTTTTTTTCATTGTAGCCTTTATATGATGGATTATGAAGTCGGAATAAAATTACTTGACACGAGTCACGTGACAGACTATTAAAACGGGCGGAGTTCACTCAGGTGTGCTATGACGTCATGTTCGCAGCTGCTATTTCCAAACTGTGATTTATCGCAGATTCTAAAACGAAATTTTATATTGTTTATCTTCCTCTGCGAACAATTCTGTACGAATTATACGATAATGACGTCGTAAATATTTTTTCTCATTTCTTTTGGATATAGTGAGAGAAGTGTTAAGTACCGGTACCGGCACCCGTGCAGCAAATTTAGATGACATTGTCGTCCAAAAGCTAAGAAGTCTGACAGCCTATTCCTGTCTGTCTTAGGAGGCCGCTAAGATCACAGGTTCAGCTGTTTTCAACTTAAGTCTTGCAGTCTAGAATAAAGCGTTATCTTTTAGGGATTTCATATGGGTATTAATACTGTCGGACTGTAATGCGACAACATTGGACTGTTTCGATGTGCACAATCTGTTGAAGTTTCCATTGTTTTGTAATCAGTAATCACAGAATCAGTACGGTAGTTTATCACCAGGATAAGATAGGATTTTACATATTTATCCCGGAGGAGAGGAAAGCCGATAAGACGGCTTATTCATAAGGCGAACCACGGCCTCTCGTCCGGTTACCATTCCAAGTCGGGTATGGGATTATTTACCTATATTGTTTGTTTTCGGAAGCATGGACTTGGTGGTGGAGGAAGCCGTTATCGACCAGCGGTTACGTGAACCACCCATTCAGATATTGGAAATACATGTTGTACATATGGCAGTATGGTGATAAAATAAACAATGATTACAAAACAATGGAAACTTCAACTTGCAATTAAAAGTTTTGCCGGATTGATTTTATATCGTGTAGCCCAGGGGTCGGGAACCTATGGTTCTTTTAATGACGGCATATGGCTCCCAGAAAAATCTAATATTCTGAGGCTATGCTTACTATTGTTACGAGATTTCAAACTCTTTTATAGCCACATTTGGCAGAAAAATTGCCAATACGTTTGAAAAGGCAAGCCCAACGCATGTAAGAGAATTACCAGATACGGTAGGCATTGTGACAAAACTAGGGGATTCTGGAACCTATTTTGTGACATCACAAAGTGATAAAGTCGCAGAGCAATCGAGAAAAGCTTTTTGTACGTACTGGTTATACAGTATTTGTCATATACAGATCGGACTAGTAAAGCTAGTGTTTGAAATACTACGGAAATGCCTAAATGAAAGAAAGGAAATGAGTATCCTTGATTTCAACTTGTGCTGCATGTGAACAGTCATTCAAGGCCCGCAGCGACAACATGCAGCATCAGAAGTCACTTTTAATGTATATTGACATCATATTATGTGTTGACTTTTGAGTAAAAATTTCAGGTCTGCTTAAGTTAAGAAATGCATTTATGGCTCGCACCAAATGCAATTGAAAAAATGTACTTTTTATGGCTCTCTTAACCAAAAAGGTTCCCGACCCCTGGTGTAGCCTATGTTTATTTTATTGTGTTCTTTAACTGCTTCTGGTGGACAGCAGGCTCTTCCTGTTTTCAGTACTTGTATGTATTTTAACTTTGTCCGTAAGTTATGCTCGTTCTTCAGGTTCTCTGCATTTTGTTCATCCTTCTCTCCCAGTTCTCAGTTCAGCGTGTAGCAATCCTTTTTAATTTGTTTGCTTATCAAACGATAATTGTTTAATTTTAGAATTTCGTGTTGGCACTTGGCAAAGTAGATTAAAAAACACAATATGAATATATTTTTATCAGATTTAACTAATTATTTAAAATGGCGTCGTCATCTGCCAGTTGGGTTAAATTCTTCAAAGATGCTGGAATTCCAGCTGATCAAAGTGCGAAGTACGCTGTGATGTTTTCGGATCACAGGTAAGATGACCGATCGCCATGTGACCAAAATTGTTGTCATTTGCTAAAAATATCTTAAGCTCTATGGTAAAACTTTTTTTCCGAAGAGTTCAATGATGATGTTTTCAGATTGCGCCTTCTTAGTTTATTGCACAACTTCATTTTAATGTATTTTTACTGAGGGACAACTGTCTGTCCACTGTCCACTCCATACGCCCTGGAAGAAGTGGTGTCTGTTTATCAGTGAAGTGGAATTCTCTGAAACCAGACAATGTCTCTTGATCTGTAAATTTATTCTTACACACCCCTATTCTCTTTGAATAAATTACCATCACCTATAACTCTTCTATTTTCACAGAATACAGAAAGGAATGCTCGGTGATTTGGATCGCGATATTTTATCCGACATCGGAATAAAAGCTGTCGGGGATAAAATGGCGATTATGAAGCACGCCAAGTTCGTGGATGACCAAACAAAGCGTGACGCTTCATCGAAGATTCTTGCAGACGGAATTAAGACTCTTGAAAATCGTACGAGTAAGGGATCGTCACCGGCACAAAGAATGATAAACCATAGCATTAATAGTCGTTCACCTTCTGGTAGAAATTCTCCTAAAATTGTTGTCGAAAATGTAGAGAAACCGAAAAATTTGGCTGAAGATTTTGACCCAAGAAAGACGGTGTTTGATAGACTAGGGGTCGATTCACCGAACAAATCGCCTTCCAAAAGTAGCGGGATATTTAAACGGCTTGGAGGGGAGTTACCCAGCGAGGAACTCCCTTACGCTGGCATATTGAAAAAGCCGTCATCGCCTGTGACAACAAAAAAGAAAATTCTCATCGTTAAGAAAGCAAAGTCAACGAGTGTTCTTGATCGGCTTGGAGTGCAAAAGTCCCCTCCCCAAGTTGTTAAAAAACCTGTTACTGTCACCATGGCAAAGAAAGTTGTTTCAATTAAAAAGAAACCTGTTGCCGTAGCAACAACGACATCACCAACCAAAGTTTTAATCAAGAGAAATGTAGAAACCCCAAAAACTGGGATTAAAAGGTCATCTAATGTACTTGATCGTCTCGGAGATATCGTTACAAGCACAACGAAGCAAACCGAAGAAGCGACTGAGGAATCTCCAGCTATTAAAAGAAAATTAATAGTTGTCGGACAAAAGAAAAAACCTGCAACTTTGAAACGCAAATCGACCGGTGACATTCGGGAGAAAATTTCTGCTAAGAAGCCTATTTCAAGTAACACTGTGTCCAGTACTTCTTCTGCTGGGATTTTTAAAGGTGCAGCTCAGGCCAGTTCAAGTGTCTTTGCTCGTCTCGGTGCCAAATGACAGCAGCCGCTAGCAAGGATGTCCAAAATAAATAGAATTTTGCAGCTCCAGAAATATGTGCACCAAGATGGCGCACAACCTGAACATAGTATGTGTACCAGGTTAGCGTTCAGGTTGTGCGCCATCTTGGTGAACATACATCAGGAACGAAAAATTTTCGAATCGATTTGGAATTTATTGTGTTCAATATTTTGAATTAATTTTTGAAATATTCAAAATAGTTTCATTTTAAATTATTTTTTAAAGATTTGAAGTCACACAGTATCATGAAGTAAACCTTAATATTTCTGAAATTAGAAAACTAGCAAATTACTGTTTTCTGTGGTGTGTTGACCTAGTGGTCGGCAACACAGATTACTTAGCTTGGGTCCAAATTACTTCCCCCCCACCTTACCCAGGGTGTAATAAATTAGGTAGCCAATGCCAAACTGGAAGGAACAAGTCTTTCGAATAGGAGTAACTCCTCTCATATCGTTAAATGTCAATGGCTGCTTGTATAGAGCCTTACAAATGTTCTTACTGGATGGGCTGTGTGGTTTGGCAATGTTTTCTGGTACTGGAGCTTGAATCAAATTTTAAACTTTCCTGTGGTCTTGGATCAAAATTTTTTTGGATTCTGAACATGTTCTGTTGTTGGGACTGGTTTAAAAATTCAAAAGCATGCATTAGTGCCTTCAGAAAATATGTGGAATGAAATATTCCTGGTTTGGTAAACGGGGTGATAGGAGCTGATTCAGCTGAATAATTTGTAATTTTTGAACTCATTGAAATTTACTGTTTTTTCTTGTATTGATCTGATGTTTTTGCAGTAAAATTGTATCATATGTTACAGATTTTATACCAAAAATTCATTTTAAATATTCAAATTGGATTGCAAGATATGATTCAAGGACTATTATTAATATACGATCACTTCTATCCAGCTGGTTAATTTCAACTGGGTATTCCCCCTCCTTTTTTATCCTTTAACCATCTGTTTTATGATATTTTGTATGTTTTTCAATGATAAGGACAATACTATTCCGACCCCTTCAATATGGAAATTCAGTAATGCATATCTGGCCAGAATCTAGAATATCAAAATAGTACTAAGTGCCTTAGGAATTTACTTTAAACGTGCTGTCTGAAACTACTATTTTCATAACTTGAGATAATCAGACTTTTTTAGGAAAAAATCTTTTAAATATTCAGGTAAATCATGATTTATGTCAAATGTTATGAGTCCTATTTTTACTCTTGATAAATTCAATACAAAATTATCAAATAGGATTTCAGAAACCCAAGCTATTTTCAGTCACCTGGTACTGTTCACAGGGTATTTGCACTCCCATAGTATGTGTACCAGGTTAGGGTTAGGCCATGATTTTATTCCGATTTTCCCTATTTTAGTTTTATTACGAGTTTAGGTACTGTCTGTGTTACCCAAGTGAATATATCCCCTGCCCATAGGCTTCAATCCCTTTACGCAACTTGATGTAAAGTGGTCGAACAAAATTAGTTACCTTGATATTGGTACACATACTTCTGGAGCTCCAAATGCTCTCCTTTCATCATACTGTTTTTTTTATTTTTATCCTGAGTATATATTGTACATTGACATGTTCATCCTGACCCTTTCACGAACAAATTAGTGTTGCGTGATTGGTCAGATTATTCTCACCTTAATAGAAGGTGCCCAGTGCTGTAAGGACATGCTTGGGTTAACAATAGTTCAAATTGTAATTCTGGATAAATATAATTTCACATACTGGTTTAGTTTAGATTCAAATGCATCGCAAAGTTTGAAGCGTTTTTCGGTGATTGATAATGTCTCAAATAGCATTTGCATATTATTTTGTATTTAATGCAGAGCTAGATTGTGTGAAAGTCGAAGACATATTTTTGATTTTACACATAGATTGGTACAAATTTCACACAACTGTTCATGTGCTTTTAATAAACCCTTTTTTATTAAATTTTAGATGTTACTAATTATTTAACATAACTTAGCTAAGATAAAATTCAGAAGTAGGAACAAATACCGGTGAGTTTGTATTTTACTTTATTATTTTAAAGAGCCTACAAAACTGTCGACTCATTGTTACTTATCGATTTTAATCGGTAAGTATGTTGATAGGTATTTGTCTGTATGTCTGTCTGTCTGTTAGATGCACGCGATATCTCACGAAAACGAGATTGAATCTGCTCCAAATTTTGCATGTGCATTCATCAGATGTCGGACCAGAAGCCTATTGATTTTGGATGAATTATGTCGTATAATTAGCGAGGTAATAATTAGTGATGGGCATTAGTTGATGGGACACAAGGTGTCACTATGGAGTAAGAGCGCTGTTTTGGGGATCCCCTAACTTTTGATCGATAAGTCCTCCGTCTCTGACCGATATTCTCGTTTGGTTGTCAGTACTATTCAGCTCCCTTATTTTGCCAATATAGAAATGATAAGAAAACTTTAAAATCTAAGGCTTGGCAGCTGGAGTTACTGGAGATATTAATTGAAAAGGGTATTACACCTAGGATACAGTTAGCAGTCAAATTATTTGTAACCATTTACCATTCAATAGCCATTACCGTTAATACCATTTAACCATGAACCATCCATTCATTTATTGATCAATCGTTTATTTTTTTTATATTGGTTGGTAACCGTTTGTTTAATATTGATTATCCATTTGTATTACGATTTAACTGTTTATTTGTTTATTACCGGTTATTAATCATATATTCAATATTGGTTAATTGATTATTTATTTAATATTGTTAACCGATTGAATTACCGTTCATCTGTTTATTCATTTTATCACCAGCTAAAAATATATTCAATTACTGGTTAATCCTTCATTTATATTTTAATTCTCTAATTTCTCTTCCATTCTATTCCCAGTTACCATGCCGATCGTTAAACGAACAGTCTCGCCCACAGCTCTGTGTCGGCAGAAAATACCAAGGGGATTGAAGAATGAACTGGAATGTGTGACTAATAATACTTTGGCCGGTGAGTGGGGGTAGTACATGGTAGTGAAAAAAGATTTTGTGTTTTTATGGCAGCGGCTCCCAAACTTTTAGTCGTGCAGTGCCAAATAATCACAGAAAAAACTCACGGCACACTTCCATAACAAAAATGCTACTCATCAAATAAAACTCAATTTTGTTGCAGCTAATTTGTACTTTATGCATTATAAAGTCACCCATGTTTGCTAAACTCGTTTCAGCAGATATATAAGCTATGCACCTAGTAACTCGTCACGCCGCACCCTTTGGAAACCATTATTTTATAGGATTTGGTTTAATATTCAATCAGCAATACATCTAAAATGATAAGGAAATTTATAAGAGAGAATTTTATCTTGTATTTATATGTAGTATTACTTTTGTCTTATAGACTGATATTTATCCCAGCATAACTGTATTTTTTAAATGAAAAGCGTACAATAGGAGGGAATTTTTTTATTTTGAAAAAGGAAATTTCATGTCTTTTTATATGTATTATATCTTTACTGATTTAGTATTATTGCAATACATGGACACATTCAATCTGTGCAAAAGCTACAGTGCTGGTCACTTGTGTCATCAGCTAATGGTCCATTAAAAATGAAGTGCTTTTTTGCTTAGTTTTCATCATAGCAAAGGCAATTAATTTAAACAACCTTTCCATCCCTGGTTCTTATTAATAATACTTCGTCTTGCGAAGGGCTTGTTGAAGGCCCTTTTGTAGATCATTTGTGCTGTAAATTCTCACAGTAGCCTACATATAGTGGAAAAACTTTAAACTTTTGTTAAGCTTTGAATGGTTTATTATTGGGATGAGAAAGTTCTCAACAAGAAACCGCCTTTGATGTGATAAATTATGTATTTGGAATGTGAAAATTGTCACATAGTCACATAAATAGGATCCTGTTATCAGATCCTTTTGTTTATTATTAAATCCTCTAGATTCGATATTCTGATTTGCACTTATAAATGTAGGGTAACTCATAAGAAAAAACAGAACCCAGGTTATTTGTAATTCTAGAGAGAAAATAACTCTCGTGCAAAGCGTCCCAGATTAATTAAATCTCTTGGTGCAATCCTGCACAAAAAAGAAGTGTTAAATAAACATTCTCCATTTTCATAATAATTACAAGAAGTTTGTTAGTTCTGCCCTGCATAACAAGTTCTAATTTTCTTGGGATGCAATCTGGTGATATTCAGTTCAATTTGATGTTTCGGACACAGGATATTGGTTTTGGATTTGTTTGAATATTAAATTATTTGATTTTGGTGAGCTTTGAATTTTCAGAGGCTCGGCAGTTGGTTCATCGTGCTAAGCCTAGGAATACACTTGCAATCCAAGCGTACCTTTGATTACCAGGTTCGCACTTTCAGTCCTTCGGGGAATAATTATATGCAAGATTATAACTACTATAACCGACTTGACGTGTTGTCGTGTTTCACTACATGATTAAGCTGGATATGAAAATCCTGGGAGAAACGATTCATCAATATAAACAACAACAACAGATTTACATGAGATATTGCGCAATAACCCATGCATTATTAAATCACAATCTGGAAACAGACGAAACCCCCTCGTTGGTCAAAAATCTGAATAATTTATATTTTCGCCTGAAACGATACCTGAGGTAGTGATAAATATTTTAAAATCTTCCGAGATAGATTTATGTTTGAACAAGCATGGCCCAAATGTTAAATGAGCGTCTATGTCTGTCCCACACGTTAGTTCTCATTTTAAAGTGATCAATATGACCCTTGACCCAGGAAGTGTGGAAGTGAATATTTATGTTTAATTATTTAGTTCCCGCCAGTTGGTTGACGCAGTTAGTATTCATGAAGGTTTCTGGTACGAGGGCTTTGTTAGAACGGCTGATTTACGGTTTGTGAAAAATAGGTGGATTTCTGCTACTGGGATTGCTTCACAGAGATGAATATTATTGTTTTGTTAGCGTTTTGTGATACATCATGTTAATGAGTTGACGTTTTCTGTTTTGTGTTGACGTTTTCTACTTTTCATCGCTAAACCCACAGAGTGGCTGTATTTAGAAAATTTGTACAAATTCCAACAAATTTGTCAGATTATGTAAATTAGTTAGGGGTCATAGGTGATCTCAGATTTTGTTTTGTTTCTCACAACTGCTGATATATTTCAGGATATTTTAAATAGTGGATATTCAATAAAGCAACTGGCTTTGACACATGTTTCAAAACATGACCACTGAGGTAGTCATTGATGGTAGGTTTCTTTTATTATTTATGTTGGGGATTTCCCTACCCCACACTGTCTGGAAAATCAATAGATTGTTGGAAATATATCGATCATGAAATCCAAATTGGGCTAAGTCCATTTTTCTAGTTTTGAGAAAAACGCAAAAAACGTTTTTTTTTGTTTCTTTTTTTTATTTCTCTAATACCTTACATCGAGGATGTCTAGTTTTTATGGTCCACCAAAGTTACAATGAAGGCCATATTTAGATGATATAAAAAAAAATTGTGCTCCGCCCCAATTTTTTTGGGGGGGGGGGTTGGGACTTAACCCTTTTTGGCTCTCAATTTTCTGGACCAGAAACAATTTTATTGGACTTAGGGCCCCTTTATTATGTCATTATAGAGGCTGGTATGGACTTAGCGCTTTGTATTATATTTTTTGAGAGGAGCTATGTCCAAAAAACGGACTTTGCCCCAACTTACAATGCAGTTATCCAGAGCTAAGTCCACTATAGTAGACACAGCTCTGTTTAGTTCTCAAATGCCCTAAAAAAAGCAGGGTTATGTCCATAGCTGTCTTGAGATCTAGAGCACCTAGAGATAAGGCCAATAGACCAAAATGTAGAGCTAAGTCCAGGAAAATCAGCAATTGAAAAATGTCATTTTTTGGAAAAGTGGAGCACTGTTTGGTTTTGAGGTGTCGATATGTTTGTTTGTGAATTCCAGAGCTTTTATATTTTATGCTGGGGGTTTCCCTACTCCCCATTATCTGGAAAAATAAATATGTTGTTGCATATATATATATGTCTGCAGATTCCAGAGCTTTTATATTTTATGCTGGGGGTTTCCCTACTCCCCATTATCTGGAAAAATAAATATATATATATGTCTGCAGATTCCAGAGCTTTTATATTTTATGCTGGGGGTTTCCCTACTCCCCATTATCTGGAAAAAAATAAAGCATTGACCTTTTTCTGATTCTTCTTTAATGCTATTGTATTTGGAATAGTAAATTATCCAAATAAGTAAATTTAGGAATAATAAAATATTGAAACACGTTCATAGCATATTTTGGTTTTAGGAATAATCAATTGGTTGAAATAATGGAGCAAAATGGCGTTTATTCACTTCACAAACTATGATTTCCACCTTTCGAAATACCATTTTAGGATATAGTAGGAATAGTAAATTATTCAAACACAGTAAGTTTAGGAATATTTAACGGTAAACCAAATAATAAGCACAAAATTTTAGATCTAGGGATAAACTAGGAGAGTTAAAATAACATAGCTCTGTGAAGCATAGCTCAATTTATCATATAGGCCTATTCCAAATTTTAGGGATGATCAGCAAGTTACTCTATTCAATGTCTTGCTGCACACTTGGCAAGTTATTCACTTTATATGGATGCATTTGATTATTTAATAGAATGCGTTAGATCTGGTTAGTTACTCAGTTTGCCCAGTCATGGTCTTTGCTCATCAGCATGTACCTTATATTATGATTGATTCAGAGACAGGAAGTCTTAGAGGAAATGAACCTTATAGTAGGCAGTGGTGAAGGGCTGGCCCTCTACTATAATATTGTAATATATTGACCTCCTATTTAGTAGACTTTGCAATCAGGAATTATGTAAAATGGCCGTAAAAATAGAACAATCCATCAAAACATTGTTCATCTCAACTAGCCTGCATCCATAAATACATTTTTGGAAATTTTTACTAAAAATATGAAACCCATTATATCATTCTTTCTAGCATTTACAAATTCAAACTCATTTTTTATGCAGACCCATTTGGCGATGTTGTGACATTTCAACTGATAATATTACAAATAAAGCTAATATTCTTCGATAATCACTCTGAAATTACTTGAAAGTCAATAATTTGAAATACGTTAGGCCTATAAAATAATGTTATATAACATATTCTGTATGTGCCAATCCAGGATAAATCAAATATTGGGACATGTTTGTTATAGATGAACAGATAAAGCTAGTCTACAGATCTTTCCTATTAGATTCAGTTTATTGGTTTACACCAGCATGATTTTAAATTTCCAGATTTTCAAGCATACTCTGTAAATTTACATTAATATAAACAGATTTTATCATGTTGTCAAAGGAAAATGGAGAAATTTTGTTGATTTGTGCAATATTGATAACAATAAAATAGTTAGCTGTTCACACCTTTTTGCATTCACTGTTCGTCGTGATATTTAGAGTAGCATTATTTTTATTTTGTTATTCATTACCGAAAATGATGCGCATAAATATGACAAAGCATTCTTTAAAAATTAGAGAGCTGGAGGTCTACACAACCACGGGTTGCCATTTACAATATTGTAAGTCTTTAAAGATGTCCTGAGACTTTTCAAGACGATGAAAATGTAATTTTAAATCCTTCTTAGGAACTATCTGACTCTTAGATATGAACACTGTGATCAAGGCTTCACTCTTGTGTGAACATTATTGTCTGTTACGAATTTTTGTCTTTCCCTAGAGTATATCATTTATCCTATTTCTTCCAAATTGAAGACGTAGATCCTTGCACAGGGCTTTGTTCAAAGCGAACAGAATGAGGGGAGCGTTGTATAAAAACATATAATTTATTTTGATATTTTTAGGTGTCATCCATCAGCTTGCCTCGCTCTCCCAACATGCGGAAGACATCTTTGGTGAACTTTTCTCGGAGGCGAACTCATTCTATGGTCGAGCATCGTCATTAAAAGATAGAATCGATCATCTGTCAGTCAAAGTCACCCAGCTGGATTCCAATGTAGAGGAAGGTAAACTTTTCGAACTTGTATGCCCTCTCGAAAACATTCGTGATCTCCTATTTTAAAATAAAATTCTCATCGGTTATTTAAATTTTGGGTACTCCCGTAGTATGTGTGTATCGGGTTAGGGTCAGGTCATACTTTTATTCCGATTTTCCTTATTTTAGTTCTATTATGAGTTCGGGGACTGTCTGTGTTAGCCAAGTGAATATACCCCAGGAAAACTGTTCTATAGCCTCCTAGAGTTGACGAGGGCCCACACTCTGACATCAATCTGATCTGTTCGAATTTGCCGATCAATCATTATTTAGCAGCGTATAATTTACTGGCATGTTTCAGTGGAAAATTACTAATTACATATTTTTTTTTATGTTCAGTTTCACTCATCGACATCAACTCAAGGAAAGCATTCAAATCGTCAGTAACAACCGACCAACAAGTAGTCTCAAGGCAGTCTCTGTCTCGTTCCGTATTGAATACTTACAAACAAGCCGACGCCCCACCCCCACTGCAAGAGCTCAATCAATTCAGGTTAGTTTGCTTTGAGAATTTGAATATTTGTATTTGTTTAACAGTAGCTATTCTACTTATTCATTGAGTACTCCCGTAGTGTGTGTACCAGGTTAGGGCATAATTTTGTTCCAATTTTTCTTATTTTTTAATTTCTATTACGAGTTCAGGGACTGTCTGTGTTAGCCAAGTGAATTTACCCCATGCCCATAGGTTTTAGATACAGAGTGCAACTTTGCCCATAACTTTGCTCCTCTGTGACTTGTCTCTTCTAGTTTGTAATGCACCCGCACAAGTTTGCTCTGAAAATCTTTGTTTAAAAAAACTCACTTGATCATATTTTCCAGAGAGGATGGCAAGGACGGGCTCAAGATCTACACCGACCCTGATTATTTCTTTGATTTGTGGAGAGAGGCGATTCAGAAGGAAACGAGAGAAGCTCGAGAGAAACGACGAGAACAACGGAAACGAGATCGAAAAGCAAATCCAGATCTGAGAAGTAAAGCTAAGGTTAGTTGCTCATAAGAGAATGCTGGATCCAAAATTTCAGAATTGTTACTCTAACATAGTTGGAACTGATTCACAAAACAGTTGCATTTTAATTTTTAACGCAATGTTCTAATTACAGGTTCGTCAAGCGGTCAATACTCGCAAACAGCAAGCGGAGAGAATGCGACATGGTGCGGAATTTATTGAGCCTGTATCCAAATCCTCGTCTGCGAGCGTCCGCAGAAGTTCAACTGCTCGAAAGAGGGAACAACAGCAAGTACCACAGAAGGATTACCTCCCTCCTCCCACGGAACAGCAGTCGACAAATCATCCGCATCCTGCAAGGTTTGTTATTTCTAGCATGTTATGCCTGGAATTTCCAAACTTTCCAAACTTGTTATTCTTATGACCAATTTTCTTTCTGTAGCATTACTTTCTTACGGAATGTGAATTTAGAATGTTGTACATTATTTATTACAGCACAATGTTCCGAGAATGATAATATGAGATAGATTATACAAGGTCATTACATATCTTGCTTCATTTGAATGATCAACTGTTTGTAATTTATATTCACAGAGTTAAGTAATCACAATGCATATAGCTAAAAAGCAATTACCTAACTATGTTCCATATTTTGCAGCGAAAGGTAATTCCAACTGAATTCAGTTAACATATCTTTTTATTCTTTCCAGCATGCCACCGCCGCCGCCACTAGATGGAGGTGCACCACAAACTTCGTACCCAGATACTCCCACTGATTACCATGGATTCGCTCCTCCCCCTCCAGAGCCGATGCATTCTCCACCTCCCCCCATGATGAATGATTACTCCCCCCCAATGTCTAACCCGCCCCCACCCCCACCGATGATGAATGGGGAAATCCCCCCTCCTCCAGTGATGAACATGAGTAATGTCCCACCTGCTCCTATGGCCCCGCCTCCTCCAATGGCCCCGCCCCCACCGCCAGCCCCACCCATGCTATCAAATGAAGGTCAGTATGCTTATTTGATTCCATATAGAAGAGACAACTATAAGCATTCTGCTCTATCTTGTCTGATTACAGCAGAATGAATGTTACAGTTAATCGGTCAATTAATTTACTATTTAATGTAGTCCTCGCAAATGGTAGCTAATGAGTGCCTTTGACCATCGCTTCTAGAGCAGGGTCTCCCAAACTGGGGTTTGTAATGACTGCACAAGGGGTTCGCAACAATATAAAATGTGTTTGGATCGAGGTATGCGGTAAAGTCTACAAGTTTGCTTGTCACAAATTGCTCCGAGAATTGATAAATTGTACAATGAAAAGCAACCTCATCCATCACATATTAATGTGGTTTGTGGAGTCAAAACTTAGGTTTGCAAACAGGGGTCTGCAGCCAGAAAAGTTTGCGGGAAACTTTGCCCTGAGAGGCCCATGTTCTCTAGGACAGGGCTACTCAACTGGCGGACCGTGGTTTCCCATCTGGACCTTTCGAGTATTTGATTTGGACCGCACCTAATTCTTTATTTTGGATCAATAGCCCCAGTTTTTAAGTTTCTTTTTATAAAATGACTTTTATAGTTTTGAATACATACGAAAAGAACTATAACACCATAATAAACAATCTTGATTAGCTGACAATAAGTAACCGGTAGAGGAAGTGTGCGTTTAAGAATGCCGAAATATAATTACTGGAAAGACTGGACCCAAATAATTTTTGTATGCGGATCTTTGACAAAAATAGTTGAGTAGCCCTGCTCTAAGATACCGAGGACACAGTTTGATCTCTCTGCACTATGCAACCAACCTTGACCCTTTTTATTCCTTCAGATTCTGCTCCTTCTGGACTGGCTGCAGCATTGCAAGGAGTCTCACTGAAGAAAGCTGAACCTCAGGCCCCAGCTCCTGTGGATGAGAGAAGCAACTTGCTGGCTGCAATCAGGATCGGTATCAACTTGAAAAAGGTTTGTGGTTTTCTATACTGAGTGATAAATGGGTTATTACTTAGCGATTTTAATCGGTAAGTATGTCGATAGGTATTTGTATGTCTGTTTGTTAGATGCACGCGATGTCTCACGAAAGCGAGATTGAATCTGCTCCAGATTTTGCATGTGCATTCATCATATGTCAGACCGGAAGCCTATTGATTTTGGATGAAATATGTCGTATAATTAGCGAGGTATTAATTAATTAGTGATGGGACACAAGGTCTCACTATGGAGTAAGGGCGCTGTTTTGGGGGATCCCCTAACTTTCGATCGATAAGTCTTCGGTCTCTGACCGATATTCTCGGTTGTGTTTTCGGAAAGAAATACTCCTAAACCACGAGCGATACTCAAAATGCCAGATCGCTTAAATGTACTTCAAAGGTAGATTTCTATAAGTAAATGTTGTTCGGATTTTTTTTTTATCTTTATATGATTCAAACATTGCCATTGCTTTCATTCAGTCTATGTAAGTTTACCCCAAGCAGCGAAGTCCGGGGAAATTTTATCGCCAACAATTTTTTATGATAAAATCTTGGTGTATGTTGGCCTCTTTGATTGACTGTTAAGAATTCTTGAAATGAAATGCTTTGTGAGTTTCAGAAAAAGATTTTGTCTCCAAAATCAGAGGCATTTGAAAACTTGACTCAAAGAAAGGTCTCGAGCCCTCAACTGAAGGTGGAAAAAATAAGCCACTGAAAAAATTATCTATCCTAATTCGACTTCCTATTATCGCAACCTGTCTGTTTTGAGTCTATCCTTGAATCGACTTTCTGTTTCCGTAGGTTGAAGAGAAAGAGAGGAGCGAAGCACAGCCATCTAGTGGAAAAAACGATGTCGCTTCCATTCTAGCTCGTAGAATCGCCGTTGAGTTTTCTGATTCAGACGTTTCGGATTCGACAATTGCTTCGGATGATGACTGGGATTGAGATCATACATGGTCCATATATAATTGAGGGATATTTAGACAATATCGTGCTTGAACCGAATATAATTAGATGGATTGGCCGTGGATAAATTTGATTGAAACTATTTTTAAATGGAATGGGTGACATGGCCAATGCTGGAAAAGTTTGCTTACATTAATGTAGTTCAGACAATGCTGTCCAAAGAACCTATTTTCTGGGTAGCATTAGCTTAGAGTTTCGCTCAAGCCAAATTGTTTACAATGGGCCGTCATGAAATCGCCTCGTGGCCCTCTTCGTGGGGCGGGAAGCCCAATTGAGAAAATATTCATTATTATTTCCATCTATACTTCATTGATAAAAATAGTTTATACAGTGGCTTGTTTTTCCTTCATTGCCCCGATGACAAATATTCGAAACCCCGGCTAAACTATATTGTTTGCTTCTCACCTGTTTTGCTTATTTTGCAATGATAATCCTCTTAGCAACCACAAACCATGGCCAGTTAGAATGTATCTGAATATTATTCCAGAATTATATCTCACATTTAGGAAAATATCTTACAATTCACAGGACGTGATGGCCTGGTGGGTAATGCATAAGGAATTAATGTATTGCGGTCAAAGAATAAACCAATCATGGCCATTTGTGATTTAAAGTAGTCTTTGTGAATGCTACATAGTTATTAAAGCCTGTGATTGTGGTCTCCTTGAGAATCTCATTGTGGTCTCCTTGGGGGTGATGTCCCTCCCAGCTGGGGAAACCTTGCTCTGATTGAAAATAAAATCGACCTCTACCGAACGAAACTTCACTCCGATTTCATATTTTGGTTTGAAATTTATTTCCAGATTCAGGCTTTGTCTAGTTCAGGGATGGGCAACCCCTGGCAGGCGTGCCGAACTTGACATGTGAGCCCATTTATTCAGCACACGAGCAAGGCCCCGGAAACGAGATAATTTTCCTTCAGATAAAAAGACTCCGAATCATCTGATGTAACTAGGTTTTCGTTTATTCGTTATTGTTTGTTAACAATCCATTATTTATTTAAACTCTTTTTGTCCTTTCATGACATGGTGACACAAGGGAATATATTATGACGTAACAACTGAGTGAGCTCTCGACAATCCTGGTCGGCACGCGAAAGAATTTTGTGATTAAATTAGCCGATTCTGGCACGCGAGCCGAAAAAGGTTGCCCACCCCTGGCCTAGATGTTTTAGATTAAGGCGAAATACCTTACAGGTACGTAGTTTTGAAAAAAAACCTGTAATAGTCTCCACTGGAATGTGAAGAGCTGCTTTTAATAGAACTAGAATACTTCTGGTTCAACATTCCTGCCCTGTTTCGACAGAAGGTTTGCATTAAGTGTTATAGCTTTGGACAATGCCTCGACTTACGACGTTGTTCCGTTCTTGAGGCGTTGTAACCCAAATTTCAGTGTAATTCGGAACAATAAAAATGGCGTACAGTATCACTGAAACTGTGTACCATGTGACTGAAGCTTAGTGATTATTCGTTCATAATCGTAATAGTTCGCAATTGTTCACCAACGAAAACCAATGGGCCCAAAGCACTGATTATCTTGATCACAGTGATCCAGTTTAAGGGCTCCCAAATTACAGTATTATATTTTTATGGAGTGCGTTTGTAACCTCGAAACAGCGTAAGTCGCAACCCGAGGACCCCCTGTACAAGCAAATGCTAAAGAGATACTATTCGCAGAAGAACTGAAACTGCTCGACATCGCTTGCCCTTTTTCGTTACATGTTTCATGCTAACAGTGATATCTCCCACTACTGCTCGACCACTTGCTTATTTTTGCACTAATTGAAATTTTTATTTTAATCATGTATAGTTTCAATGATATATTATTACAGACTAGCTTACTTTGTTTATTATGTCAGCTTAACCACTGGGGTTTCCCCCTCACGCAATTTTTTTTAAAAATATTCCTAATTCTTTCAATTACTGCATTTCGTACATGATAAACAACAAACAAAATACAAATAACTAAAGTGTCGTCACAGGGGAACCCCCTCCTCCAACTCTTTGCCAGAACATTCCCAATATCTTTCAATTACTGCATTTTTTAATTGTACAGGGCAAAAAATAGATAAATACCCCAACAGATTTTAAAATTTACAAAGAGTCAGTTTTGTCCCATTTTTAGGAAATCCTTTATAAATCATTGACATTCAATAAAAAATGTGGAGGCTTCTATTGAACAAAACTTCCTTTGCAGTATAAATCATGATTCATTTTTTGAGCGCTTTCGAAGTATATGCACCAAGATGGCTCACAACTTGAACTCTAACCTAGTACATGTACTATGTTCAGGATGTGCGCCATCTTGTTGCAATACTTCTGGAGCTCCCTTATTTGTTGTTGTTGTTTTTCCACGAATATTCATTTTCAAATTTCCAGTATTTAAAGATTGAACAAGTCGCAAACTTCCTCAAAAAAGTTGGCGTTCACCTGTATCAATCGTGTTTTTCAGACATCAATTTCACATTCCTTGGATTGTTTGCACCCCTACGTTGGTGATTTCTTTGCTACTAATCTTAATTAATAATAAATATTTCATCCAGATTAATCACATGTGTTATTTTGTCTGGATTTGGTTGGGTATGACTTTTACAGGATCAAGTTTTCATATTTTAGCATTACTGGTTACTCTCATTGACTTCTTGTAACAGAAAATATGACCTTTGTGATGGAACCGACTGACAAAAAAATTGAATCCCACCACTGGCTGTATGATATTGTAGATGAATCATTCTTTATTTTATGGCAGTTATAAATATTGCGAGTCTGGTTAATTGACCATTTCAAAGCTAATTCCAGTGCAAACTTCGTGCCCATATGTTAAAGCTCGGGTTTATATAGGATTTCCATACTAAGAAAGATGAAAGCCGATAAGACAAGGTATTGCGAATCAGAGCTTTGTATATGATACCTGCCTGGCTCGGTGCTGTGGCGCCTCGTACAAAATTACAGTGGTTCTTAAAGTATGGGTCTCGACTATGGAAAGACTAAAAATGGGTCGCACAAAGGTGATCAGACATACATACAGAAAGACAGACAGACAAATACCTATCAACATACTTACCGATTAAAATCTGTGTTGTGATGTTTGCGAAGGACAGCGGCATAGGTAATTCGAAACGAAGCAATGACTTTTTTGCTACCATTCGCGACCACGTATCTGTGCGAGCAAGGGTTTTCGGCACTGACGATTATTGGACACGTAGCGGACATAGTGATCGTTTTGTTGTTCTCGTTCTTGTTATTTGACACGTTTTTAAAAATCGCTTTTCTGTTCGAATACTGGACCAGTTGCTTTGAAATTTTCAGTGGTTGAAGATAAATATTTCTCCAGGAGGCTATTACTTTTTTTTCGCTATGACGTCATCAAAATTATTCCCACTGGGTGGCGATACGTGTCCATATATTTGAGCATAGCTCTCTTGTTAAAAATAAGGCTCGCAATCGCCTCGATTCTAGTGATGACTTGCGCATTGCGCTCAGTAAAATAGAGCCGTGTTAAGCTTATGTATTGAAGATATAATAAAAGGAAAATTTCAGTTTCACCAATCACACAAGGTCAGAATCGTTTCCACCATATTGTGCATTTGACCTGAATGACTCAATGGTTCCATCTTGCGTTTATAGAGAAAAACTATTTTCCCCGTAAAGTAGTGTAAAGAAACCAAAAATTTATCAAGCGAAGCAAAGTAGGCGTTGCTAAGATATTTGATTGGTCAAAAACCTGAATGATTGACGGATTATTTTCAACGTGTCCAAGAAACACGTTACAACCGCATACCGCCTTGAAGTTTCGTTGCTCAGGTTTTTGGTTTGGTTTATGTTATGTTCATTCGTCCAGTATTGGGAGAAATATAGATAATATGACAAATGTTATCTATTAATGTTGGGGAGAGGATTCATGCACAAGTCAATACTTGCCTAAAACACAAATATCTGAATTTGCGGCATTGCACTGTTGCATGCACCTAATAAAATATATCAATCAAATCGTTTTTTATTAGCCAAACAAACAAAGGACAGAAGAATAGGCAGGGTTTACCGGTCTGGTGTAGTTTAGTGCCACAAGTATTTCTAGTGGTCTTGGCATAACCATTTTCTGATTTTCATACATCTGTAGGCCTACATGTTATTCCTACCCCTGCCCGATTACGTCATCCAAAAATTGCCACGGTGACGTAATACCGGTACAGTAATAAGTCCCTCCAAAGTATAGGGATGTTCATTCAAATCACGCAGAGGATTAGCCAACTAGAAGTATATGTGATGCTAAACTACATCAGATGCGTGCAAATATGTATGATAATAAAAAATATACAGGGTGTTGATAAAGACCCTAGTCAATTTTGACCTAGGTAAAGCTAGCGGACACTTCCAGCAGAAAGTTACCAATTGAAGCGAATTTATGCAAGAAATATTTTTTTCTCATCCAATTCAATTTTGTTATGAAATCTTAACCAGGTTTGTTGTATTTTGATCAGTAATTGTTTAAGTATATTTACTTCATTTATTACATCTGTGAGGGCCAAAACAATATATATATATATCAGTACATGGTATCGATAAATTGCTTTTGCAATTTTAAAAAAATTTAAGATTTTATGGACACCCTTTATATGCATACGTACAGTACAGTGTTGTGTCAATGCATGCAATATGGATCATTCAGCAATCTTTATAATCTATTTCATTACAGATTTGCTTCTGAGATATTTGGTTGTGTCTGATCAGAAATTTTGTCAATTAGGTTAATCTTCAAAATAAACTAAAGTTTCATAATGTCAACAATTGAAGATAGCCCGTCACAATCTTTCCCCGATGAGTCAGAATTTAAAGAAAATAACGGAACATCTGGTGAGGAAAGTGGGAATGATAGCACAGCGAAAGATAATGACGACGATGAACTTTATATTCCGTCAGATGAAGAAGATATTCCTGAACAGTCGATGATTACGAAGGAAATGGTGGAAGAAGAGGAAATGCTGGAAAAGAAAGAAATGAATTTGGATGAAAAGATTGAAGATTTTAAACCGATCTCAACAGGGGAGAGATTGGACAGATTGGCATTGCTATTACAAAAGAGCAAAGTTTATGCGAATTCATTGTTGAAAGTGATCGAGAAAAAAAAAGAAGTTGAGAGAAAAAAAGCCAAAAAGAAAGAAAAATTATTAAAAAAGCAAAAATTAATGAAAAAAGGTGATTTAGCTTCAAATACTGCGCTCAAAAGACAGAGAAGTCCAAACTCTGATGAGAAGAATCGAAATAAAAGGATAAAGCTCACAGATGCAAAAGCAGATTCATCGCATAATGATATGCTACAACAGAAGCTTTATCTACCGACGCCAGAAAATATTGTTTCGCAAATAATTGAAGTTGATGGGATTCGATATTATGGGAATAAAATGGTCGATCTCAGTCAGCCGTCTCTCCTCACCGGCGGAATGCTACGGAAATATCAGATTGTCGGGTTTCAATGGTTGAAAGTCTTGTTCACAAATGCTGTCAATGGAATACTAGCTGATGAAATGGGACTTGGTAAAACTATCCAATGCATTGCCTTGATTTGTCAAATAATTAAAATGGGATTCAAAGGCCCGTTCATTGTCTGTGCACCTCTGTCTACGATAGCAAATTGGATTAACGAATTCAAAACTTTTGCGCCGCAGATCCCGCTGCTTCTGTATCATGGAAACGCGACTGAGCGAGCGGTCTTAGCGAGACATATCAAAGATATTGGTCAGTGTGTTGAATCACATCCAGTTGTGATAACGTCGTACGAGATTTTAATCAATGATAGAGCTGTTTTATCAGCTTATCACTGGGAATATCTGATATTAGATGAAGGACATCGCATCAAAAACACAAAATGCAGACTTCTAAAAGAGTTGAAACAGTTGAATATCGGTGCAAAACTACTTCTCACCGGAACGCCATTGCAAAATAACCTAACGGAACTTTGGTCTCTTCTGAATTTCATTATTCCGGAAGTATTTGACGACCTCCGAGTGTTCGAGTCATGGTTTAACTTCGGTGAGACTGGATCGAAAGGCTCGTCTGAGTTTACATTAGATCAGGAAGAGAAATTTCTTTCCACCATGTATGAAATCTTAACCCCTTTCCTGCTACGCAGAGTTAAAAACGACGTTGATATAGACTTGCCACCAAAGAAGGAAGTGGTAGTCTACGCACCATTTTCACAAAAACAGAAAACGTTTTACAAAGCAGCGACGACGAAAACGATTCAAAACCTATTTGAAAAAAACAAAACGCCCGGACCTGATTTGAAATCTCTGATGGACATTTCCAATCGAAATCGCCAGACACGAAGTAAAACCCTTGACTCGAGAATAGAGAATGAACGAGCGAAAAACTCGGTTTATTGTGAGGACACTGAGATCAATGTCTCTCTGAATAACATCGTCATGCTTTTGAGGAAATGCTGCAACCATCCTTACCTCATTGAGTACCCTCTAATTCCTGGGACAGATATTTTCAAAGTTGATGAAAATCTAGTATCGGCTAGCGGTAAATTAATGTTGTTAGATCGACTATTACCGAAATTGAAAGAGCATGGCCACAAGGTGTTGATATTCAGCCAAATGACTAAAATGATGGACATATTGCAGGATTATTGCGGTCTGAGACAATACACCACCGTACGATTGGATGGCTCAACAAATATGCAAGATCGTCAACAAAATATAAAAAATTTTAACCGTGATCCTGATATTTTTGTGTTTCTGTTATCTACCAAAGCAGGGGGGTTGGGAATCAATCTAACCAGCGCTGATACGGTGATTATTTACGACTCGGATTGGAACCCGCAGAACGACCTTCAAGCTCAAGATAGATGTCACAGGATCGGCCAAACGAAGCCCGTCATGATTTATCGCTTGGTGACCGCTTCCAGTATTGACCAAAGAATGGTTGAGCGTGCAGCGGAGAAACGTAAGCTGGAAAAATTAGTGATGCATGAAAATAAATTCAAAGGAAATCTAGACTTGGAATTGAAACACAAAACTACAATAGGACGTAGCGAACTTTTGGAAATGATCCGATCTCCTCATTTTAATGCGGTTGTCAATTCCCAAGACATCATGACCGATGAACAACTGGAGAAATTGCTTGATCGCAGTTCTTTAACAAATTAGTGTGAATCTGGGATTGAGCAAAATTAAAAATATTCGAAAGTTAGCTTTAGAGCTGACATAAACAAACTAGCGCCCGTTGGATAATCCAATCTGGCCCGCCTGATGCTGCCACAACCAAACTAAAACCAAATTTTGATTTTCAAGCTAAAAATAGGAATATGTTGAGATTGCGAATAAATTTAGTTTGGCACAAGGCTTATTGTTTTCCACTTTTGCTTATGTAACACTGCAAATGCAATTCAAGTTCATAAAATGTAACTTTTTATGTCACACTTACATGGTCACTCTAGGTGTGCAAGAATTTTGGCCCCTGGTTCGAAAACCTTGCCCATCCCCTGATCTAGAGACTCTTCTAACTTTTTCGCTCTGAACAAGACCCCAATAATATACTTGGGTGAGGCCTAGTGTTTGCATAATCAATGAATGTCTCTCCTAACAAGGCGTTGCACAAGTTTCCACTGCCAGAAGCTACTGAATTTTGAAAGACAATTATGAAATATGAAAATATCGCCCTGAAAACCTGATTCATTGTTATGTATAGCAGTTGTTTTTGCTTTTCTGTGTCTCAGGACAGCTATAATGCAGACACTCGAATGTTTGAACTTCATAGCGATGTCGATCAGTAACTTATTTTTATCGCTAAAAATATTAGTATTTTGAATAAAACATGACCGTAGGTTTTCCTATATTGAGCATTAATCATGATTTATTAACAATTTATGCCGCTCCAGAAGTATGTGTACCAATATGGAGGTAACTAATTTTGTTCGCCTATCAAGTCGTATGAAGGGACTGAAACCTATGGGCAGGAGATATATTCACTTGGCCAATGCAGACAGTCCCCGAACTCGTAATATAACTAAAATAAAAGAAATCTGAATGAAATTGTGGCTTAACCTTAACCTGGTACACACACTACGGGAGCACCACCATTTCAATAATGTTCTTTTGATTATTAGTAGTACAAAGTTCTTTTTGTAATTTTTCGTTTTTCAATGTTTCAAATCTGTTTAAAACTGCCAAAGTTAATGTGAACAGTTTTTGTTAATGTGAAAGTTTCGATTTTTTTAAATTTTTGAATATATGTAGGAAATTTTCGCATCACTGAAAATCATATCTCTGTTTTTTTGTTATAGCAAGTTTATGTGTGGCCGTGCTGCACTGTTCTGTTAATATTTCTGTATCATAACACCAAGCATTGAATATTTCATAACAATTTTCATTCCTACTTTTCAGATTGTATTTACGTAGAGATTTCCTGAAACTTGGCAGCAAACTGTTACTAATACTCAAATATCAGCTGATTTGATTTAGCGCTGCAAACAGGAGAGGATTGGAAAGATTTTCATCATACTTAGAAATTGCTTGAATTTATTAATAGACCATGAACTGTTACTCAACGTTGGAAAGATTTTCATATCATCTGATAAAGTTGCCGTATAGCAGTGGTTCCCAACCTGGGGGTCGTGGCGGGTTTCTAGGGGGGTCGCGAAGGTCTTGCAAAACATTAAAAAATAATACAAAGCTTTAGGTTAAATATAGTCAATAGAACGCAAAGAGGTCTGGAATGAGATATTTCCACTAGCTGTCGTGAGACCCCGGAATGCAGCTTCTTGTTTGGAAACCAAGCAAGCGGAGCGAGATGTTTATGGCATGTAAACCATTGTGACGTCACATGAACGCGTCTGCATTTCCGCGATGCGGTAAAGCTTCGAAGCAATGCTGTGGAACGCCAGGATTTCGATACCAGGGGGTTTACTGCGGATTAGGCTTGTAGTCCATGTTGTTTCAACGTGAAGATTATCATACATCCTGCAGTAACGTTATAATTCCGTTATTTTATATACGGTACCACGGAGAAGAAGCGACAATATGAGGAAGACTATTTGAAGTTCGGGTTTACATCCAAATTGAAATGTCATTTGGAGACTGAGCATTCCAAATATACCGCGAAGAATTTAGAATTTTTCCGGCAACATGAACCCGGTCTAGCATAATATATATGAGATTAGCTTTGTCGAAAACTCAACCACGAATTACGCAGTTGGTTACGGGGTTTCAATGTCAGCCGTAACATTGGGCAAAACTGCTGCTTGATGGGAAATTAAATTATTTTATTCATAAGTAAAGATAGTGTGGCAGGGGGTCGAGAGGTATGTGTAAATCACAAAAGGGGGTCGCTAGGTATGTGTAAATCACGGTCGTAAGGTATGTGTAAGTCACGGTAAGGGGGTCGCGAGCCAAAAAAATTTTGGAACCACTGCCGTAGAGGGATCATTTATTCAAAAAGTTTATGGAAGTATGTGCTTTTCTGTTAAAGACTTTTTCTTTCATTTCATTCATAAAAATTAATTATGTCAGAGTTGGTCTTACATGGATATCACAGCACTTGCGATATTTTATTTTTTTATTTAGTAAATCTGGTTAACGTTTGCCATACCAGACATAGACGGCTATTTTCCGTTCTTGCAGTGAAATTCTCCAACTTGCAGCAAATTAAAACATCATAGTTTCTGCTTATATTCATGTAATATCGCAAGCTTAGATCCCAACCAGAGAGTTTCCATTCTTGTTTTTGTCACAAAATGAGATGACCCTTTTAATCTCATATTAATTTTCATCCTACATGTCAGGGGTGTGCAACCTGTGGCCAATAGGCCAAATTCATTATCTATGCCAGTGACGTAACAATGGCGTAACTGCTTAGCGTTTGTGCGAAGCAAACAACACATGTCAAAAGATCGATAACTAAATATTTGTGCATGCAACTACTAGAAATAAAGCTGTAAGCCCGCGGTTTCACCCAGTTTTTATATCTCTCCATCCTGTATGAAAGATTGCCCACCCATGCTCTATGTTGTCATTTTTCATTGTTATTTCATCACTTTCTCAGGTCATTTATGCAATCATAATCGTATCTGATTACCACACTGTGACATCACAATGAAGCTGAGAATTATACTCTTATCTCTTGTTATCTTCGTCTGCAATGCTGAGGAGGAGAAATACCCTGGTGTTTTTTGGCCATCTTACCAAAGTCATTTGCTGCAGTCTACGAAAGCTCAGAGTGAGTTTATTTAATTTTCGACTATTTCAAGGATAACATCCAGTCAAGCGTGACGGGTGGGAATATTCTAACCGCAACAGGGTAATGTTAATACTGTCATTTCTGCTTGAAAACAATTCGAGTGCAGCCATAGTCCAGAGCGTTTGGGTCACAACAATAGCTACGCCCGTAGTATGTAAACCAAGATGAACACCGGAATGTAGTATGTGCAACAGGTTAGGGTTAGGCCATAATTTAATTTCAATTTCAGTTCTATTAAGAATTCGAGGACTAGCCAAGTGACTCCTGTAGTATTCGCACCTGAAATTATGGCCCGACCCTAACCTGGTTCACATACTACGGGAGTACCCAACATGCCTAGACTCTCCTGTAGACAAAATGAAATTATTTTTTCTTTGACTGAATAAAACAAATATAGTCAAATACCCTCAAACTTTGCCAGATGAGAGCTGATATGAGTTTTAGTCATATAAAGCGGGCAACTTATTATGCCCTATCGAGTCAGGTTTTGCATTAGTTAGCAATAGGCTTGGAGAGTGGTGGGCGGAAGCCATGATCTTCCATGGCCATCACCCTACGTGCATAATATTAAATTAAAATTCTTTTGTTTTTAGACTTTTCAGGTAGATTGATGGCAGCAGAGAGCGGATGAGTGTTTAGTTGGTGCTAGCAGCGTCGAGTTTTGTTAGTGTAGAAATTCCGTAATCATAGTAAAGGGTTGAAGGAGATCTTTAATAATTACTTGGGGAAGTGGAAAGCTGATAACAATGCCTGATCATAAGAGTATTTCAATGGTCGCTCATCTGGTAAAAAAGGCAAAATTACAAAGTAGATATTTACTAGATTTTCAAATAAATAAAATATGAATACCGATGTCCATTTACTTATTTATAAATATCAAATTTTTATTTTAAAAAAACTGCTAAATATAGATATCTCTAAAATGACCAGTCATTTAAAACGTGTAGGAGAAATTTCTTGAAAAAAAAATTCACGCTATAGATTAGGTCAGCGGTTCCCAAACTTTTCGTTTGTGCGGCGCCATTTTACCGAAGAAAAAACTCACGGCGCACTTACACAACAAAAATATACTGCTTTCAAACGAAACTCAATTTTGTGATCGTTAATGTGTACTTTGTGCCTTTTAATGTTTGTACACATGTGGGCCTATGCAATATCATTTGAAATTCTAAAAAAATCACTCGATTCAGCAGATAAATGAACTGCAGATCACATTGCAGCAAATAGTGGTTACCTATATTGTTACGTAACAATAGAGGATGACAAAAAGTAAATGACATAGAAAGGTGACATGAATTTATTGATTCATATACACAGTATTTGGAAGAAGAAACAATTAAACATTGAAAATAAATACAATTTGTAGAATATTCAATCATATTCAGTTATGTTTATCACAATTATGTTAATTTTCGCGGCGCACCTAGCAACTTCGCACAGCGCACTTTTTTGGGAACTGCTGGACTAGGTCTTATTTTAAGCAGAAGGAATCGAATACTCGTTAAAATCCAGGCAAGGTCTTATTTTTAGGGAAACATGGGTCCCAGTATTTCAACAGGTTGCCCATACCAACCAGATAACTGACTGAGAAAGTTCTCCATGATTGGATCATATTAACAGCTTCCCGCTTCCCGGGAGAAATAGAAAATTGTATTTATAATTATCTGAGGTGGCCGTATGCAAATAGTTTGCCCTGCATTACCTTTACATATGGATTTTGTTTGTCGCAAAAAAAACTTCTGTTTGTGGATGATTGCACCAAAAAAAAAGTAATCTAGGAGGCTTTGTACAAAAGTTGTGTTTTCTCCAGAATATGGTACAAATGACCTGGAGACTGTTTTTCACTTTCTATTTGATATGAAATTAAGGGGTTAAAAGTGGTGGAGAATAATTGTTCGCTGTTAAATTACTAGATTCTTAACTTTCACTGAGTAATCATTGATTGGTTACAGTCCCCTCTATCTGATATGATGCCATTAACTCAACGGGCTTTTATTAAAGAAGACATTTTTCTTCTCCCCGGTGAAGTCATAACTCGACAGACCCATAATTAAATTTTGTTTTATTTTTCAGTCTCAAAACCTGCTCCAGACTGGGAGGGAACAGCGATAGTTGACGGGGAAATCAAAAAAATAAAATCAAGCGACTATCTGGGAAAGTACCTGGTGTTTTTCTTCTACCCCCTGGATTTGTAAGTTTTTATTTCAACCTATATTTCAATTATTTTATTTTGAATAAGATTAATATATCTGATGGTGTTTGAAAAACATTTATAGACGTAAATATGCTATATTGCCAGAGTTACACCGGACTCTCCTTCCAAAGAAAACAAATTAGACGCCTATCTGCCTGGTCTGGCAAAAAAATGGTTGACTATGGCTCCAGACTCTACTATGACGTATGCACCTTCTCTAATCATTGTTTGTTGAGAATACTTGGTCAAAGTTGGCCTAATACTGTTTTAGTTTGACTCCGATTATCGTTATTTAATTTTGAAATAATTCATTTCTAGTCCAAATATTCTGTAGAATTACATGGTACACCTGACTCTCTGAACTACGAAAAATAAATTGGGCTCGACTTCTCTCTGGACTGACAACGATTTGGACTCAAGACTCGAACTATGATAACAACTCTGACATATTGACTCTCGACTGTCAATTGTGGATTGAGTGGAGTTCTCAACTGTTACCTCATTTTGGTACCTCGCATGTTTCCATTTTTAAGACCTTCCTTTTCATATTTTAGTACCTTCGTATGTCCGACTGAAATCATCGCGTTCTCCGACCGAGCGGAAGAATTCAAGAAAATCAATACTGAAGTCGTTGGCTGCTCAGTGGATTCACATTTCACTCATCTTGCATGGTATATAATAATAGTTTCTTTCAAAGCAGCTCAACTCCCTCTCCCCCTGATAATTCAACTGAATCTTTGTTTTTACTGTTATGCGTAGCAGTGCTATAATGTTTTTCTATAGGAACTGTTTTCACTCCAAAACAAGGTTTCGTGCAAACAGGCTCAGACATCCTATCTTTCAGGGGTTGCTACTATCCTTATTAATAAGAGATAGATTCGAAAGGCATGTACAAAGTTGATGTATAAAGACTCGTTATGAGCAAAAATGGGCGCTCCAGAAGTGTGTGTTCTAATATGGAGGTAACTAATTTTGTTCGCCTACTTCAAATCAAGTTGTGTAAAGGAACTGTAACTCATGGGCTGGTATATTCACTTGGCTAACACAGACAGTCCCCGAACTCGTAATAGAACTAAAATAAGGAAAATCGGACTAAAATTATGACCTAACCCTAACCTGGTACACACACAACGGGGGTAGCCAAAAATGTTTAAACTCTAAATAGGAAATACTCAATATGCAGCAACTCCTTGCATATTAGTGGCCACTCGTCTTGTGCAGACTGAAACCCCTGATAATATTTCATAATTCAAATTCATTTCCTTTCAGGATAAACACAGCACGTAGGGAGGGAGGTCTCGGCAAGATCAATTTTCCTCTTCTCTCTGACCTGACTCACAAGATATCGAGGGATTACGGCGTTCTGCTGGAGGATCTCGGTCACACATTGAGGTGGGTGTTATGGGATGGAATTTTTTATAATTTGAACCAAGAAAAAGGCCTTCGCACCTTCATTTAACATAGGCTATCTAGTAGTCTCAAGCACAAAAAGTTGGTTATTGTTACATGCATTGTTTGTAAAATCATAGGCATAGATGATAAATTGTGCTATTATCATTATACTCAGGTATAGGCTTTGGGACGCAAAGGGATTTGAATTACTCACACATACCAAATTAAATCAAAAACTTGTTTTTTCGCCGCACATTGTTCAAAAATTGGCACTTCTATGCAGGCTGTGCGATTTTTTCTTGAGGGCCACATTCGGGCCGCAGGTTGCACACACCTGGTCTAACCACCAGGTCATGACCCCAATTTACTATTTCTTAGTTCCTGATACCTTGAGAATAATTCAATGTTATGTCTGTCTGGCTGGCCTTGCTCAGATGAGACATTGCAGACACAAATTGGTCTTGGAGCGCAGTAGATCTTTCAAATCACATAGAATATTCAGTGCTCCAGAAGTGTGTGTGCCAATATGGTATGGAGGTGACTAATTTTGTTTGCCTATTTTACATCAAGTTGTTTAAAGGGACTGAAACCTATGGGCAGGGGGTATATTCGTTTGGCTAACTGTCCCCGAACCAGTGATTGAAGGAAAATCAGGATAAAATTATAGCCTAACCCTAACCTGGTACACATACTACGTTCCAGTGTTCGCCATCTTGGTTCACATACTTCGGGAGTACCGAATATTCATCTTTAAACTTGCTCCTTTGCATTGTATGAAAACGTCCTCCGTCTGACTAAAGTTTTCTTTACATAGAGGTCTTTTCATCATTGACACACAAGGAACCTTGAGACAGATCACAATGAATGACCTTCCTGTCGGTCGCTCAGTCGATGAAACTCTTCGTCTTGTGCAAGCGTTCCAGTACACGGACCAACATGGAGAGGAATGCCCTGCCGGATGGAAGCCTGGTGCTGATACTGTAAGTATTGGGGAATGTGAGGAGTGATATGCTCGAGAAATTAACTCGACTCGATCTCGATTAAGCGATGTTAGATTAATGATTCTTACAGTACTCACCGTCAAGAACAGTCGATTCCAAATTCTAAAATTTCAACTTTTTGAATCTTATGGAGAGTAATTACATGCAGGACTGCTTGTCGGTTACGGCTTCCTCTACCATCAAGTCGATGCATCTGAAACAAATAACTGGCAAACTAACCCCATACGCACAATGGTCATCAGACGAGATGCTGTGTTTTGCCATATGATATGAAGTCGTTTTATCAACTTTCCTTTCCACAAGTTCTGTAAGAAATAACTGGCTAATTAATCCCATACCCGACAAGTGTTTCGCCATGATTAATTCCTATAATTGAGTCTTCTTTCCTTTCACACTAAATCCACAATATTTCTAATTTTCGAATGTTCTCAATTACTCTGGCATTCTGAATTAGCTGATTTCCTTCCTTTCAGATAATACCTGACCCAAAAGAAAAGATGAAATATTTTGAAAAGAAAGAGCTGTAAAGAAATGAATGGACTGATCAATCTTACGCTTTTGTTCGCTAAATAGTTTTGGGTGTTTTTGTTTTGCTGTGTTTTGAAAACACTGGGTCACTGAGGTAGTGGGTGTGGGAGTCTAATGAGTTCCGCACCACCCCCACCCAAAGAATATTCCCAGACTATCTAATTTTAAATATTTGCTTTGCAAGAAATTAAACACAGAATTACCTGGAAATTCACATATGCATAGTTTTGGTTATCAGTTTAGGTAACGCTAGATTTTAGACTTTTTTTTCACTTGATCAAATTTTTCGTTTATAGTGATTTGAAACTCTTGCTACAGACTAACATAGTTCAGTTAGTTACATTAGACAAATCTCATGTAAAGTTCATACAAATCTCTATAAAAAAACCTCAACGGAGATGGTAATTTCGTTTTATACCAAGCCCAACCTTTCCTCACATTGTGAGAGACCAAATTATTTTACTGACTACATATTCTGACCCACTGTCCCATTTTATCCAAGTTTTCATGAAGGTTGAGATCGTCACACTCTTGGAAATTAAATTCCATAACGCTTACATTTGATTCACATTGTTGATAGATAAAAATAAGCTACATATCTAAATTTGTGAAAGCATTCCATTTTAAACCAACCATTCCTAGACAGTATATATAAGACCAGGGCCTTCCAACTAAGTCTGGGAATAAATTACCAAATTAAAGCAATATAATTTTAAATTTGGTTTGAAGACTGGGCGTTTATTTTATACTCGCAAGGTTCGTTAATTGAAGTTACTTTATTTGTGATTTTAGTTAAAAGGTAAAGACAATTTCTATCACAGAATCCTACTTTTCAGCCTTTACCCTTATCCCTACTCAGACTTTCAATTCGTTTCACACAAAGGCCCCAATTGCTAAGGTCGGCCCTGTATCAGCCCAACATATCATTCATCCTGCATTCCGCGGCCCACTGTTCCATTTAATTGAATATTTTTTTCTGAATGTGTGAACTTATTTCTTGTTAGATAGTTTTTTAATCAGCTCGTTTTCAAATTTATTGGACTTAGTTACTATGTGTTACTAGATTGGTGAATTAGTGTCGCCGCCTGTTTCTGAATAGTAGAATAGAGTTCGTAGAATTCTCAAATCTTTCCGCTTCCTATTCCTGAGAAAGGCTCTGAACAAGAAGTCACTGATTGCTAGATAGAATGTTGGTTTTGAGCTCATATTGCTCGTGAAATATATAAGTCGAGTCTATCCAAAGGTTTCCCGAACTGGGGTCTGCTTTCCTCCTGGAGGTCTGTGATGACTGCACAGAGGTTCGCAACAACTCCGCTGAAACATATACAGAGAGATCATGATCTTATCTAATTGCCTTTGGCAAGTATTTACTGTTATAGTATGTATTGATTCAGACTTTCATGAGTTTTATGTCACTGAAGGAAACATGATCCTCGTTAGTTAGTTCCAGAAATTGATACGACATAGGATGGGGGCCCGTCAAGAATAAGGTTAATTAACAGGGGTTCGTGTCCAAAAAGTTTGGGAAACTCTGGTATATCCTATCGTGTTCAACATTGCAACCACTTGCCATAATTCTTTGTTATATTGCAAGTTTTGCTCTGAGCCTGTGATGCCAATACACCAACAACGGCTCGGATGGGGCTTGCAAAATTTTATTTCTGCCCAAGACGAAGTTTCTGAATGATGCTCCCCATACCAATTATTCTCATTTTCACATCATTTTTTCTAGTTATCCATTTCAAATGAAGTCTTGATATGAGGAAACTTGCTAAAATAATTGTGTGCGAGTACTATCCAATGGTTTGCAGCTTTTCCATTTGTTTATTGGTATTTAGATCTAGCGTTCAGGACTTTGAAGTGAAAACTTCAAAGATTTTTTTCGTTTTCCTAGATCTGTATATATGTAAGTTTTGGTTTTCTGTAAAGGGACTGTAAAGTTGAGTTTTACATCCTTGGATCAAAAAGTTGTACTCTAGATTTTATAGAATGGAATTAATAGAAAGAATAATAAAATCTTCATATTACGACAGATATCAAAGACTTGCCTAACCCTGGTTTGTTTGTTCAGACTACTACAGGGTAACCCGTCCTCCCCCCAAAAAAAAATTTTTTTTTTAAAATGACTTCATGATTTCATACTGAAACTTTTGGGTGCCATCATACATAATCAGAAGTTCAAATGTTGCATAAACTAATCAATAAATTTATGGATTCTGCTTTGTCTCCCGAGTTAATTATGGCCAATCGTTTAATATTTGCTTTCATTGTGAAGATGTGTTTTCAATATTATTCCAGAAAATTCAAAGAAAAAGTTTTTGTTGCTTTATACCTGTGTGATATTTGAGATTAATTGACATTGTGTCCCTGAGAGAGGAAATTTGATATGACAGTTTAATAATATGGGGAACTGCAGTCTTTCGTTAGGTTATCAGTCGGATACTGGATTAGTAGGCCTGGTGCTCCAGAAGTATGCGAACCGATACACACACATACTATGTTCAGGTTGTGCGCATACTTCTGGAGGTGCGTAAGCTGCTTATATGCATGGACTTGGTGGTGAACACAGGATTTACATATTTATCCTCGGAGAGAGGAAAACCGATAGGACGGCTTAACCGTATGGAAAACCACGGCCTTTCGTCGGTTACCATTCCATGTCTGGTATGGAATTAGTTAGCCAGGTGTTTGTTTTCGGAAGCATGAACTTGATGGCGGAGGAAGCCGTGAACTATCAGCAGTTACGTGAACCACCCTACGAAGACGAGGAGTCCAGCAATCCTCTTTTACATAACTATTCCCGCATGGGATGCGAACCCACGCAGAGTAATCAGGGGTGCGGGGGCGAGCGTATTCTTAACGCTTAGCTCGATGAGACACACCGCTGCGCATAGCTGTGACTTAGTTCTGCCAAGTTGAAAACGCGTGACTTTCGTGTCCGTAGGTCATGTTTTATCAAGGGGTCAGGAAAGCAGAACAAACACAATAAACCCATGAGTAACTAAGAGCTTGGGTTCCGAGATAATAAACCCGATGCCTTTGCGCTTTTGCTGACATAGGCAAATTACTGCTCGCTGGTGAAATCCGGCTTGTTGGGTACTACAATCTGGCCCGCCTGATGAACCAAACTTAAACCAAATTTTGATGTTTTAGCTAGAAAATAGCTCAAGGAAATTATTGAGATTGAGGTTAAATCTAGTTTTGGCACCAGGCCCATTGTTTTCCACTTAATTTTGTAATACTGTAAAAATTGTTCATAAAATGTAACTTACGTCACACTTACATGGCCCGCCAGTCTAGGTGGTCAAAATTATCGCCCCACGTCCAAAAACCTGCGCTAGTGGATAGGATAACTATTCTTAGGAATTCAAGAGTCTTGGCGCACGCTAACACAAATGTGTTGCTACATTTTTGCAAGACCAATAACTCATCCTTCTATGATTATGTGTATGAAGCCATGACCGAATCATCATTAACCCGTCTCTCTAAAATAGTCGCCGGAGCGGTAGTGCTGGGTCTTTAGATCCGTGTTACGTGTAGTTTGGGTTAAGGATTTTCTGACCCCCCGAGCGCACACCAATGGAATAATATGAGATTTACGTAATTCTCCAGCTATAGTTTGTTTTAGGGTTGATTTGACGTATTCGAATTTTCAGCGAAAGCTGCATTTGATTACCAAAACGAGGATTGTTTTCATTTTATTGGGGGGCAAATTATCCCGGGTCAACCATAACTGTTCATCGAAGTCTCATTGGTGATTAGTTGATCTCGTATCCGAGTTATCCAATGGCATGACATCAGTCACTTAGCGTCTTTATTAAATGGATCCGATTGAGTTAATGTCTGGCCTTGCCGAACTTTGCTTATCCATCCATTTCCCTGTCTTATACGATAAGCTACAGTTCAATGCACTAATGCAGCAAATATTATCAATCACTCATTTCTGTATATCAACGCAGATGAGGGCCCGGTGTGAGAAATCCAGAACTAGATGGCAAGAGAAAGTCATATCAGCACCCAAATTGTACATGTAATCGCACCATGGGTAGTATATTATAGTATCGAGCATAGCGGTATTATCGACTTTACTTTCCTATGCGATAAATATCATATAGTGAACGTTCGACGAATATCAGTACCTATACTTGCAACAATTATTGAATGACGTTTCTGTTGGCTTCCTGTCATGATACGTCATCAACTTCCGCGTTGTTGTCTGCTTGGCCCATTCTCTTGTTGGAAATATTTTGGAATTTCTGGCAAACACTACAGCTAGTTGTCTGCAGCTTCTAAGTGAAAATACTTCAGGTAAAGAGTCTAAAGATATAGGGTAGAGTTTTCATAGTTATCCCGGGAGAGAGGAAAGCCTACAAGAAAGGCTAATAAGACCAGCTTTTATCCGGTTACCATGCCTGATATGAAATTAGTTGGCCAGTTATTTGTTTTAGACGCATGGATTTGATGGCGGATAAAGCTCATCATAATAATCGATAACCAACCAGGGGTCACGTTAATCACTCTACGGAGGCGAGGAACCCAGCAATCCTCTCGCATATAACCATTTCCATACTATGGTTTTGTTCAGAGAGAAATATTGGAATCGGCGAATTACGTATTTATCACCAAATTGAATTACAGAATATCCTTTGCAAATTGTCAACACCGCGCTATGAAAGTAGCTTGAGGCAGATTTTGCGTCATATTACGACTCTATAGAGCAGCCATTTCCAACCTATTTTAGTCCGCGTAACTTTCTTATATAATGGATTGGTTGAGAACCAAATTAATAAATTAAAGATCAGATCATAATTGTGGTTCACATCGTTTCGACATAGAAATAAATTAGCAAATTGAGTTGGAGCCTAACAAATTTAATTCACGAACAAAGGTTTTTAAACTCAGGACCGTTTAAAATCATGCGACGTTCGATATTATTGTAGCTTTCCTACGACGGTGCGTGTTATATCCCGTGTCCTTTTGGACGATCGAACCGACCATGGTAAAGATGTGTTATCCGACTAAACAGTTGTTGTCGATACCTGGACGCCGACTCGAACCAGCGGATATCTTTGTACTACATTCCGGTGTCCGCCATCTTGGTTCACATACTTCGGGAGTTATTTTGGCATGACTTTCTAGTCTCATGAACATTTGCTTGTTTCAGATTCCAGCTGTTTCCGGGGTCAAATGTCAACATGGCGGAAGGGAGAGACCTTACCAAAATACAAGAAGTAGTTGGCGGGGAACAACAAAGGTGAGATTTTCATATTTATCAGGGGATGGGGTATCCGATAAGAAGGTGTGAACCACAAAAGTGGTTGGTCTTTATCTGTGAAATATTTCTATTTTGACGCTTATAAACGCTTTTGTTTTATTGGCTTTCACCTTTCAGTTTGTATTGCTCACGAAAGACCCGCCTGAATACACAGCTCATGCTAAAGCTGGAACCCAATGTAAAGGCAAAACCCTTACAAAGTTACACTCTCGGTGACCGCTCATGTCGCGGTAAGATACTCCTGAAGTATGCGCAACAAGATGTCGCATAACCTGAACTCTAACCTGGTACACAATCTGAGTTCAGGTTGTGAGCCACCTTGGTGCGCATACTTCAGGAGGTCCCGCGGTAAAATTCTTTTATCGGCTTTCTTTTCTTACGTGGTATTACATCTTTTCCATAGTATTGCTCGCGGAATACGCAAATTCACCAAAATGCATATCTAGTCGGTACTCTCGTAGTGTGTGTACTGGTTAGGGTTAGGCCATAATTTTATTCTGATTTTTCTTACTTGAGTTCTATTGCGAGTTCGAGGACCGTCTGTGTCAGCCAAGTGAATATACCCCCTGTCCATAGGTTTCAGTGCCTTTTGACACAATTTGATGTAAAATTGGCGAACAAAATTAGTTTTCTCCATATTGGTGCACACACCTCTGGAGCGCCATCTAGTGTACTTTTACCACATTTGTAAATCTCGTTTTTCTATCTCTCAGATTCATCACAGATTACGAGTTTCACGAAGCAATTACATCAAAGAATAAATCACCCAAGCCTTCGAGAATTCGCAAACTTAGGTACGGCTCTTGTGATTACAGTCCATGGGTGTGGACTCCGGTTTACAAAAAAAATTGACTCCAACTCTTCGATAATATTAAATTATGAGAACAAAGCATGCACGCATCCTTTAATACAGGGCTTCCCAAACTTTTGAGCTCGCGGCCCCTTTCAATATATCAAAATTTTTCGCGGCCCCTGGTCACGTTAATAATGCTTAACGTTACGAATTATGTATTTTTGATATTTTATTGACTCAGCTAATTCTTAACATTTAGTAGGCCCACTCAATAACAAAACAAACTCACATTTACTAAGATTAACGTCACTCAATTAGTCAGTGTGATGGGTGCGAATGCTTTTTGCTGAATAGCCGTCCAGCCGTGGCTCAATGTTTGTTAATGCAAGCCCCAAATGATAATGAATTATGATGTCTAGCCACCGACGGCATGGTCTCTATCCGGCATTCTTACTCACTCCTAAATGATCAAATTTAGCATAAGGCAGCGGTTCGTGCGGAGCCAAATTAAGCTGCATTTAAATAAAACATAATTTTGTCATCGTTAATGTGTATTTTATGCCTTTTAGAGTTTATAAACCAGCAGGCCTAAAGAATAAAGGTGAAAGGTTAACTTATCCCCCTAATCTCTTATTTTAAAGTAACTAGGTTCAGCAAATTAATAAACTGCAGCCTACGAAATAGACAAGAATAGGCGCATTTTTTTGACCTGGAATAGCAAGAAATCTTTTCTACTCTTTTTTAATGGTTAATATCTATGTTTAGCAGTTAATTTTAATAAAAACGTGTTATTTATAAGTAAATGGAAATAGATTTTCATATTTTTGTATATTTAAGAATTACTTTCCTCTTGTAATTTTTGTTTTTGGAAAATGCAAATAGAAGACATTCCCATAAAATGAGCCCTAGCGTTATTTTTCGAATGCAAATTGAAGCACGGGATGATGATGTATTCACTCGAAATCGTGAGATATTTGTTTTACACTAGTTTTTTAAAAATGTATTTCCAATCCAGAGTCTGAAAAGTAAAATAGATTTAATAAAATTGGGGTTCTCTTTGCGACCCCAAAAATTAGTTTCGCGGCCCCTCCACGGGGGCCGCGGCCCCTAGTTTTGGAAGCCCTGCTTTATTAGATAGTTTAGATAGTTAAGAACGATTAGTAAAATTAATCTTTCTTGAGTTTTTTTGTTTTTTTATATTCTGACTATTTTATCATTGGGGAAATCAAAATTTCGACTCCTAACTTTGGATAAATACAAC